TAAAATGCATCTCTGGGTTATTTGTGGGGCATAGGAATGCGTTCATTTTTTTCTTCTTCAAAATATAGTCCGGCCCCCCAAAAGTTCTGAGGGATAGTGGACCGGCCCCCTGCTGAAAAAGTTTGCTGACCCCTGAATAAGAGCTCCCTCATTTTCTCTTTTTAGATGTCACCAAACTATGAAGCTGGGAGCAACTGAAAGGGTGGTCGAAATGACTGATCAGGGACTTTTCGCTCTTGAGTACCCATGATATGTCATGACTCAAAGCCAAACCCTCCACTACTGAAATCAAAAAGCTGTTAATGTTAGATATTTTGGTAGAGGGTCCCACCCAGATGTCTTGAGCACATCTCACAAACCACCAACACTGGTTGATCACCCAGACTTGTGTGAGCAGCTCTAAACGCAGTAGGCAGGTGTGGATGGGCAGAAATAGGTTGGGTATCTCAGGAAATGGCAGAGCATTTGGGATGAACCTTAGGGGCTACAACCACAAGCATCGGAGCTGTCCTTGTTTATGAGTGGAAGTAGAGGTAATAGTAAAAATTAACTGTAGTGTGCATGGAGAAAGTATGCAAAAGGCAACACAGCGCAGGAGTTAACAAATCCAAAGCAGATGGGAATGTGCAAGCATCCCTATGGCTCGTCAACTTCTTAAAGGTAAAGGTAAAGGGATCCCTGACCATTTGGTCCAGTCGTGGCCGACTCTGGGGTTGCGGCACTCATCTTGCTTTATTGACCAAGGGAGCCGGCGTACAGCTTCCAGGTCATGTGGCCACCATGACTAAGCCGCTTCTGGTGAACCAGAGCAACGCATGGAAACGCCGTTTACCTTCCCGCCGGAGTGGTACCTATTGATCTACTTGAACTTTGACGTGCTTTCGAACTGCTAGGTTGGCAGGAGCAGGGACCGAGCAACGGGAGCTCACCCCATCACGGGGATTCGAACCACCGACCTTCTGATCAGCAAGTCCTAGGCTCTGTGGTTTAACCCACAGCGCCACCCGCATCCCTTGTCAACTTCTTACACCCCAACATTTACACCACTATCCTGACTCTGAAGCCAAGATTTAGGTCACTACTGGAGAATGAATGGCCCTCCAGACTCCAACTCCCATCAGCCCCAGAGAGCATGGCCAATAGTGAGGAACGCTGGGAGTTGTGGAGGGCCACAGATCCTTTATTCATGATTTAGGTGGTTGTGGTCACTGGAATCTCTGAGCTAGTGTCAAACATGCTACATTTCAGTAAGTCAGCAGGGATCATTTTCCCATGATGATATTTAGGTAGGGAGGCCCACAAAAATATATTAATTCTCTTCCTTGTAGAATAATGGATGAAAATCAGTGCAGTATAGCAGACACATATTCAAGCTCTTCCCTTGGATAGCTGAAAATTAATCTAAATTAAGGGACGTTGTTCTCAGAAATGACACGTTCTGCTTCCTCCAGTAATGACCATGTTGTGGAATGAGCTACAATAGCTCGGATATGCTCATGGGAAGAATTCAATTGAGTAACCCTATAATGATCCAAGACAGCACCAACACAATTAAGAGAACCATAGCATTCATTAATGAATGAGAGCATTAGGAAAAGAGGAAGCTGGAGCTCTGTTAATGAATGCTCATGCCATTTAGGAGCTGAAGCTTCAGAGAGTTACTTAACTTGTGTGTTTTGATGCTAGCAAGTGAGGTTCTTTGTTGGAATCAGGCATTTATAATGGACACTCTTTTAAAAGTCCCCAAATTTTAATTTCATTGGAGCTAGTATTGCATCATGTAGGGTATGCAGAGCTGTAAACATAATCCTAATAAAAATGTAGCTTGCTTTTATGTTCTTAAGCCATTTAAAATTGCCAAAAATGATAAAAGCCCCCCAAATGCATATTTTTATTACAATTGTGCTCACAGACCCCCATGCCACGTATGATGCAATGTGCTAGCTCTAGTATATTGAGCTAGTAGAATGGGTTATTGCCATCATGCCTTCCTTGTGAGCTTCCTGGAGTCATTTGATTGGCCGTTGTTGGAAAAAAATTCCTGGAGAAGATGGACCTTTGGGTTCATCCAGCAGGACTCGTTCTTGATGAAGCAGGCCAACAACATGGTGAACCTTGTGTTGTGGACCATCATATAAATCTCAATGAAAGGAAGGATTCCATTCTTTGTTGTTGTTTAGTCGTTTAGTCGTGTCCGACTCTTCGTGAACCCATGGACCAGAGCACGCCTGGCACTCCTGTCTTCCACTGCCTCCCAGTTTGGTCAAACTCATGTTAGTAGCTTTGAGAACACTGTCCAACCATCTCGTCCTCTGCCGTCCCCTTCTCCTTGTGCCCTCAATCTTTCCCAACATCAGGGTCTTTTCTAGGGAGTCTTCTCTTCTCATGAGGTAGCCAAAGTACTGGAGCCTCAGCTTCAGGATCTGTCCTTCCAGTGAGCACTCAGGGCTGATTTCCTTAAGAATGGATAGGTTTGATCTTCTTGCAGTCCATGGGACTCTCAAGAGTCTCCTCCAGCACCATAATTCAAAAGCATCAATTCTTCGGCGATCCATTCCATTCTTAGACATCTTTAATAAAACAACTGGGGGTGACAGGCATGAAATGTATTCCACCCTGTAACTGGTGCTCTCAGAGGTTAGCATTTCACTGGACTCAACCTCTTGGGGGTTTTTTTTCTGGGGGAGGATTGTAAACATAAAGCAGTTTAACATAAACCTTTTGAACAATAAATACATAAATTGACTTGCAAAGTTTCTGTATAGTTCACCAAGAACAAGCAAGTCGGAACAGTTGTTCTCAAGTTACAGAACAAAAATTAATAACCACTGGTGATGTCAATTATTTGGAAACGGAGAACATCAATATGAACAACATCCAGGTATCTTATCTACTCTTCCACCTCTCTTTATTTTACTGGCATATTGTGGAATGTTATTTGATCCTGGAAAGAACCCTTAACGACAACACTTGGTGAGCCCCCCCCATCTCTACAGGTGGCAAGGCACTGATTAGTTCAGAGGCAATTCTTCATTCCTTCCTTAAATTACAAATCACATCTCACACTGTTGATGCATTCGTTTCCATAAATAAATGGACCTTACTGACTCACAGATGAATGCCTTCATCTGCTCCTCATGCCAGCCTGCTGACAGAACAGATTTATTTGGTGCTCCGACACATCATAATTATCCTTTCTAAAAGCGACAACGTTCCTATGGCAACATTTGCATTTTAGTATTTAAGATCTCACGAACATTCCAAAGTGAGAATATGTGTGAGGAAGAGTACGGGGGGGGGGGGGGAGGAAAATTCTGAGCTGTCACTTATGAAGGAGGTGGCATAAAAAGCCAGGTGCACTTGTCTATAATGTGAGATGTCCCGGCATATCTGGAGGAACACAATGAATTTCTGGTATGCACTTGCAGGAGAGTGTTTATCAGTTTGTTTTTACAGTGGTACCTCGCAAGACGAATGCCTCGCAAGACAAAAAACTTGCTAGACGAAAGGTTTTTTTGTTTTTTGAGCTGCTTCGCAAGACGATTTTCCCTATGGGCTTGCTTCGCAAGACGGAAACGTCTTGCAAGTTTGTTTCCTTTTGCTTAACACCGTTAATACAGTTGCGACTTGACTTCGAGGAGCAACTCATAGAACGCGGTGTGGTAGCCTTTTTTGAGGTTTTTAAAGACTTTGGTGATTTTTGAAGCTTTTCCAAAACTTTCCCGACACCGTGCTTCGCAAGACGAAAAAAATCGCAAGACGACAAAACTCACGGAACGAATTAATTTCGTCTTGCGAGGCACCACTGTAATATGTTGGAAGTGATCTGATAAAATGCCATTAGAGCCTAACACTGAGACAAGGTATAGATTCCAATGGGAACCAGATAAGACTTCACAGGAAGTACCTTCAAGGAATGTACACCTAGAATTAAGAACCTAAAGAAATACCTCACACTGACATTTTGGCCTCGAGTACCGCTTTCAAAACTGCCCTGAATTTTTTTGTCTCTTAGAATGCAATGCTGGGTACAAGGCTTCTATTAGCCAGATTAAGATGCTTTGAAGCAGAGTGTTGGTGATTTTTATTAATTTCTTACCTGCCCTTCAGCAGGCTACAACAATTTTAAAAGACAATTTTTAAATCAATTAAAACAAATAATCTGGTGCAGTGCTTGGACTAAGTCCGTTGCCCCCAAAACCTGCTGCATTAGACTTGTTAGCACCTCGTGTGGCGCTGGCCCCCTCCATCCTCTTTCTGCTCAAAGGCAGCACACTGAATTCAAAACATATGGAGCCCAAAATGTTCTGCACAAATTACTGTCTCTGTTATCAGCACCCAATAACCACATTGATCACAGCTTGATATTGCATCAGTAAACCAACATGTCCCAGGAAGGAAGGAAGCAACTGCCCTTAAGTAGGGATCAATCTTGATCATTCCCCCCCCCCCACTTTTCATGTGTTCCTTCTCAGCTCGCTGCATGCATCTGATAACAGCACGTTGTTGACTTAAGAAAGCTCACCACAGTGTGGACCACTTAGGACTCTAAAAGATACCAGCATATGTTTGCCTTCTGAGTACTTTTTAGTTAACTGAGAGGCTATAGTACATATCCACCATACCTTGGCCAGGTTGACTGAGAGGGAATATGGTTCTCAGGTCAAAGAAATATTCCCCATCTCTGAGAAAAACAATGCAGATTAAAGTACACACCAGAAGAGCCAGACTAGCAGAGAATTTGTTTATTTTATTTGAAATAGTACATAGAGAAGACAACATTACTTCTAGACATTTGAGAGAGAGAAAATGTAGATTTAGAGTTTTATCAACAATGATCTTGGAGTGATAAGTAAAACCTACAAATTATTTGCTGGAATGCATTCAGCACAAGAAGATCAGCTTCTACAACCAAAGAATATAGAAGAATACAAGATGTTCTGAATCCAACAAGCGAAATTCCAAGCATTTAACTGCAAATAATCAAAAGAATCTTACATTTATAGATTAGTTTTCTTCTGAGAGAGATTGATTTTGTCACCGAGACTGAGAGCCATTCCCTGCAAAAGAGATGAGAGATTAATGGGTACATGTCTAAATTAATTATTAACATGCAATAGAAACAATTTTCTCTATTTATATATCCAACCAGAAATACCTGTCATTCACAGATCAAAGCAGGGTTTCTAAGGTTAGGTCTATTTTCTAATAGAACGCTGAAATAGCTATACTGCAGGCAACCCTTGATACAGAGGGAAACCTAAATCAACATTGGCTACTTCAATCTTTCATCAAATTAAATGCTGCCAGGACAGCAGCAGAGAGTGTCATAATTAAAGGAGGAATGTGTTACATGGAGAAGCTTTACTGGAGGGGAGGGGGGAGGGGATCTCAAAGGCAAGTTTAGTGGAGAAATACCCAGTAATAATTCAATTCCTATATTTTGATTGAGAGCAAATACCAACATTTCCATTCCCTTCCAGTAAGGACCATATTATTTGGCAGATTCCCTCCTATATGTCAGGCATTATAACATCATGAAGAGTGAGATGGGCAGAGCTTTGTGATATTGATACAATATTCTATTCTGCTCCTGAAGTGAGAAGGGAAGACAGCCTTTGGCTCTGGAAAAGAAGTTTCCTATCCCATTCTGGCTCATATTTTGCAAACTACAAAAGATTATTGTAAAGTGGTGGTCATTTTCATCATGCAGTGTGGGCAGATAGTTTTCCATCACTGCTTTTAATACCACTGTATGCATTAAGGCAGAGATGGGGAAACTGTGCTCCCCAGGAAGACGTGGTCCTTGGAAAAGGAAGAGAGCTTGGTGGAAGAGCATCTGCTTTGAATGCAGAAAACCTCAGCCCTGAAGCATTTCCAAGCGGGGCTCAGAGAGACTCCTGCCTCAATCCCTGGGGAGCCACTGCCATCAATGTAAACAATACTGAGCCAAAGTAGAAGGCAGATTTCCATGTTGGACTACTGCTCCCATCGGCTCTGACCATTGGCCATTCTGCCTGGAACAGACAATGAATTGGTGTCCAGGACCATCTGGAGGGCCAGGGGTTCTCCATCCCTGCAACATGCATGTGAATCCTCCTGCAAACTGCTTTTATCTTTTTTTCTGGATTCCTTCCTCATTTCACAACTCCCCAGCAGAAACCTCTTTTTTTCCCTTTTCTTTTTTTGAGGGGAGGTGGCAGTGGCATGGGGAACTGCAGTGAGGAAACTTTATTGCATAAGTGTCCTTCTGCTTGCCTAAGTTTTGGATGCAATCTTGAGCGTTTCATCTCATTCTGAGATTTCTTAGCGATAAGATGCTCAAACTCAAATCCCCCCACAGAACTAAATAGTATGTGCTGGAGGCAAAAAAGCGCCACTTCTGTCTCTGACACTGCTTCTTCCATACATAGTTGAGACACAGAGGAACTTTTTTCTGTGGAAAATGCAGTTTCTATCAAAAACAGCTTCTGGTGCAATGCAAGAAGCCATTGTTAGAAGTGGACTTTGTTGACATTCTAGTATGTCCATGAAGGGACTGGATACATACTAGAATGTCAGCCAAGTCTGGTGCTCCTTGCATTGCACTTCTGAGAGTCGCCTCAGTTTCATGAGCACATTTTCCAGTAGACTGCGATGGTATTTACAGGTCCAAGAATTTGTCACACACCTGGAAAAGCATAATTTACAACCAACTATTTCAGACACCATCCTGCTAAATAGAGATTTATGTCTCAAATGTTTACTTGGAAATTCATCTGTAACTCTATTACAGGACACAGTTGCCCACTCTACCTAGATATCCTAACACGGAAAGACATTAACCCGATTACCAATTAGATAATATTAATTTGTCAATTTCAAACTTGCAACATCAGTTTGGGAGCTGACTATTTGAGGAGACATATAAAATATAATTACCTGACTTTTTGCACGAATTCTTATGTGTCCGGTGACTGGAGCATCAGGCCCAAGATGAATGGGCTTTTCAATGCTGACATTTGCAAGGGCATCTTCTCCGAATATGGACCGTGCATACAGATTGGCTGCCATGAAGCCACAGTAACCAGAAAGTGCCTAGAAAGACAATATTTTATACACCTTTTACAAGGGCATTTTATTTATTTTTTGAAATTAACTCATCCCTACACAGCATCTTAAACTACATTATTTACTTACAGACACACCTACACCCACCCTGCGCCTCATAAGGGATTCAAGGCAGATGGTGATTATTATAATAATCAATAATAATAAATGCATGGACTCAACGCGGAGCTAAATTACACTTTAAAAAACCCCTCCGTTTCTAAACCCAAAAGACAAAGAGAATCATATAATCGCTTGGATCCTAAGTTGCTCTTCCATTTGTGCCAAATGTCCTTTCATTTGTAGCTCTTAGCAACATAACCCAAACGTCTCCCAAACCTCGGAAGAAAATTCTCCACCGGGGGTGGGGGGGAGATTATAGAGGGCTGCTAATGGAAAGGGAGGTGGGAAAGCCCCACTCCATGAATGTAACCCGATTCATTCACAGAAGGGAAGTTAGGATCCAAGCCAATGTATCTGGGTAACAGAACAGATTTAAATTCAGTGAAAGTGGTTTTATTTGTGATTTGAGATCAGAGTTATAATTTATTAGCAAAAGGTATTACCTTTTCTGGAGTAAGGCACTTCATATTAGTTGACTTTAATATATGTTGCAAATATTCATTCAGATCTATTATATTTGTATTCACAGTGACCTTGAAAAATAAATAAATACAAGGACAATCATCGTACCAAGAACCTACAGAAGCTAAATTCACTCAAGGCTGATAAGATCTATGTGGAAGGCTGTTCATCTAACATGGAAACAGGGGCTGTTCTACCTCGTAACAAGTTCAGAAGGATTAGATAATACACCCTATTCTATTTAATGTGACCAAACGAAACGAAACAGCACACATTTGCCATATATCTGAAAGGGTCCTGCACAACTCAGAAGCCTGTATTTGAAACAAATTTCAGCCCAAGAAAAAGTGTATTGCCATGGGAGGTGCACCTGAGCCAGAGTGGTAGTTTTTCTGAAAGCAGTACAGTAGCTCAGATGCAAAGACCGGCATGCGGTGTTCTGCATGTATACTTGGGCTCTTATGCTCCTGCAAATAGCTGCATATGTTCCCTAGAAAGCTGCTTCCAAGGGACAAAAACAAACAAAGCATATCTCCCACACCCACACCTGTATGGTTTCTTAATAATATTCTATTTTAAAATGTGGATAAATAAAGGGTAGTGAGAGCTCACTTTGTTTTCCCATTCAAATTCTGCCCACATCTGACGGAACTCAGCATCAGTACAAGTAGCAGGCTGGATGTAATCCATGATGTCAATATGGATGTCACTGAGGACAACACAGTTTCTGTCACTAGCTGCTCCAGAAACATCATACACTAAAAGAGAAAGAGATTAGGAGAATGGAGACCATTACATAACTTGCAACAAATTTAAAGGTTGAATGAAACTCATACTCCTTCCAATTCAGAATGGAGACATCTCTTTCAAAATAGCGTTTTCCTAAAGCTAAGTTTGTAAAATAAATACAGTCACATTCTTATAAAATAGAATCAAAGCAACACACTTTAAAGACTCCTTAGTTACTGTATACTATCAGACTTGTACCCAGTATTGCTCAGTAATTCTAAGCAAACAATCAGTGCGGCTTTAAAAGGTAAGGTCCACCATCTTGATTCAAAATGGGGTTCAGCTGTATCCAAACATAAGACAAAAATCTGTTCCTTGATCTCAGAAAACATCATGCAAAATTTGGTCACAGTATCTTATAAGGTGTCCAAATGAATAGAGAAGAGACAGACAGACAAACAATATTCCAAAATCTATAGCAGATAATACAGAATACCTACCGATATTACCAAAAATTATTCCATTCTCGGTGGAAGCGACTTTCACATTAGCCTTAATATTGGCAAAATCATGTGGAGCAAGTGTCAGAGGAGATGGTTTTTCCACAAGCTTCAGATCACCTGTTTAAAGAGAGGATGCGTAGAAGTTATCCAGGGGGAAAACTATTACCAGTAAAGCATTTTACATAATTGTTATATCTGTAATTGTTTACCTAATGTAGCTAATTCTAGTGTGCAATTCTGCAACGTATCACTGGTCTGGTTTACCACGAGCACATCCAATACAATATCATATTGGTTGACATGAACATACGCCTCTGCATAGACTGGATCCGAGAATCCTGTCAACTGAGTCACCTGCCAAACATAAATAGAGAGTTAGGCTGCAATCCTATCCTGACTTAAATGGGAGGAAGCCCTGTTGAAATTCAATGTGACTCACTTCTGATCAGAGAGGTATAGGATTGCGAGGTTAGCGTCTTAACAAAAAGCTGGCATACATTATTGAAAATGAAGCATCACTACTGAAAACTGCATTATTCCCTTACACTATTCTCTTCCATTTAGGTCCATAAGGAGATTTAAGATCTTCCACATCCCAAACCATTTCCGATTATTAATACCAGAACACAGCTACCCTCTCTGGCATCCATATCTTTCTGTAAACTGTACACTTGGGAGATATGTTAAATAAGACACTCTAATGAACTAATGTCATTTCTGTGTTTTGCCCAGTAAAAACAACTTATCTTGTCAGTTTCATTCTCTTCAACCACAGCAAGGCCCCCTTGTTGCACAGATTTTTCTCAAGGCTTTCCTCTGCTTGTTTAAAAAGGCAGCAAGAATCCCTACAGGACTAACTGCTGTAAGAATGCAACTTACAAGACTTTTCAATATGTTTTCTAATATCACAAGCCAATGTAAGGGTAACAGAAGCATTAACTGCCTAATTGGTTTGCTGCAGGGGAAAGTGACAAGAGTATGCCAGCACTGTGTCAATTGTAATTATGGGACTAATTCAGTGCTGCACTTTGTTGTTTGTTCCACCAGGGCATGCATTTCAGCTGTGCCCTATTCTGGAGGTTCACCTGACAACCCCCCGAGGGTATACTGGGGAAAAGCACTGTTGGCTCAAGAGGAAGCCTTCCGATTATGGGAGTCAAAAGCTGAATCTTGCCCTTTTTTTAATAATTAAAAAACAGCATGGAAAGTGAAAGGATTTCTTTTGCTTCAGTCCTAAGGACCGCCTGGGAAGACGGATATTTGACATCACCTTGTTGAGCTTGGATGCCAGTGGATCTGCAGCTTCTTTCCTTTGTGTGTTCCCCATAGCTGCTAGAAGACTCAGCTGAAACTGATCTTCCTTTGAGCTCATTTCATTTTTAGCAGTGAGTTGCATAAAGGAAATGGGATCATCTGGCTGAACTGTCACACTTCTCTTCTCAGACTCTTTCTGTGGTAAAGAGGAATAGGGATGAGTTGAGATATAACATACACACAAGGAACAACCCTCTGTTACCTGGGCTTTTTGTCAAGAGTCAGAGGCCTACAAAATGTTACTGTTACACGGGCAATTTTGAGCTCTCACCTTCTGCGAGAGCTTCTCCTCTTCCAGCTTAGCAGACAACATGTGAGAAAGGGACTGCCTGCACTCCTTGTTGAAGATGTCATTCATTAGCGGGGAACATTCTGAGAGGACCTTCAGGCAGAGAGAAATCCGATCCACGTCATCATCCGTTATTGGTTTCTTGGGAAGAGATGACTTTCCCAAATGGAGGATAGTAGCCATGAGCAACATCGCCTCAGCTACAAAAGACTGAAGGAGGGGGAAAGAGGAGAATATTAGGATGTGCATTTCGTTTTGAATTCCAAGAACTCAACACTCCCTCTTAAAAATAACATGCAAAACTCAATCAAAAATGGGGGACACAGATTATATCTGAAGCTGACAGCCGCAATTTGTTAGCTTGAAACTAAGTAGTACACCTTCACACAAAGCGAGCTGTAAAAGCAGTGAAGGTGCCTTGAGTATAAAGAGACTGTCCAAAAGGTGTGATCTTCAAGTATCTAAGAGAGATGGCTGTCCTCTCACCAAGTTTCAGAGGCAGGAATCCCTTAAGCACAATTCAAAGAAATATAACGTACATTTTGCTTCTTTTTTTCTTGAACCAGCATCACATAACGTAACGCAATCTTGGTCAGAGTTGTGGCGAGGGAGGCTGCGACAAAGAAATCCCCATCCAGCAAAAACCCTCTCAGTGGAGGCCTACCAAAAAAGAGAAAAGGGCAATCTAGAAACAGCACCCAACATATTGCTTAGCCATGTGGCCTATGTGACAGACTTCAGAAACAAAAGAACTCATCTTACTGTGCCTAAATGTTTTGAAATCAGGAGGCTATGTGACAAAAGCAGAAAAGATAGCCTGAACATCTAAATCAAAGTGCCCTGTGGGCTTGTAAGCTATATATGTTTAAATGTTTACAATACTTTTTTATACAAAGCAATATAAAAGAAGGAAAAGTTATTGTGGTGCCCTCAAGATGTTGGACTACAACTCCCAGCAGCTCCTGCCAGCACGGTCACTGATCTTTTAGTCTTTTAGTCACTGTGACTTTTAGTCCAAAACATCTGGAGGGCACCACACTGGCTGCACCTGATGTAACAGACTACCTATCATCCCACCCATAATAAACCCTCAAAATACATAAGTACACAGAAAAGGGCAGGAATGGGGGGATTAAGCCACGCAGGTTGACTGATACATACTCATCTATTAAGTTACTAATTAATTTAATGAAATGATGCATTTTCAATTTTTTCCTTCCATACAGAAGAACAGAACGGCCAAAAATGTTCCATATTGGATAAAAATTCCGCCCCGCGTTACTGGCTGGGACTGTAAGTACTTGGTGGGCTGTTTTTCTTGGGGGGGAGGGCGGTTATTTTTTTGTAAGCAGCTTTACCCAAGCTGCAAACAACTCTTTGCTTTGTGTCTATGCCCTGGGCCACAGCAACAAGATTCTCTTCTCTAATGACTCAGCAGGACTCGCTGCCAACATGCAGATATCCCGTCTGAACTCAGTGTCTCCTGCCAATGATGTGCTTTCCAACTCCTGGCTGCTTGCTAAGAGAGAGAAAAAATCTCCAAGGAATTCTGTACTCTGAGTTTTGTTTCTTAAAAACTTGAAACAATATACTCGGCTCTGACCATATGGCAGTAAAGGCACACCGCCCTCTTCTGTCCAATATTCACAGACAATAACTGCTGCAGTCTGTTCAAGCGTCATTACTGGAAAGTTGAGACGATTAGAGAGATTACAGGAACAGAAAGAATTGCATCAAGCATTATATATCATTTGGATTCTTTGTGTTCTTGCCCTTTAAGGCAGCTTTAGTCTGGCAACTGTGTTTTATACATATTTTCATATTTTGGCAAGTCATTACAAGCAACTCCTTTCTGGAAGGGAGAAACAAGGTATACATTTTTGTATAATAAAATGTATCACATTGGCAGACTTGTGTAAACATTGATTTATTTATTTTTAAAGATAGGTTTATATATATAAATATTTAAATCCCACTAGTGCTCCTGCTGCTGTTGCACCATCTAAGCAGAGAAGTAGTGGGGATTTCCTTCAATTCTCTCTCCCCGCAAAGTTCCTTGGACCCCATCTCCCATCTAAAAAAACTGGGGGTGGCAGCTGTAGCGTTAATGGGGAAATCAGGGGAAAATCAGCTCCGCACATCTTACGTGAGTGGACACCTCCTGCCAGATCTAAAGCCCTTGTACTCACACAAAAGCACCAGTTGTAAATCATCCACTGCTAACAAAGGCAAAAGCCAAATCACCTGTCTTCTTCTTTTTTGGCAGGTCTGGAACTGCTAAGAGCACTCTGTGTAGCATACGTTCCCATTTCAGTAACCAGTTTTTGGGCAGGACCCACAGTAATTTCCTCCTCAGGCTTCATCTCACCAGCTTCTTTCTTGATTTCAGATTCTACTATTGGGATCTGAAAGATTAACAATGTGACTGATAAAAAAATTAACAGCATAAACTTCAGCCTGGAAGATGGGGCTATATTCTCTCAGATGCCCCAAAGAAAATAAACTTAACCAATCTCCTCCTATACGCACCACCATATATTATTTTCTCTCTTTCTTTTAAGTACTCTCTGTTCCATTAACTATTAATGAAATGATGAATTATTTCAATACGATTAATCTTTGATTAACTTGTTCAGCAGAAACTACAAGTTGGTATTAGCATGGTATTGTTTTTCATTTGTACAGCACATCCTCAAGAAACCACCAAATGTAACCAATTTTAAAATCCTGTGGTTTTCAAAGGCTTATTTCCCCCCTGAAATGTATAAAAACAGAAAAATGTGTTTTGATTAACAATACAGACACCTACCTCTCCCAGTGATCTACGAACTTCTGTCATTACGCTCTGTATATCTTCCTTTGTGCTACAGTATTCTCCAAGGATCCAGAGGGCTCCGCGATAAATTCTATAAAGCACAAATAAATATATAAATCAGCCTTGCAATTTTATACAGATAATCGATGCAAACTGCACCCTCATACATTTCATGGGCACATCAGTCATTCCGGCTCAAAAGGATTAAGTAGCCTACAAAAATTATTAGTATTTGCTTAGCAGAGGCTCAGTTATCTACTGATCTGCTTACCAGATATATGAACTGCCAAAGGTAAAGGAGACGAGTGGAAGAGCATCCTCCTCCCTCCTTCACTCTTTCAGTTACCACTCTAGATTTATTTCCCAGTGGCAGAAAAATATTGCAGGAACAGTAAAACTCATGGGATATAAGCCACTGCTAACAAAGGCAAAAGTCTAATCCCCTGTCTTTTGGGGCACTATTGTGAATGCAAGGGCTTTTATCTGGCAGGAGGCATCCACTCATGGAGGAGGCAGGAAGGTGAGAGGAAGTGGGAAAACAAAAGACATGCGAATGGGCCAAATCGTGGCTTCTGATTGGCTGCAGGAAGTCAGATGTTCGGGTTCCAAAAGAAAGTTCACAAACTGGAACAATCACTTCCAGGTTTGTAGCGTTTGGGAGCCAAAACGTCTGAGTTCCAGGGTGTTTGGGATCCAAGGTACGACCGCATCAGTAAGGTAAATTTTGGACAGATTTCCATCTGCACAGGCATTGCAGCTTCCCATATAGAATGGTACTCCCTGTCCCTGGGGGCTCTTCTGGGGGCTCTCCTGCCCCCCACTCCAAGCCATGGTTGGGAGGTGTGGTGGAAGTAGGAGGAGAAAATCCCTGTTGTGCTAGCAGACATCCTCACACAAGGCTTCTACTGATGCGGCTTGTTATGTGTCATAGAATCATAGAATTGTAGAGTTGGAAGGGACCCTGAGGATCATCCAGTCCACCCTCCTGTCCCATATGGGGATTCGAACCTGCAACCTTGGAGTTATCAGCACCATGCTCTAACCAATAGCGCTATGGCTTCAAATGTCAATCTCACCCAATAATTTATTTAGAAACAATCGCATGCTGCTGCAGATGTATGTAATGGAAACAGATTAATTTAACTGCCCAATAACTTCAGATTTATAAAGGCAACACAAGTAAGTCACATGAGAGTAAGAACGCTGCATTTTTGGCAGTCTATCAGATATACGATTTATTTTCACATCTGTTCAGAGGCACACAAAAATTTGAAGGCAATAAAATGAATCCTTATTAAGCATTTTAGCCAAAGTCATACGTGCCCACATCGGTTTCCTCAACTCGCTTCTATTTTAACAACTTAGAGCAGGGGGCGGCAAGGTTTACCTCGCCTGGGCTGTTTCACTCCAGCGGAGATCCCTCTATGGGCCAGATCGCGAGCGCGCATGCCCACGATTTCCGGCATCGGTGTCTGCGCAGACGTGATTTCTGGTGCCACAGAAGCGAGTCCCCGTGCCGTGTTGGTTTAGCGCAGCGTGTGGGGACTCACCGAGCGGGCGGCTCATGGGCCGGTTCAACGACCCCCGTGGGCTGCTTGTAGCACATGGGCCTTAGGTTGCCAACCCCTGACTTAGAGCACCTAAAACCTTTAAATCCAGGTGGTGAGCAGTGTCTACTTGAGGTGTAAGTTAAACTTACTTGACAGATTTAATACAGTGGAACACTTCCAGCATCTTCTCCACAATAAGTAGTCTGAGATTATCAAAACGCTGGATGGCTTCACGCACAAACTCCAAGACATCAGCAGCTGCAGCTTCATTATAATCACTGAGGAACTCCATCAACTAGGATGAGAGTGAACAAGTCACACAACTTGAAAGACATCAGCACCCCATTAGCCAGATCAAGAACTAGAAGTTAACAGGATTTGGATTGACTGTACATGTGCAAGAGTGCTTTAGGCTCAACTATTTCTGTAAGACACAGTGCACGGAACAAGGTGGCAGTTAGGTACAATTCAACAGCTGCTTTGCATGCATAGAGGCCAATAGCTGCCCATATCATATGGAGTGATATTCAACAAATGAGTCCCTCCAGCAGAAGCCCTGTGCAAAGACTTCTGCTTGTGCAATGGGCTCCCCCCCCCCCCAATTCCCCCCCAGGCAACCGGCTCAGGGGTTGGGGTCAGGGAACCCTTGGAACAACATGGTGGGAGAAAAGGGGGATAATTCCATCTGGCAAGCCATATTGCTTGCACTGACAGAACTATCAGAACAGCATAATATTGAATTCTTTCTAAAGACTTTAGTAAACTTTGGCCAAAAGAAGAAGAAGAAGAAGAAGAAGAAGAAGAAATCCTAGGGAACTCAGTGCTTTCTGACTCAATAAAGTTGTTCTGAAGCTTTTATAATTCAAAATAAAGATGACAAATTCTTGTTTAAACATCCACAATGTTGTCTGGTTACTTTCTGGCAGTAATACAGTTTGTTCTTCCAACTACAGTTCCACAAAAATAAGAACCTCTTCTCACATAACAAAATTATGAGAATTTATAATAAAGTGTGTGCTTTAACTAATAGAAAACAACAAACTGGGAACAAGAATAAATTTATAAAGGGGGGGGGACCAATCAGGGCTACAAGAAAAGTAGCTGAGAAGGTAAGCGACTATTAAATATTAAACAATTATTGCAAGCTAAGTGTAACAAAATCTGTGTAACAGTAAGCAAAATGTTGACTGAGTTGCTTACCACAGGAATGACATTTGCAGCCATATCAGGGAACCGAACGCTACAGGAATGTAATGTCCGAACGAGCAACTGTCTGTATTTATCAGTATCTTCATGCTCTGTCACATTATTTGTTTTAATTACTTCTTTCTTCAAAACAATCACCAGCTAGACATAAGCAAAGCACAAAACAACAATTACATTTTTTTAAAAAAAGGTCAAAAAATTAAAGCTAAAGTATTATGTAGTTACTCAAAATTAAGCTAAGGTGAATTAAGAGAGACTTTACTCAAACATTAACAGGTATAGGATTCAGCTGTGGGGGGAAAGGAACATGTGTTTTACCTCTTCTACATTTCTGGAAGATACAAGATCGAGAGCCAACTGTAAGGTCTTCTTGCGCACTTCCAAGTCTGGAGTACTCAGAACTCTTAGTATGTCCATTACTAGATCCTGAAATAAAATTCACTTTGTTTGTAGGCGTGGGCTATTTCATTTCTGTGCAATGTGCTGTTTATATTTATTTCTATTTTACTTTATTTATTTAATCTCTATACCACCCTTCATCCAAGGATCACAGGGAGAATTAAGATATAAAAAAACCAAAAATGCATAACACAGTTTTAACATACAACATACATTTGGTTGTATAGCTTTGAATTTTGGAAAACTATGCCTACCTGCAGTACTCTTTCATGGGCTGGGTGATCCTTGAGTTCAATCAAGCGGTCCAACACAATGAGCTTCACATTGTTGTCACTTTCTTTAATAATCAGGTCAATATAGCACTGAGCTGCTGCCTTCAGTTAAAAAAAGAAAAGAAAATGCTTAAAACATTCCAATTCGTGATATAGGAAAAGAAGTTGACAAACAAATTAGGTGCAAGAACACAAGTTTTTCTAAATCAACAGGAAATTTTACAAACTAAGGAAGATGGGCAAGCCTGCACAATAATTCTGAGCACTTGAATTGATTTGCCTGTTTGACATTCTCTGGTAGTTTGCACGGATATTTGTGGCACTATATTTTCCATTAAATCTTAGGCATCAGGATGAAATATGGTGTACACATTCAGAAAACAATTGTATGTATATTTCAAGTGCAAAATGCAGCTCAACCTTTGCATCCATTTCTGGGGGTGGGCAGGATGCAAATACGATGCTATACTATATCTCAGCTGAAGAATAAGATACTGGAGTGTTCCATTACCATGGTACTTTTGGACAACATACAGTTTGAAGTCCTTCTAACTTGGCCTGTTCCTGACTTAGTACAACATCATGGAATTGCAAAATGGTCACTTTGTCTCTGATCACACAGTATGCTCAAAATGCTTTCTTTAAATTATAAATTGGATAATGGTTCATCCGATGTTCATATTCATGTGCCAGTAATCAATGAACAAAGCAGTACCTTGGTGAGACACTCCTAAACTTTACCTGCTGTTCCAATTCACAAGCCTTAAAATGCCTTAGTACCAAATGCATACTGATGTCCAAGACACTTAAAAAAATGTTTTGATGCGTCACAATACGATGCAGTACCTTGATTGCTGTTGGTGCACTGGAAAGTGTAACTAATGTTCCTGCTGCTTCATATTTTACTGCAGGGCTCGACGATTGCAGTAAATTGTAGATACAACGAATAAACCGAGCTCTTTCTGATGGATTAGCATGGCAAACCTAGATTTGGAAATGAAAGATGCAGAAGCAATGTTCTCTTGCTGAAGGAGGAATGGATTATCTCTTTTTTTAAAAACAACCCCCCCCCCCCAACTGCTTAGTTCTCTTATTACTACACTACAGCTGGTTGTCAAACACCGGGGAAAACCTTAACGAACGTACTAACCATACAAACATTAGCAGTACCAAAATGAAGAATATCACTGATACAGAAGTCTTATTCAAACAACATTTGTTTCTAAAAATACACCAGTTTGAATCTGATAAACTACAATAACTCTGATTTTGGAACATTGCTTTTTTGTCCTCTCCTCCTTGCTACAGCTTCCAAAAATCGCTTCTGTGAGTTGGGAGACCCTCATATTCAACCTGGGTGACTAAAGATGGAAATGAGTTTTATCAGAAATCACAGAATCCTATTGTGTCAGTGCAAGTGCCTTCTGATTGCACTTGCATCCAGCCTATCATCTTTCCATCTGATGATGTGGAATCTGGCACACAAAACTGTAAAGGTTGTAAAGGTCTATTGTAGACCTACTAAAATGAATGGGCATAACTAACTTAGATTCATTAGTTTCAATGGATCTACTCAGAGCAAAAGCTAGCTGGAGACAACTCTCAGTTACTAACACATTTGTTAGTCCTTAACTTCTATTTCCCAGTGTTTGCAACAAACGAGCTGAGGCTCATTTAATTTTTTTTAGAAACAATTTCTTTCCCAATGAAAGTTGAAAATTATTTCTTTCCTGTACCTTATAGATCAGTTCCACAATAACAAGTTGTAGAATATCACCAAATGTCTGGACTTGGTCAATACAGGTACTCAAGTAATCCAAAGCACGATCCTTCAGAAATAAACAAAATAATTTTCACATTTGAGTTTTGCCATTTCTCATTATAATCCTAGTAGTATATATTCATTTTTACATTTTATATCCTTTCAGTTTACCAGGGACACTCCAAATTACAGCAGGTAGTTTTATTTTTAGTCATATGTTGCCATCTTTGTATATGGATGACACTTTAATAAAATAATAGGCTCAAGAGGCTTACAATCTAGAAAAAGACAAAATGGAGACAACAGAAGGAAATGGAGGTGGCAGGCCTGGAAGATAATGCGTATATTAAAGTTACACGTACTTAGGCATACTGAGAGTAGGAGACAGTGCCAAAGGGATCATTGAAAACCTGTGTTTTGAAGAGGAATTTGAAGAAAAAGAGAGAGATGGCATCACAAAAGGCATTCTGGGAGATGTTTCCAAGCATAAGGGGCAGGAAGGGAGAAAGGGTGCAGTTGTTTGATGAAGCAGGAAACATTTAGACAGCTTGGGGTGATAGAGCTGGATGAGTGAAGGCAAGGTAGGGATATGCCTCTTAAATTAAAACACAAATTCAAAGTGTTGGTGCTGACCTTTAAAGCCCTAAACGGCCTCAGTCCAGTATACCTGAAGGAGCGTCTCCACCCCCATCATTCTACCCAGACACCGAGGTCCAGCACTGAGGGCCTTCTGGAGGTTCCCTTGCTGCAAGAAGCCAAGTTACAGGGAACCAGGAAGAGGGCCTTCTCGGTAGTGGCACCCGCCCTATGGAACACCCTCCCACCAAACAACTACCAGACTTTTAGAAGACATCTGGAGGCAGCCCTGTTTAGGGAAGCTTTTAATGTTTGATGGACTATTGTATTTTAATATTTTGTTGAAAGCCGCCCAGAGTGGCTGGAGAAACCCAGCCAGATGGACAGGGTACAAATAAATTATTATTATTATTAAACATAATTCAAAACCAAGAAGAATGGGGGGACATTTATTTTTACCTGATCAGCATGAATAAGCATCATGAAGGCATTTCTTTTGCAACTTGCATCTTTCTCATTCACAAGAAAATCATGGATCAGTTCAGGGGCATCAGGTATAAGATGCTCAAAGTTTCTTTTAAAAGAACAGAGATTAAGATTACAAATGTAATGCTCAATAATGCAATTGGATTAATACCAAATGCAGATGTAGCCTTTTGAAGAAAAGTTAAAGAACAATTGTTCTGTGCTCAATCTTTATATTCAAAAAACAGCAAAATAGGTAAAGTTCTTTCAGTTGTTTTATCCAATGCCATTTCTGCAGGGTTACAATTACCGTATTTTTCGCACCACAGGACGCACTTTTTCCCTCCTAAAAAGCAAGGGAAAATGTGTGTGCGTCCTATGGAGCGAATGCAGGGGGGGAGGCAGGCGGGAAAAGCCCGCAAGAGTCGCACACAAGCTCTGTGCGCTCTTGCGGGCTTTTCCACAGGAGGGAGAAGGGACTGACTGGCCAGGAGAAGCCACGGTCTCTTTAAAGGGGTTGCGCGGCTTCTGCGGGTTTTTGCGAGAGGTGAGGGAATTCCCCCACCTCCCAGGAAAGCCAGGAGAAGCCGTGCAGCCCTTTTAAAGTGCGCGCGGCTTCTGCCAGTTTTGCGGGAGGTGGGGGAATTTCCCCACCTCCTAGAAAAGCCAGCCGAAGCCGCGCAGCCCCTTTAAAGAGCGCAGGGCTTCTGCGGGCGGTGGGGGAATTCCCCCACCTCCCGCAAGAGCAGGAAGAAGGTCTGTGAGAATCGCACAGGCTGCCTGCAGCCTGTCCGCTGCTCCCAGAGCTGGGGGGGGGGGGGAATCATATTTTTCCCTTGATTTCCCCCTCTGAAAACTAGGTGCGCCCTATGGTCAGGTGCGCCCTATGGTCAGGTGCGCCCTATGGTGCGAAAAATGTGGTATTTACCTTTCCCGAGAGCTTGTAAATAGAGCAGACTACTAACAGGGTAAATCTGTAACATTGTAATTATAACTTAGCTGCAATTCATGGGCTACACACCAAACTTCTAACAATCATGATGGCTTCAAACCTTTCCTTATGCACTGCTTGACAAACCAATTTGAAGAGTTTCAAAACTATAATATGCTGCAAAGAAAAAAGCCACATAGAAAGGAGTTCCATGGATTGCAGCCTCAGTTTATTTAACAAGCTATGAACAGTTCTGTGAAGTCTCATGATTTTATTTTAGCCTGGTTTACATTAGCTTGGACCAAAAAGTAAACTTAAAATAAGTATTTCTGAAAATGAAGTTAAATGCTCCCAATTTCTCACAATGGCTCAATGCCATTTCTTAATTAATTTGAATGATAGACTGGCTCACAAGCATTCCGCATAAAAAGCTATCAAAATTATGGTCATTAACTGTTTTTCACCAGAACCCAGTGTGCTATACTCCTAGCTCTGCAGGTCTGTGTGTACTTGTAAAGGGGCTTCTGGACAGATTGGAAGACAACTGTGGCATCCTGCTTGTGCAATGGACTTCCACTCATGCAAACATTACTTTCCCTTCCTCTCCTCCCTCCTGTGTTCCTCCAAAATCTGCTGAGAGCTACAGGGAGGAGGAGAGATCACACTGCATTCATTGGTGCAACACTGGATTTCATCCATTAGGGTCAAAGAAACAGGACTGCTTTCCATACTTGATTTAATTTCAGCGCACACAAAACTGATAAAGTCCTTTCATAAGTAACACTCCCATGCAGCATGTGTGAACAGTTTAGTAGAGGCAAAATAAACCAAACCAAAAAGTATTTAGAAATATTTCTCTGCTAGAAGTAGCAACTGAATTGGGATGTAAAATCCGCAATAATATAAAAACCACAACAGATACGAATTATGAATTCTTCAAGCATTTATTGAAATAAGATTTTAAGTCGGTGTTTTTAACAGGTGATAATCAAGCTTAATTTTATTTGAGCATTATATAATTACTAAATAGCTTTAATGCATTAAGAAGGGGGAAATATGATGAGCATCATTTTAGGTTGTCACCTCCCCCCCCCCCAAAGATACAGCATAGCTATGTTCCTAGTCTGACAGCTGGGACTTTAGTAAATTTGCAAAATTTACCTGTAAATAGTGTAGATTGCAAGGACTGCATTCCTGCGCACATAGCTATGACGATGTTCCAGACATGCACGAATAGCTGGCATCAATGGTTCCAGCAATTCTGCTTCTTTAAGCTTGCAAAGGAAACGGAGAGTGGATCCTCTGATGAACTCGTTTGGATGTTGAAGATCCTGAAACATCAAAATCAAGATGATATATGTATTTGGAAACAAAGTACAATTGCATTCTGGTCTCCTTACATCAACTAAGTCTACTAAATCTGAACAAAATAAAAATCAACTAAATCTGGACAAAGGCAAAACTAATCCAAAACTGAAAGTCATTTTTACAATAAAACCACATCTTGGTCCAAAAGAACAAGACAAAAACATATTCCACTTACAAAGCAGGATATTTGGATATATGCTATAGCATTAGGATGGTTGATTACAAATTGTGTTGATTACATATTACGATTCTATGCTACAAGTAGAATAAATAAAAGATTAACCTTTCTGTAGGCATCACAAACAAGGATCATTTCTTGCAACAGTCTACCATCTGGAGTGGTCTTGGGAACAATCTCCCAAAATACTAAAAGCAGTTTTTTGATGGTGTGGTCCTGAAGTGGCAGCACAAACCGAATAATAGTCATCAAAAGTCCTGGCAGCTTTTCACCATTTAAAATCATTATGATTACTTTCTTCAAGGCCTCTGTCTTAGATTTCACATCTCCTTTTTCTGTTAGACAAAAGAAGCTGCGTAAGTTACATTAACCACAAACTATGATAGCAGAACATTTTTAAAATGTTGTTGCATTACATACTATCATTCTGAATTTCTTGTTCACTACTGCTACATTTTGTTACATGATAAACACTATAGAGGAGGCTTCTACACTTTGGCATAGTAAACCGTAGCCTTTGCCAACCTGGTGCCCCCCAGATGTAAGCCCCAGCCAATATGACCCATGCCGGCTGGTGCTGACTAGAGCTAGAATCCAAAATACCTGGAAGGCAACAATTTGGTGACGACTATTTAATTGTGTACTACTCCAACCAAAAGAACACACAAGTAAAGGGGAAGGGGAAGCATTTCTGGGTAGACACTATTGGGTTTACATGTGCCTCACATTACTCACAATTCAATTTAGGCAAAATTCTTACATACAACCACCACACAAAAGAATGCATGAAAAGTTCCCATATGGTGGCTCCTCTATGCAGTGGCTGTAATGCACAAGAGTTGCATGCAATAGAACACACACACACACACACACACACACACTTACTCAGCAATGCCTGCACTTTTGCTGCACTCCACTTTTTCAGTAGAGCTGCAACAGAGTGCAGAAGAACTGAAATTTAACTCATCATTCATCACTGTTTACTCTGCAACATGTTTACTCCACCTCCCATGTTTTGCCCATGAGACCTTATGTATTTCCTCACACTGATGTGTGGTCTGTTAACCATTTTAGCTGCTACTATACGCTTAAATTAGTTTGTTTCACTTTTTAAAGGCTGTTCTACAGCATTTAATGTTTAAAATATTTTCATTTCATTTTTTTCTTTCCTAACATTTCTCTGATTGCCACAACAGCACAACAGGCAATAGAATATTTGAAATAAATGTATATACAACTATAAAAGTATGGTCCAAAAAGCATAACTTACCCAAGTCATTCTTTAAGCTCATTTCAGAGGGTGGCTCCGAGTCCATAGGAACAATGATTAATGTATAGCACACATTTTCTGCAGCCGTCATTTTGTCTCTTTATCAAAGTTCTCTTAATACAAGAATTTTTTTTAAAGATGTCTCACAAACTCTGGAAAAGAATTCCAATAATGCAGTTACCGTATTTTTCGCTCTATAAGACGCACCAGACCACAAGACGCACATAGTTTTTGGAGGAGGAAAACAAGAAAAAAAATATTCTGAATCTCAGAAGCCAGAACAGCAAGAGGGATCGCTGCGCAGTGAAAGCAATCCCTCTTGCTGTTCTGGCTTCTGGGATAGCTACTCAGCCTGCATTCGCTCCATAAGACGCACACACATTTCCCCTTACTTTTTAGGATGGAAAAGGTGAGTCTTATAGAGCAAAAAATACGGTAATTGATTAGTATGCTTCTACTGTAGTCCATAAGTTGCCATAAAAAATTCCCACAAATATCTTCAAGTCTGCATTTTGTCTACTGTACTGAGGCCTGCAGGACAATGTACTGTATTGAAAATAATGAAACAAATGTGCAAATATTTGCATATTTCAAGGGGAACAGTGCAGCCTTGTATTCAGGCATAGGCAAGCTCGGCCCTCCAGATGTTTTGGGACTACAACTCCCATCATCCCCGACCACTGGTCCTGTTAGCTAGGGATGATGGGAGTTGTAGTCCCAAAGCATCTGGAGGGCCGTGTTTGCCTATGCCTGCTTGTATTTAACAACTCTCCTGCTGGCCACAGTCATCCAGGAATGCCATACAGCTGAGGCTAGTAACTTTTGTGGGCTGATTTACAAGTCTAGAATAACCTCAACAGAACGCTCACATGTACCAAAGCTTCAGTCCCATATATGTCTATTCAGCAGTAATACTGCCCCATTAGATTCAGAGGGCTGTACTTCCAGGTGTGTATGAGATTGCAGCCAAAATGCAACAGAACAGAACAAAATGCAACAGAGTAGAAAGTGTTTTTTAAAAAAGCAGTATCAATATACAGTATCCAGTTATCCAGTTCTCAATTGTTATTTAGACATTCCAGATGCTTAACTACATTAATATAAACCCTTCTAGTAAAGAATACATACACAATAAGGGCCTAAGAAAACACAGTTGGCTGTATAGTCACTAAAATAAGTGGACACTGTATCAGCAAAATAAAGTACCAAGTGCTTTATAAATTTCAGTGCTAGAATAAAATTCATGCTTAACCTTTGATGGGTTCATGCGCACTGAGACATTATTCATTGAGCAGTCAAATGCCAAACCCCAAGTTATAGCCAGTGGGGAAACAACCTTTTGACAAAGTCCATCACTAAAAGCTCATAAACTTAGCAGTCATGGAATTGGAGAAAAGGTACCCTTGCGGATGGGTAACTCCTTCAAAAATAGGAAGTGCAGGATAGGGACAGATTGTTCTCAAAATGAAATGCAGTATGAAAACACCCAAGGTTTTGTATTGTGATATTTGATCATAAACGATCTGGAGACCAGGGCTAGCAGGAAAAGTAGCCAAGTTTGCAGTTGACACCAAATGATTCCACATGGTGGTAGCTCAAACAAGTTTTGAGGTGTAGCAAAAGAACTTCTCCAAATGCAGTGAATGCATTTGCACAAGATGGCAAATGAGATTTAGTGTAAATAGATTTAAGGTGATATACATTAGGAGGTGAAAAAATCTAGATTCACATATACACCAATACAGCATACATTGATGGGAAGCAACCAGACAGGGGAGCTTGAAATCATGGTGAATCGCTAATGAAAACATTGATTATGTGCACCACATCAGTAAGGGAGAATTCCATGCTAGGGATTATTAGGTAAGAAACTGATGACGAAGTGATCTGTGCAATAAATCCACAGTGTAGTCATCTCCAGAATACTGTGTTCGGTTCTGGTCATCCCCCGTCCCACCCACTTGAAAAGTGGTCCTCACAGAGCTAGAAAAGGTGCAGAAAAGGGGAAACAAGGCTATCAGGGAATTTAAGTAATTTCTCTACAAGATTAGGTTTAAACTTAAAAACAAAAGAAATTAATACGGTGGCATATAACAGAGACTTATAAGATTATGCATGGCATAAAAAGAATGGAAACTTTTCTATTTTTATGCCTTCTCTTATAACAAAGACTCACTCAGTGAAATTGATTGGTAGTGGATTCAGAATTTTAAAAGGAAAGGACTTCTTCTTAGAGTGACCAATTGGTGAAAAAACAAATCACTCCCACAAGTGAAATCACTGGGTCAGATAGTTAAAAACAAACACACACAAGTGTTATTGTAGAAAATTGTCCTCATATTTTTATCCAAAAAACACAGACCCTCTTCTGTGAAACTCACAACTACATACATGTACATGATGGATAGGTGAATCAGTAGTTCTCACCCATGGCTAACAAATGGAACCTCCATGTTCAAGGGCAGCGTGCCGCTCAATGCCAGCTCCTGGCAAACCACAACCGGAGAGGGCTGGTGCCCTCATGTCCTGTTTGTGGGCTTCCTAGAGGCACCTAGCTGGACACCAGGAGAAACAGGATGTTGGACTAGGGGCAGGTCCTTGATCTGACCCAGGCATAGGCAAACTCTCCCCTCCAGATGTTTTGAGACTACAATTCCCATCATCCCTGACCACTGGCCCTGTTAGCTAGGGATGATGGGAGTCCCAAAACATCTGAAGGGCCGAGTTTGCCTATGCCTGACTTCTTAAGTCACTCAAAGAAGGACGCCTGTGCACACCAGAGCCAACGAAACAGCTTTCGGGGCCAAGATTCTCTTTTTTTAAGTTGAAATCAAACTTCCAACTTCTCCCGTTCCCCCGGTTTTTTTTTTTTTTTTTATCTCCGGACTAAGCTACCTGGCAAAGAACTGAACCCGGGTGTTTCCAAACCACTCGCTGCCCACCGACCCAGCAGCAACGACGCGCCCCTCTTGCGCCCGTTTAATCCAGGGGGAAATCCCCCCGCCGCCTCCCCCCGCCGGCTCCTCCGCCCTGGGAAGGCAGAGCCGGACTCGCGACCTGAGGCTCCTGACCGACCCCCGAGTGACAAAGAGGCGCCCTTCTGCCTCCCCCATCTTGGCTCGGCGACGGCGTCCGCTCGGCATTAGGCCCAGTCGAGGGATTTGGCGCCCGAGCCTCCCGTGAGGGCGCACGTTCTTCCAGCGGGAGGCTGGAGACGGCAGGGAAGGTCCTTCTCCGCCTCACGACGACGCTGAAGCCCCTCAGGAAACTCGGCGGGCCCCGACGCTCGGCGCCTCCCCGGCATCCCTTTCCCCGCTACTACTAACCTCCCGCGGCTCCGGGTCGCTTCCCCTCGCTGGCGGTCCCCGCTGCGGCCTCGGAAAACGGGCGCTGAGGCTGCGCGGCCGCCGTCTCGTCGCTTCGGTAGCGGGCCGTAGCGGGTCCTCCCCGCCTTCCTGGCTCCTCCCGGCGGCGCCGCTGCCTCCTGCAGCTGACGTGGAAGCACTCGGCGCGCAGGGCCACATCGATAGTACGGCGGCCCGGACGGGACACGCCTCCTCCGCCGCTTGCCGAAACGCGCGTTCGCCGGAGGCGGGGAGCTGAAGCGCGGCCTCTTCCGCCTCACACCGGGTCGCCGTGTCCGGGTTGGAGTTCAGCTTGCGAAGGCCGAGGCTGCTTCCTCACCCGCTCCTGGGAGCAGGACGTGGGCGCCGTCCGCCCTAGTGGCCGAGGGGCCGTTACACTGCGTGGCATTCAGTGGCCCCGCGATAGGGCTTTCGGGTTTCAGGCGCCCGTTTCTTTCTAAGCCACGGATGGGGAACTTCAGGACCAGGGGTCAAATGCAGCCCCTCTCCATCTCGGCCGTGGGCCTCTTTCCCAGGCCGTGTACCAGTGCCGGATTTACGTATAAGCTAAACAAGCTATAACTTAGGGTCCCACTCTCTTGGGGGGGGGGATTAAAGGGGGGGGGGAACTGGATGTACATTTCCAAAATATAAGATAAAAAACAAATAAAATAAAACCCACATACAGCAACACTGGGTTGTGTTGTGTAGGCTCCTATTTGTTATGTGCAAATGGCTTTAGATACTTATTAGGTCCATAAATTATCATATAGCATATATTCAACACAAAAAACAGCGGCAATTTGTTGACAAAGGACAGCTGGACATCTAAAGGACCCCATTACCTTCAGTAGCTTAGGGCCTCATCAGACCTAAATCCGGCCCTGCGTGTATCCTTCACCCCAAGGAACACCCCTTATCAGTCTTTGCTCAGCCTTGTTTGTGGTAGCTGGAATGGGTCCCTGAACTCTGACTGTGCTTCTTGCTTGCCTGACAGGTGGTGTGAGGGTGTGGAAACTAGGCTAGGGTACAAAGGCAAAATTCACATCAGTTGCCCCATCCAACACAGGCATACTGGCTCCGGGAGGGGGTGTTGCCTTGAACTGAAAAGAATTACTGACAATGGCCTTAGGTTGCAATCCTAAAATGCTTTCTAGCGTAAACCACATTCAATTCAGTAGGATTACTTCCAGACAGACACACATCTAGTATCCTATTCAAAACCTGTACTTTTTATTTTGTAGAATCATAGAATGGTTCATCAATTATCTAGAGTTAAGGGTGAGTAGTGTGGTCAAGTTTCCTGATGATACTGTTCAGAGATGTTAAAGAGATTGTGAAAAGCTCCAAAAAGACCTCTCTGAACTAAGTGACTGGGCAGTAAATGGACAAGTGAAATTCAGTGTAAACAAATTTAAAGTGATGTGCGTCAAACACAATCTTAATTTCTTATACATGCTCATGGAGTCTGAACTGGTGGTGACTGACAAGCAGTAAGAACTTGGGAGTCAAAGCAAATAGCTCCATGAATGGCCCAGCGTGTGGCAGCTGTGAAGAAGGCAAATTCCAAGCTAGGGATCATTAGGAAAGGATTTGACAATAAACTGCCAATATCATAATGCAATTATTCAAATCTATGGTGTGACTGCATTTGGTATATATACTGTGTTTCAGGGGTTGGCAAAGTTTTTATGACTTGGGCCGCTTCACGGTCCCGCACATGCTGCAGTGGGCCAGAGTGCGTGCATGCACACATGCGCAAACACTATTTCCAGCGCTCCTTCCGGCACACAGGAGGCATGCGCAGCTTCCCATTGGTTGCAGGAGCTTCCTGCAGCCAATGGAAAGCCAGCCAGCGACACGGAAGGCGGTCCCCACTCTGCTCCGTGCCAGTTTAGCGCGGCGCATAGGAGCTAACCAAACGGGCGGCGGGGTCCCTGAGTGGGTGGCAGAGGTCCATGGGCTCGTTAAATGACCCTCATGGGCCGCTTGTGGCGCATGGGCCTTAGGTTGCCAACCCCTGGTTCTGATCACATCTCAAAGGTCAGAAAGGGCAACGAAAACGATCAAGGGGGTGTTGCAACTCCTCTGAGGAAAGGTTGCAGTATTGAGGTGATTATGCATAGCATTATTATTATTATTATTTATTGAGTTCATATACCACCCTATACCCGCAATAAGGGACGCAGGTGGCGCTGTGGGTTAAACCACAGAGCCTAGGACTTGCCGATCAGAAGGTCGGCAGTTCAAATCCCCGTGACGGGGTGAGCTCCCGTTGCTCGGTCCCTGCTCCTGCCAACCTAGCAGTTCGAAAGCACATCAAAGTGCAAGTAGATAAATAGGTTCCGCTCCGACGGGAAGGTAAATGGCGTTTCCGTGCACTGCTCTGGTTCGCCAGAAGTGGCTTAGTCATGCTGGCCACATGACCCAGAAGCTGTACGCCGGCTCCCTCGGCCAATAAAGCGAGATGAGCGCCGCAACCCCATTGTCGGCCACAACTGGACCTAATGGTCAGGGGTCCCTTTACATTTACCTATACCCGCAGGTCTCAGGCATGTAGATAGAGGATAGAAAAAAGTCCTTCCCCGCCTCATAACACTAGAACTCAGGGCCATCCAATGAAACTGAATGTTAGACAACTCAGGACAGATAAAAGAAAGTACTTCTTCACACAGTGCATAGTTGAACTATGGAACTTTCTCCCTCAAGAAGCATTGATAATGATTTTGCTTTTCCTGATTTAATGAATTAAAAAATAAAAACCAGAGCAAGTTGTTTCAAGAAACAGGTTTATTTAATCAACACCTTTATGACAGGAAAACAAGCTTTTTCATATAAAACAATATTCCGTAGTTTCTAGAAAATGACATCTCAAGAGCAGTGGTCAGTTATTAATTCTTTGCTGCCAGTTTAGGATTTTTGGCAATACATTTTTGTAGACCAACTCACTAGAATGTATCACTACAATATGCATTTATCTCAGAGTTATGTTAACAGAATACAAATGCATGCTCTGGCATTCCTGTGTCTGAAGTGCATGCACAATGATTAGTGCTCCATTGGTTCTTCAGCCTTTTCTGCAGTTTCTTCAGCAGGTTGAGCAGTCTTGAAAAGGTAAAATAAAAATATTAAATATATTTAAAACTATGTCAGTTTTAATTGTCACTGGTAGCAAATTATAGAACAAAATCTTACAAATATAAAACCCCACCAATATTTAATTTTAGAGGCCAAGTCAATTCTGATTTTCAATATTCCACAATTCTGCACTAAATAATTGCATAGAATCAAAATCAAATTAGGCCATGATATATCTTTATTAATCAAATCTTTGCAACTTTAATATAATTCCCATTTAGTTCCCAAGCCTGACAGCAGTCATACTATACATGCCTGCTTTAACTGTAATTTGTTCCTCTTATTTAAAAATGGTTCTAAAGTTCCAATATAGATAAGAGTGTCCAACATAAAAAACTTTTTAGATAAACATGATTCTGTGACTGAAAAACCCAATAATGGTTGTACCAAATAATTTCATACTGGAGCCTATTAAGTGTCCTCTCATTGTCCCCATTTACAGGACAACTTTCTTAAAAATACTTTGTGATATCCAGCTTATCTTTAGTGCCATGGCATCTGAGGGGGCTATTTTTGTTGATTCCCCCTCCTGCAGCCATCAGAAAATGTATTCTAGAGAGTTAGAATCTGTTCAGAACAGATTTTGAGGGCTGCTGGGGTGGTAGATGGGGAGGAGAAATCAGCAAAAGTTGTTGCCTTTCATTAGTAGATGTCTCCTGCAGGACCAATAAAATAATTGCCTATTAACAATTACAAATATAATTAAGACAATTAAGACAGTTAAACGTTAGCAAAGTATAGGAGTCTCATTTCTCCAGAGGTTAAATATTGGACCAGGCTTGTTAATTTAAAATAATGCCTTTTTCTAGTGCCTAAAGGACAAAAAGCAGATGTCAAGAGAATTACACTGGGGACAGCTTTCCACAGAAGGGGTTTCACAAAATGTAGCAAAACCATAGCTTACAGAACACTAAAATCAGGTATTTTACAAAATGTTACTGTGTAAGTAAATTCAACGTGTTGTATTAAATTTGTGTACCTTTCTCTGGGGTCTTTCTTCAAGTCCTTCTAGGAATGGTGCTACATCATCATCATCATAAATAGTGAACTCCATATCTTTACCAACAATCCCAATGGAAACATTCTGTTAAATGATAATTGTAAAACTAAGAAAGGCGCCACTGTCTTTCTGCAGCACAGATTATGTACATCTGTTCAAAGGGAAGTCAGGAGGATTTAGACCATTCTTTCCCAATATTGTGCCCGTGCAGAAGTCTTTGTGTAGGGCTTCTGCTGATGAGGCTGGTTAGGTAAATCCTGCCCGTTAAAGCAAAAGATTAGCCACCTCCATGATAGACACCAAGCAACACCTCCTGTTCATTTTAATCAGGCACCCCCATACTCGGCCCTCCAGCTATTTTGGGACTACAATTCCCATCATCCCTGACCGCTGGTCCTGTTAGCTAGGGATGATGGGAGTTGTAGTCCCAAAACAGCTGGAAGGCTGGGTTTGGGGATGCCTGATTTTAATCATGATGAAAAGCCAGCATAGGTGAAGCAAGGTACACCTTAGCTGGCAAAGCATCTCACAATGTATTAATTGCTATGAAGGAGCATACTGTACCCTTGTGGCCTCACAAATCAGTAAAATGACAGGATATGGAACACCACCATGGAGTAGATACAAAAGTGGCAGGTACATACAGGACATTCCCCAGTATACATAAGCCTTTGATCACATACCTATGTATTTGACTGGAATAGGTCCAGAAAAACCTGCTCATCCAAGAATTCCTGCAACAGCTCAAACATTGCCTTTATTACTTTGGCCCCAAACCCCAGAATTTCACATAGGCCTGCTGTTATTCAAGCTATCCAGATAATCAGAACTAGTGTTATTATGCATACAAGTGTCTCCTTGCTAGTGCTGGTCAATATCCAATATTAGCCATATTCAGAGCAGACCCACTTGAATCACTGGCAAATGACTTACTTGGCTATCATCTGCTATTTATAAGTAGGTAAGCACATTTCCAGTGTTTGCACAAACATGTATAAAAGTGATGCATGCAAGTGCTGTTCAAATGTAGCAGAGTTGCTTAAGCTAATGATACAGTTCAGGAGTTCTGGGTGCACTGGTAAAAGGGTTATTTTGTATCTTTTTACCTGAATAATCTTCACTACGTACAACTCTTCCGTTGTGAATTTTGGCTTCCACTTACACAAATGATAGGATTCATCCCCCTTCTGTATTGTGCTTTGCTAGTGTTACGCTCCAAAATCACAGAACAGACCACAAATAAAAAAAGGTTCCAGCACTTGCCTTAGTAGTCAGATCCTGTTCTGCAGGAAGAGTCTCTCTCAAGGCACGTAGTCCATGCTTAACTAGCTCATTCAGATTACCTGTAAAATACGTTTTCAGTTATGACCAGTTCAGAAGCTCAGTACAGTCATACCTCCACTTATGTATCCCTCTGGATACGTAATCTTCGGGATGCGAATGTGGCAAACTGGAAGTATTTTTCCGGGTTTTGCTGCATGTGCAGAAGTGCTAAACTGCGTGCATGCGCAGGAGCAGTCCTCCGGTTGTGAATTCCTCGGGATGCGGCCGGACCTCTGGAACGCATCCCGTTTGCAACCAGAGGTACCACTGTATTTCTCCTGCGGGGAAGGGAAAGTTTCAAAGCACTCTCTCCCTCCCCATGCCTGTGATTACCAGTCAAAGTCCGCTCAGCAATAAACCAGGAACACAACATGTACATGGGAGAAAGGGGTGGAGCAATATGTGCGAAACATCATACAGTCAAACCTCGGTTGTCGAACTTAATCCATTCCAGAAGCCCGTTCAGCTTCCGAAATGTTCGACAACTGAGGCACGGCTTCTGATTGGCTGCAGCAGCTTCCTGCACTCAAGCAGAAGCCACACTGGACCTTCAGCTTCTGAAAAATGTTCGAAAACTGAAACACTTCCAGGTGTTCGGTGTTCAGGAGTCAAAACGTACAGTAACAGAGGCATTCGGGAACCCAGGTTTGACTGTACTACAAATCAGCTAGAGGAGACCAAACACTTACAGTCAGCAAATTCGGTCATGTGTCGCTCCAAGTAAGTTCGAGCTGACTGGGACCTAGCTCCAATGGACATTGCTTTGCAGTCAAAATAATTTGCAGAAGGACAGGTCTGGAAGATATGGGGACCCATATCCTAGTAAAACAAAGGGATGTTATTTATTTACCATGAAATAGCATAAAGATATTTCCATTCTATTTTATTTCAGAAGAATGCAATATATAAAATCTGTATTTAACATATATGGGTACATATACAATTTTCAATTTTCAGGTTTCCTGACCAAAGGCGTAAAATAATATGGTGCTAATACTATACCATATGTTTCATGCCTTGCATATAGGATGAAATACAACTGATTCTCCTTGTATTGTTACTGCATAAGTGGAGTCTTCTTCTTCTTCTTCTTAAATAAATTTGTATACCACCCTATACCTGTAGATCACAGGGTGGTTCACAACATAAAATTACAATACAGTCATACCTTGAAAGTCAAACGGAATCTGTTCCGGAAGTCTATTTGACTTCCAAAACAGTTGAAAACCATAGTGTTCAGAAGCACCATTGGATGTTCAGGTTCCAAAGAACGTTCACAAACCGGAGCACTCACTTCCAGGTTTGTGGCATTCGGGAGCCAAAACGTCCAAGTACTGAGGCATTCAGGATCCAAGGTAAAACTGTATAAATAGCAGAATAAAAACAAGAACAAAAGTAAACCAATAATCCTCCCTTCCACAACACATTGAATGTCAACCGGCCAAACACCTGGTTAAAGAGAAATGTTTTCACCTGGTGCCTAAAGGTGTATAATGAAGGCGCCGGGCGAACATCCCTGGGGAGAGCATTCCACAAGCGGTGGAGAAGTGGGTTTTGCCTATTCCCCCTCCTCCATCTCCCCAAAACCTATTCTGGAGGTTTTGGCCTGTGACAGTATAGAATGGGGGGGGGGGAGTGGGGCAATCAGCAAAAATCTCTTCCCCTTAGTGGACACCTCCACTAGATCAAAAGGTCTTGTGCTCACAGGAGGCCAGCCCTTGGAGACAACCCACTGTTTACTGCCATGTTGCCAATATATTATCATGCTTCTAGCATGGTAAACTCTCATTATACTTTAGAATAATGTATCATCCAAGGAATATGTGATAGACAAGTATGAAAAGCAGCCTTACATCATAGCCTGCAATGAGAAGTCCGACACCATATGGCCTTCTGCCATACCGTTGTGTTGGTATCTGCGTTTCTTGGACAAGCTGAGGAATGTGTCTCAAACGGCATGTATATTTCAGTTATAAAAACATTTCTATCCCACTTTTCCACCCTCAAGGGGGCCCTAAGGCTTACAAATAGAGAAAATAGAAAGACAAGTAATGCTAAAATCAGATAGTATTTAAAATGAAAGTTATTAAAACCATCAGCAACATACATTTCAATTGAACACAGCCCACAAAACAGCTGAGCAGAGAAGCCCCTCACTAAACCAAATGTCTATGAATACTCAACACAAATATTTAAGATATATGCACTTGATTTATTGTGGCAACTACACAAAAGTTATCACTTACTGCTCAAGTAACATGAACGTGCAGAACCATTCAAACATTCTGAGTTATACTCAAGGGTGTCACTCAGTGAATATTAAGACCTTTGATAGCAGAAGATAATCAATTTTCAAATATATTCTCCCTCCCTAATCTGCTCTGGAGGACCTCCCAATCCTCTAGAGCAGAATTTGGGGGTGATGGGTGGGCTGGAGCTGCAGAAAATTACTTCCCTACCAGTTTTGGTGATAGAAGCCTTACCATCAGCTGAGTAATACTGTTGAATACAACTCTTCAACTTTATCATTTGGTTTTTACCACTACCATCTGTGGCTGAAATTTTCCAGGGATCAGTGGATCCAGCACCTTTAATATTAAAGCAAAGGGTCTCCAATGACCTGCACTAGTTTAGTTCTTACACAAGTCAATACACTTATTGAAGTAGTAAGAACACTGGTCAAGAGCAGAGCATAATCTTGGCAACTATGAGCGTCTCACGATAACAATCACAACAAAAGGATACTGCTTCCAATCAGAGATACTAGTCGAGACACTGGAAGAGGTCTGTCAAATACAAATCTAGAATCCAGACACTCCTGGCGCATGAAATTGCTGCAGGATTCAAAGAGAGAAACAAAAATACACCAGTAGATGGCTTGTTATGCACAGGTTTCATTCTAGGTGTAGCTTTGATCCTTGTTATGATTACTGGAGTGCCATGCACTAGCCCCATCTAGAGGGCACCAGCTTAGGCAAGCTGTTCAGCTAGAATATGCTTGGTGGTCACAGCAGCAAGCAGTGCTCAAATCTCACCTCTGCCAAGAAGTTACTGGACAGAGTATGTTTAGCCACTGTGTTTTATACAAGGTTTTCATGTTAGTTATGCTGCAAATCACTTTGGGACATTCATAGAATAATAAGGCTGCAATCCTATATTCACTTACTTGGGAACAAACGCCACTGAACTCAATGGCACTTACTTCTGAGTAGACATGCACAACATTGCCTAGCAAGTCACTGTTCCGCCCATCTCAGCCCCTTCCCCCGCACCCTCACAATACTGGCTACCTCTTAGCTGAATCCCAGACAATGTGTTTATAAGTTTGCTTTAATTCCAGTCAATGCTACCACTGGGGTTTACATGCAATTTCATGTACTCTTAAAAGTAGGCATATAAATATTTGAAATGCACTAAAATATGTGTAATTTTATCTCTGTGCCCTATATATGAAATAAACCAATTTGCAAAATTACCATAGAAGTCTTGCATCAGCAGTAAGCCCAGCAATTGAAATACCGATATGGTTGTCAACATATAAGATTTTTTTCTGATGAGCTGCCAGCTCAGACTGTGCCCTCTAAACACAGAAAAAATAGTTGTGAGTCACACAAACATTCTGACAATGACAAGTATGGTTATAGTAACAACTGAATGGAGAGTCTTTTATCCATCCCTGCTTATGAACACATGAAGATGCGGTACACTGCCAGATGATTGGTCCAGACCAGTCGTTCCCAATTGGTGGTCCACGGACCCCAGGTCTGCATAACCCACCCAGGGGGTCTGTTGCACCATTCACATAACAAAAATTACCATAGACATATCAAAATTTTCAAAAGTAGTGGGTCCATGGCTTGGCTTTTGAAAAACGGGGTCTGCAGTACTTCGCCAACTGGGAACCACTCTTCTAGGTAGCTCAGTATAGGCAACTCCCCATTTATGTCGGGGTTACATTGTGAGGCACAGCACATTTAAGTGAAATCATGTATATTTAAAGCATGACTGAAAAAGTCTGCAAACACACCATTCTGCCCCCGCCCCACTTTTGTGACATTTTCGAGTCACTTCCAGGTTTGGCGCAGTCATGCACATATCAGACACGCCTAAAACCATCGCTGCTTGTACTGTCTATCTGGCAGCAGCTCAGCAATGATTAATGGCGGGTAGTGTATTTAGAAAGGAAAAAGCACCATTATGTTCTATTATTTCCAGAGCATTTAGAATGCAGTACTTTACTTCATGGTAGTTAGGCTTACAATTGTATAATAGAGGAGTTCAGATATATTATAGAATCACAGCATTGTAGAGTTGGACAGGACCACAAGAGTCATCTAGTCCAACCCTCTGCAATGCAGGAATCTTTTCCCCAACGTGGGGCTCAAACCCACGACCATGAAATTAAGAGTATCTTGCTCTACCAACTGAGCTCTACCAGCTACAAGGATGCTTGGCAGAGGTGGGATTCAAACCCACACTTCCAGAGATTCTTGCCCAATACAATAGTCCCCCTTACCACTGACATATTATTATAGTAGGAAAGAATTGCATGCATCCTCTTCCCATTTTAAAGGGGGTGAGGGATTGACTCCAAGCTTTACCCTAATGTTTACCTTTAAAGCAACTAGAACAGCATGGTTCTTTGATTTTAGTCCAACAGTTGCAGAGCCTTGCTTCACAGCCTCCATTGCATATTCAATTTGGTGAATTCGCCCCTAAAGAAGAAAACACAGATTAAAATGTTCCTCTTTTAAAATGTACTGACTCCAGAAGTACATTGATCATATTGCATACTGCAATGAGCAACCTTCTGGCACCATTGCAACTAGGAAGGTGAAAGAGATAGAGAGAGAAAAAATACACACCAAGTTACAGTAACAAGGAACTTCTGAACTAGCATAGTGAAGCACTGCAACTTGGCTTGTATGTGCATTCTCTCTCAGCACCACAGCCTTCCCAGGAAGTCTTTTTACTTTGGGCTGCCAGATACATTTCATTCCAACTATATATATGCCTTTTATAATTCCATAGTTTACCAACCAATGGAATATAACAAATGCCTTTTTATGTTCAAGTGGAATTAATGGCTTCACAAGACAGTGTTTGGCACATTGATACAATTATGTTCTGACCAAGCAACCCTAAATACTTTTCACACCAAGTAAAATATAAAATACCTGAAGAATTACCATCCATTTGGCAAGGATCTCTGTTGTTTATTCACAAACAGCACATGCATACACACAAAACAGGAATTGGTGTAACTGTGTACACACTAGTTCCTACAACTTTCCCTTTAAAAAAAATGATTGCGCTTTCCACAATGTCTAGGCAATCAATCAAACTTGTATGGAAAACTGTTTACTAGCGTATTCCTTAGGCTATTAAAATTAGGTACAAACCACTGCAATGAGTTGAGAAAAATAATAATAATTAATTAATTAATTAATTAATAATAATAATAATAATACCTGAGGGCTCCAAACGGTGACATCATTGTCATACTGGTTGCGAAACTAAAGTGCACAAAATAGAATCTATTAACATGAGTCGCATTATCAGCTGCAAAGGTACAACGTTATGCTTTAAATCATTTTAAAGTAAAACATAAGAACAGCCCTGTTGGTTCAGGCCAAAGGCCCATCTACTCTAGTATCCTGTTCTCACGGTGGCCAACCTGATGCCTACGGGAAGCACACAAGCAACACCTGAGTGCAACAGCACTCTGCCCACTTGCGATGCCCAGAAACTCTTCAAAGACATATTACCTATGGCAGTGATGGTACAGCCAGTAGCCACAGAAATATACAAGCAGGGACAAATTTTACTTTCAAGATAAGACTGAAGAAGGTTTGTTTGTTTAAATGTGGCACTTCACAACTATTAAGGTTTGCTAAGCTCAGAATGCAAAGCTAGGCATAGGGAACAAGGGAGAAATAAGGTAAGGTATGGGAAACGGAGAGATTAGAATTACTCAAAAGTATTGCAAACAGTGCAGTAAGTAGCATAGGCACATGGCCTAATCATGTTATCATGGATTAGGGGTAAGAAAGAACATTTTTAAGGTGAGGAGCTTTAAAGAAATGATTCGTGATTAGCAACCCAATACTGAACATGCTGCACAGAAACAAGTCCGAAGTCTAACACTACAATCCTGCTTCCATAAAATCAAGGTAAGTTTTACTTTTGATTACAGTAAGAGCAACATCATGCCTTTTTTGGCTGATCAAAGCATGAATCAACACACTACTAGACAATTGCAGAATAACAGCTTTCTACAGCATTAACTGCCCCACACCAGCTATGTTGAATCAAATGGTTTCACTTCTCTTTGAAGGGCTGCATTCAGGGTTTACAAGACATTGAAGCACTTTGGCATTTTTAAACCAAATTCGAAACTCCTACATGAATGAAATTTTAGCAGAAGACTTTTCTGCTATTTTAGTGGGGATCAAGAAAATTCTAAGATGTGTTCTAAACAAGAAATCTGCAAATTTAAATTTGATTATATGAAGGTGCGTGTGAGGGCTACATGAAGGCCTATATTTAATTCAAGAAGTTATGCTGAAGTACATGTCTCTTGCTCATAGAATACCCGGAAGAAGTAAAACTGGAGACTGGCACCACCGGGGCTCTAAAATATTTGATACAGCCACATACATACCTGTTCAACTTTCACCCTGAGAAAAGTCCTCCCCCGCTACCCCGAAGTCATATAGAGGAGAACAATGGAGTCATGAAGCAGAATAAAATGCTGCATCATTGAGCAATGGTGAATGATTCGCTCTTTGTGCAAACTGGACATATGCTTCCTCTGGAGGTTATACAGAAAAACTGGACGGCAACCAGTTTCTTGTCAGACATTTTATCTTGCCTGACAAGCCTGCGATTTCGAAGGGATGAGAAAGGAGTTTCGCTTTCGGTTAAGGAGGAGAGAATTTGAGATTATTATCGGGTTGAGGTGTTGGGGCAGCCATAATAGTCCCTGCATTTTAGAGAAAGGTGGATTATTTTCTTCTTTTATGGAAAAAAAATCTGAACAAACGGTGCGGGAGGGATTGATGCTGCTGCTGCCCCTTTCTTGCGGAAGGGGCTCGGAGGCGCGAAAAAGAAGATTTGGGAATCCAGGAAAGTTTGATTTAGGGAGAAGGCGGAGGGATCAGCCAAAGAGATGCGGGGGCAGCGCTGGGAGGCTTCAGGCTCCTGAAGGCGGCAGGAGAAGAGGCACAACCTGGGCCCAGACACAACCACCACTCCGATGTGCTGACTCACCCACCTACTCGGACGAGGGAGACGCAGCCTCCCCGCGATCTCTCCCCGGGCTCCTTCTGGCTCTCCGTCCTCACTCCCTCCCGCCAGCCCCCGATCCCCACCCGTCTCACCATGTCGGCTGCTTCCCGAACACCACCACGAGCGGCTGCACCGGCGAGGGTGGCTTTGGAAAAAGAGGAGATCGATAGCTCGGCGAGCGTCGAGTGCGGGCTTCGGGACTTCCTTCCGTCTCTGGCGAGGAATCGCAGCCGATCGCCGAACCCCCGATCCAAAGGCGCCTCGCCAGGACGGCTCCTCCCCCTGGAACGGCAAAAGTTCGGCGCGTGCGCACTGGACACTCGCCGCTTCGCGCTGTGAGCCGCCCTGAGCTCTTCAGATGAAGAGCGGTATACACATTTAATGAAAGCGTAATAATAAAAATAGCGACCTGCCCGATCCTTTACCTGTTGTTGTTTTTCCCCTTTTAAAATATTAACAATGCAATACTATATGATTCTCCTCAAAAGTAAGTCCCCTTGAATTTAATGAGATTTAGGTAAAAGGTCCCCTGACCATTAGGTCCAGTCGTGACCGACTCTGGGGTTGCAGCGCTCATCTCGCTTTATTGGCCAAGGGAGCCGGCGTACAGCTTCCGGGTCATGTGGCCAGCATGACTAAGCCGCTTCTGGCGAACCAGAGCAGCGCACGGAAACGCCGTTTACCTTCCCGACAAAGCGGTATCTATTTATCTACTTGCACTTTGATGTGCTTTCGAACTGCTAGGTGGGCAGGAGCAGGGACCCAGCAACGGGACCTCAACCCGTCGTGGGGATTTGAACCGCCAACCTTCTGATCAGCAAGTGCTAGGCTCTGTGGTTTAACCCACAGCGCCAGTCCCAGGTAAATTAGTGTGGGACTGCAATCTAGATTGACACAGCTGGGAGAGTTGGTGGGAATTGTAATCCAAAATGTATGGAGGGCACCAAGTTGGTAAAGACTGGTATACATAAAAAGCTGTGGAATTATAGAGGCAATCAGGTGGCACTCTTGGCAGCACAGAGAGTCCAGAGCAAGGCATTAGGCCAGGCACTCCCAAACGTGGCCCTCCAGATGTTTTGGGACTACAACTCCCATCATCCCTAGCTAACAGCACCAGTGGTCAGGGATGATGGGAACTGTAATCTAAAACATCTGGAGGGCCGATGGGGGCACCAAAACACCTGGAGGGCCGATGTGGGTACCTGCATTAGGCCAACCTTGCAGGAGGGCAAGTGCACTTCGTTGATGGGTGGGGCCAAAACAAATGAGATGGGGCAACAAGTTCAAGTCAAAGCAATTTACAGAAGCTTAAGCAGCCCGGGGAAAATATCGAGGCCTTTGCCTGGCACCGAAATTACATCAAGGTCACATACAGGACATCACGCTTTAATTCTGCTGTATGCATCTCAGTTACCCCTTCTGTTGCTACACTGAAGTAACTTCCCAGAAAGAAGTTGCACAGCATATTAATGGAGCTTGGGCATGCCTCATTCTAAGTAGTATGCCAGTGTAGTGAATAAATCATGCTGTTGGCCTGTATTGATCATCTGTAAGGATGGATGATTGTTACATCCTGATTCACCAAAATTCATCCAACATTTTTACACCCAAAAACCAGGACATCAAGATTTTTCTACTACTACTATCTTATCAATAAAGGTCTGAATCATATCTAATGAGAGAAAAATGGGCCCTGGGGTAACTGTGCACATCCCCACCTCCTGTGTGCGCACCCTTCTCAAGGTCTTCTTGTGAAGAAAGATACATGCATCTGTTATATCCTTCCTTTTTGCCGTAGCACATATTCATTCTTTTGGGGATATGAGGAAGAATGGGCACATAATTCTTTTTTTCTGTGCTCTCACGTATGAAAGGTACTATCTCATCACTTCAGGGTAGGAGACCTGTTGAAAGAGGACAGGATTCCTGCCCTTTTAAATAGTCTGAGTAAAAGGCGAAAGATTTATACGATCTGAAGAGAAACCACGAGTGAAAGGAGCAGGAGACAAAGTAAAGTACAGGTATAAATATGAAGAAGAACCGCAGATGGGACATGGAAGGGACTTAAGGGCCTCGGACATAAGATTACCAGGTTAATGCGCTAGATTGATGGGATAGAAAGGACTGACAAAACCCGGGACCAGGAGGAAGAGACGCTGGATGAAGATTGGAAGGGGGGAAAAAAATGTTTTTATTAGGATTGTTTTATAAAATTGATGAACGTTAGAAAAATGATGGAACGAAATTATTTGGCTTTAGCAAAAATGTTTAAAGAATTATGTAAGAATATTATGGTTATGAGAAATTGGTATAAATAAGATTTAAGTTTTAAGGTCTTTTATAGTAAGATAAGATTAAAATAGATTAAGGTAATGTAATGACAGAATATTATGAAATATGGAAAGGATTTGCTGTGACAATTAACAACTAGGATACAAAAAAAAGGGAGGAGTGAGGAGGTCAAAGAAAGAAGGTAATGACAGTTAAGGATTTGAGAATATTGGATTTGTTTTTAAATGTTTGTGGCATATTTTTGTCTTTTGATTGTGTTGTGTTATTTTTTGGTTTTGATTTTTATCAATTTGTATTGTTTGATTGTGGTTTGTTTTTCCTTTGTTTTTTCTCTCTCTTTTTCTTTTTTGTTTTTTTTTTGTAATTCTAAAATTCTTAATAAATATCATTTAAAAAAAAATAAATAGTCTGAGTAGAAAAGGCACCTTGTTATGCAAGTTACACTTGCTGAAATCCTCTCTTCTGCACAAGTATTAAAGATATAGAAGGCACCTGGCCACCCTACTTAAAGAGTCTTTAAAGACTTTTGAAATTATTCTTGCTCATCTTCACAGAATAGTACCAGTTCCTAATTGTCACAGGCTATGTCCCTAAGTATAATATACATTTTTGCCTTGTATAAGGAGGTTTTGCTACTTTTTTGGCTGTTGTGATCAAAGATATTATTAGCTCATTGCTATATTTGTTTTGTTTATTAAATTCCCATACTTCCCTTCAGCCGAGGATCATAAGGCGGTTTACAATATATTTGACTGCCAACATAAAAGAATAGTTCTGATATGGAAACTTATCATTAATACAAATTTGTCTGGAGTCCCTTTTGCTACAGTATATGTGAGGCTTGTGTCTTTTTACCCTTGTAATTCCCTACTACACTAGATGGGAACCACTGCTTCAATTGTTATTTATTTAATCTATTATTTTCATTATGCCTTTGTATATGCACTCTCAGAGTTGGCAGCCTTGTTCAGCAAATAATCTTTTCTGTCTTTCATATCTTGTTTGCCAGTTGTGTTTACTCATCCATTTTTCTCTTTAGTTGTCAAGCAGCAACCACCCAAACTGCATCCTCTGTACCAAAAGCCATCTAAGGAAGCCCAGCAGATGGTCTAGCTGCTGTGAAACAAAGAGTTGCTTTCATTCTTAAATTTGTTTCCTCAGCTCTTTTCATTTGGTAACTCTGTAATAGAACATTTGACCTTTGCAAAGATCAAAATGTAAATAATGTTCTTTTCATGTTGTTCTTTAGCAACCATTTAAAAAGTCAAATAACATTAAAGTCCTTTTTTACTTTTAAAATGTTATTGCTGCCAAGATCTCTCTCCCCCTCTGCCTTGGAGTCCTTCTGTGATTTATCACAATATGCATTAGACCTGAACAGGCTTGTCAGCATCAGATGATCAGAACTATAAAGCCCAACCCTTTGTGGTTTAACTTAGAAATAAGTGTGAAATCAATTAATCTAGGCTGTAGCCTTGCAGCAGAAGGCCCACTAGGTTCAGTGATGCTTATATCTAGATATGTATAGGATTGCAACCTTTTCAAGGGAAAAGGGAGTTAGGGGGCAATCCTGTACATTCTTACCTTAAGCCTTCTTGAACTCAATGGGTCTTTCTGCTAGGTAATCAGGAATAGGACTGCACTGATGGAAGCAATAATATGCTTTTACTTTGTCTTAAACTCAGAAGAAAACAGGTTCAGATTCAAGACCCATCAATAAAAACATGCATAGGATTGGACTAATTTACAAAAACAAACTTTGAAAAGGTTGCGGTTAAACTTACATAATGATAAAGTATGCACAGTACGTCACATTCAAAAAACCCAAATGATTTAATACATCTAGATTTTACTCTACAGTAAGTTGAAAACTTGCCATTGCATGAAATGTGAAAAGCCATTTCTTAGAACTTTATATTGTTTCCAAGAATATACTTATTACTGAAATACCAATAAGCATTTCTCAAACTATCTTATGGCTTCATTTTTGTGTTTCTTGTATAATTATGGTATTGGTTTTCACTTTGAAACATCTACCTATTATGAAAATTGAACTAATGCTCAGAAAAAGTGTTGCCGATTTTAATTGAGCAACCACCCTGCTGTGAAAAACCTCGCCTGATTTCTTCAGATCATGTTACTGTGAAAGGAATGGGAGCAGAGCAGCTTTTCAGAGCTCATTTTGCAAATCTAGCTCAGATAGCTAGATAAAGGTCTTGTGCTTAAATTCTGCTTGTGGTTTCCCAGCAGCTTCTGGTTGGCCACTATGAGAACAGGATGCTGGACTAGATGGGCCATTGGCTTCATTCAGCAGACTCTTATGGAAATACATCCACAAAAGACTTTTTTAGCATGGAAGCATGCCTGGATCATGATCAATAATTCTATTTTCCCCCCAAGATATATATTTATGAGGTCCATCGATATTTCAGTTATGCTTCTACAGTGGAGTATGCATAGCTCAGTTCCTTGTAGCAGTTCTCTGAAACACATCAATGCACTTCAAATAAATGAAAATGGTAAGCAGAAATGTTTGTAGGATCCAAGCCAAGGTGTAGTGCAAATAGCAGAAGAGCATGAGCCATGAAAAAAACATTTTTACAAAGACTGCAGTAAAGTCAGTGTTTTTCTTATCTGCCTTGGGAATTTAAAACAAGCTGCAATGGATCAGACTAAAGGGCTATCTAGTTCAGCATGCCTATGGGATGCACACAAGCATGGCATGAGTGCAACAGCCCTCTCCCCACTCTCATGTTGCCCAGCAAATATAATTGTGGACAAAGTGTTAAGTATAGAAAATTTAATCATCCTAGCTTATCTGGCTACAGTTCTGAATTTTTGTATACCATCATCCACTAAAGAATGACATTTTAAAACACTGGAGAAGGCACCTGGGAGACTGTTTGGATGATGATTAAAATGTATCTGCCATTGATAAGAAACAACTATATGCATAAGATGATAGCTGTAGATGTATGAAGTCTGTGGTACTACTTAACTTCTGATTTACAATACAGGAAATGACTTTGGTACAATATACCCAGCCAAGTTATTGTATTTCATAATATTTTTCAGAGTGAATTTTAGTTTTGGGAGTCCTGTTGACATCGTTCACATTTATTTACAGTTTGCCAACCTGCCGAATAATGCATTGGCTGCAACCGCTTTGTGTTAATTCAATTCAACATTATGTACAGCAAACATTTTCTTTGGCAGCGCCATCTTAGTCACCTCTGCTCCAAGACCATCTGCTTTGGAAGCAGAAATATGATCCTGGCTTGACAACAGCGAGACAGCTTCTGGCAATGAAACATCCTTCCTCTGCAATTGTTTTGACAGATTCCTGACTTCAGACAGTACATAATGCATGATGCCTATATTCTTAGAGATTTCACTGGTGTAAAGACATTTCTGAAAACAGTGTATTTGATTTTTTTCTATGTCCATGGAACAATGGTTCCATGTAGGCAATGGTAAAATGTCTACAACAGTCCTGTAGAACTTGAGACCCCTCAAGGCAACCAGACCCCACTAGTGGGGACTACTAGTGATTGACAATTCCTCTGCATTTGTAGTCCCAGACCTGCAACAGAAATAGCGTTACAGTACTGAGCCTTCGGTAAGCCACCATTCATAGCTCATAGATATTATACGGTTTCATAGAATCAAATAATTGTAGAGTTGGAAGCAGTGGTGTAGTGTGGCAGGGTGGGCTCACAGGGGCAGTTGCCCTGGGCGCAAAATTGTTAGGGATACAAAATTTTAACACCTGATGCTGCCTCAATACAACTGTGCGCTTCCATTGATGGGCTCTGTTGAAAACGGCTTCTCCATGCAAACCAGGAAGTGACCTCTCCAGACAACGGAATGACTCTTTTCTTATCTCTGCAGCTGCAATCTCCTGGGTGATCAAATACCATTAGACAGTTGAATGCACATGCATATTCCGTCAATTTTATTGTGTTACTCTTTTTGTGAAACACTTTACAATCAAGTGGTATATAAAAGTGGTGAAATAATATTAAATATAATGCAAACATTATTAAATTTTTACTTACATTTCAAGCCTATTCCACCCCAAATGTTCAGGATGGGCTAAAACATATAGAAATATATACATTAAGCTATTAAAAAGATGAAAAAATAGACAATACAATATATCCACGATCTTTTTAGCAGTGGTCCATCAGTTGTGGAATCCTGTTACTTGGGAGGTGTTCATAGTCTTCTCATTGTTCTTTCTTCAACCTTAAGAAAATTATTTTCCTGCCATGTATTGTAATGAAGATTGTACTGGTTCAATACATTAGTTCCTACTGTTTTTAACTACTGACTTCTTTTTAACAGTTTTGACTAGATTAAAGTTTTAAGAGAGTTCCTTTTAAAAGGTGGTTTTGTGTGTTTGTGTAACTAAAAGGTCACCTTGTAAGAGTAATCCCCTTGGGATTCATGCTATCTTCAGGCAAGGGCTAGAGATAAGGGGGGCGGGTTGCAGAGAATTCAGAGTATGGTGAGAACCACTTGTCTGCTGGCTCCTGATACCTTCTGTATATACATAAAGGCTAATGGCCTGAAGGCACTACCATCTAAATTTGCAGCCTTTCATTCTCACTCAAAGTGAATATAGAGCTGGTGGAAGCTCTATATAGATCTGGTGGAATATAGAGCTGGTGGAAGCCGCCCCCCGGCTGAGATTAAGCACTGAATGGTTATATAAATCAAAACTAACATTTCCCAATAGTGGCCACTCAAAGATAGTCCAGGAGCAAGATATTCTGAGCTACCTTTACAAATGGAAAGGGGGCCAGAGTGTCCTCTCTGGAATGGGCATTTGTAGGAGGGGTTCGAAAAGATTTTGTGCCTTCAAACAGTTATATTCTATGTGTTTCCACCATGGCTGTCTGGGTACTAGGTGTACCAGGCAGTTTACATAAAGAGATTGGCACAGTGCCCTTCCTGAAACAGACACTTGTATGGCTGTTGATTCTGGAGACATTTTCAGCTGAATATCATGAGTGCCAGCTAGATGTGTGACTTGGGTGACTGACACCAAATGATCAGGATTGTTTTCGTAAATGGGATAATGGCACTGTGTCCAGTCTCAAACTGACACACAGAGGTGAGTTTAGGAGAGGATTTATTGCAGTATACTATGGACACCAAATAGAAGAGTTATGTCTATGCTTTGGCAGACCTTGGCTGCTAAAATTGCAGGAATTGTGGGTTTGCTTTACTAAATGGGGTGTGTATCAACAGAATCAAGTTTTAAGCCTGGGCAGTTTGGGGGAAGAGTAATTTGCAGACAGAAATATAGGCACTTTTTATGCACTGTTTCTGTACTTTAGGAATACTGTCATTGAACTTCATAAAAACCTAAAAAATCTATGTATTTCAACTTTTAACACAGCTGTTAAATGGTACATAGGCTGTATTTTACAGCTACAGCATGAGAGAAGATGACTTGTGCTACTAAAGTGTTTGTAGTTTGTATTTTATACTCATACGGGTGGAAGTGCGGAATTTGTTGCTGGGTGGATATTGAGGATGTTTTTGTTTTTAACATTGTCTCATTTTTTTCTTTGTGAGAAGGTAGTGTAGCTGAGCTCCCTGGTAGGGTAAATTTACCTGCAGAAGTGAAAATAACATCTTGTTCAAATTGGGAATATCATTAAGAGCATTAAGATAATGGTCTTGTGAGTCCCCATCTTTGGAACATGTTAGTTTATGTGCCCAGGGAAGGGAAGTAGCTGGGTGGAACAAGGAGCTATCATCTCTGTGAGTATGGGCAGATATGGTTTAGGGGAAACTATTCAGATCTTGTAAAAAGGGGTTGACCTTAGTAATCTTCTAGCTACTGGAGTTTACCTTAGTAATATGGCGCCCTGTGCAAGGCCAAAATGTAACAACTACCCCCTGCCAAGGCATATAAGGGACCTGCAGGTCTTTGGGAAGGAGTCGTGAGGCTCTGGCAGATCATAGAGCCCTGACACCTCCTTCCCAAAGTTGGTCAAGTGCTAACTAGGCTTTGGGAAGGAGGCAAGAAGACTCTAGGAGCCCTCACACCTCCTTCCTAAAGTCCAGAGCTTTGGGAAGAAAGGAAGGCACCCCCTTGGCCCCTATGTGGAGTAACCAGTCATGCTGCCCTAAATCTGCCTCTGCTAGCTATTATAAAGCCATTACCCAGCATCAGCTGATCCCCAGCTCATTAGTTAGTTACTCGTTCTCTGACAGTGTTATTGATAAGTACCGGGTTAGTCCTGAAGAAAATATCAGTAAAGGACCAGCCTGGTATGTCTTGCAGAGACCTTACTAAGGCTGGGTGATTTACCTTTGACCCAGCTTTGTACCCAAGGGTACTCAGTCCAGCATCAGCACAGATTGGAGAGAGGGTGGGTGTCACCATCATTCATATATCTTTCACTGTCCTCATCAGGAAGTCAATCCCCTTATAACAGCATTTGAGGGCTTGTTCTTGGTGCTGATCCTGAAAAACGGACTAATGCAAAATATGGCAGCCACAGTGCTATTGAGGAGCAGTCTGAACACACAATTCCCATTCCAAAATGATTACACTGATTAACAATGATTTTTCTAGGCCCAATTCAAGGAGCTTACATTTCTGCTTAAAGTCATGAATGGCCAGCGACCCCCAAACCTTAAAAAAAACACCTCCTCACATACCAACTTGCCTAAGTCTTAAGCTGAATGGATAAGGCCCAGCTGGTGGTTCTTGTGCAGGGTGATTGCACAGCGCTGTGAAATGCATAGCACTAATTTCCTACAAGGGAAAGCACAGAATCCATAAAATGGGAGGATAACATATGGAATGTATAAGGTTCATGCATCATTACAATTAGGTGGAAATTATTTTTATGGCGAATGACCCCTAGACTTGTTGCATAGCCCTACCCATTCTTGAATCCTGATAATTTATTGGGCTTTAGATTAGACCTGAAGATGGAATGAAATGGTGAAAATGACCTTTTACCGGCTGTGTCTAAAATGCTGTTTTAATGGGGGCCTAATCTAAAATCCATTTTAATCAACTGTTTTTCATAGTAAGAACTTCTGTTTGTTCCACTGCCAACACTTTAAGAGACAAAAATATTAAGCTAATAAAAGTTGCATGTTAGAAAAGAAAGGTGAAACAGAGAAGCACCCAATGTGAAGGTTTGGGATGAAAAGTGTTGCATCCCTGACATTTAAACTGCAATTCTGTACTTATTTACCCTGGATCTATGCCCCACTGAACTCAGTGGGATGAACTGCACATGCCTATCCATTTCTCCTCAGCAGGGCCAACCCAAATCTTTTTGGCATCTGAGATGAACCACAGAATGGTGCCCACCCCCCACCCGACCAGGAAAGAAGGGGTTTGAGTGAAGATCCACATCAGGAACCAAGGTGGAAAATCAAATCAACCCCACCAGTCAGTCGAACTGCAAATCAAAGGCCGTCATGGGGCAGGGCGGGAGAAGGGTCCCACTCTCAACCATGCCAGGTGGGTGCAGATAGAGCAGGAGACTCCAGAGGGCAGCCCCTGCCATTCCCTCCCGGGTCTGCTGCTCCCGTGGAACCTGCCACTCGAGGCGGTCGCCTCACTTTGCCTCATGCTGCCCCTGCTACACAGAAGCAAGTCCTACGGAAATCAGCGGGGCTTCCTCCCCAGTAAGCAGGGCGAAAACTGCAGCTTTACTGCCGATATGTTCCGAGTTCGTGTGCTGTTCGGCCTCCCGCCGCCCTCCACCTCCGACCGTTAGGATCCAACTGTCCTCGAGCGGGGGGCGGGGGCGGCGGATTTTCTACTTCGTCGGTGCTTTCGGCGCCTACTGCCACGTGACTTCACGCGGCGGCGGCGGCGGCGCAAAACTTCGTTCGCCACACCGTACCCTCCTGAAAGTCGTTATTTCTCAGAGCGTGGAAGCGCGCGCGAACGGACCGTTGCAGCCGTTGAGCTCTGGGAGGCGACCGCGAGTTCTCTCTGAGGGAGCGCAGCGAGCGAGGGAGAAAGAGATACTTTTACCTTTCCCTCTCTCTCTCCCTCCTCCCCCCTTTTACCCACCATGCTCCGAGTCCGGACTCTCAGCTTCTGCCGTCGCCGCCGTTTGGGCTCTGCTCGCCGCCGCCGCCGCCTCGCTCCGCGTGCCTTTCTTTCGACGAAGATGAGCGAGGCAAAGCCGGGAGGGAAGAGAAGCTGACGGCCTCCCCGCTTTTCCCGCGCGACCACCATGAGGGAAGAGAAAGAAGCCTCCCCCTCCTGCTCCCCCCTCGCTCCTCACAGGCACAACAACAAACTTGCCAGCCCGCCTCCTCCTGCCCCGGCCGGCGCGGAGCCCAGCCTGAGGAACGGCTACGTGAAGGGCCACGCCACCCCGCTGCCGCAGAGCCCGCCGCTCGGCTCTTTCTCGCTGCTCCGGGCCGCTTGCCGGCGGGGCTCCCTCTCCGCGGCGCTGGGCGCCCTGGCTGCCGCTTCGGCGGCGCTGCTGCTCTCGTGCTGGCTCGCCTGGGGAGAGGGCGAGAGGAAGGCGGCGGCGGCGGCGGCTCCGGGGGCGCTGCTGTTGCCGCTGGCGGGACTGGGCCAGTGCCTGAGCCCGCTCTTCACCCTCGCCTGCGCTTTCTTCTTCCTCACCTGCTACCTGGCCCGGGACGAGCCCGGCGGCCCCCGGTGGCTCCTGGCGCTGCCGCTGTGCTGCCAAGCGGGGGACTTGGCGGCGCTGCTCTTCCCCTGCCGAGAGGAGGCGGCCCCCGACCCCCCGACGGGCCAACTGCAGGTGCTGGCGGGCCGGCTGCTGGCCACGCTGAGCACAGTGGCCGGGCTGACCCTCGCGCAGCGCAGCCTCGGGCACCGCAGGAGACTCCTGCTCCTGGCTTTCTCCGCCCTCGTGTGGCTGCTGTCGCTCTCCAGCCTGGGCTCTCTGGCCCCGGCCCTTAGGCCCCTGCTGTCCGGCGCCGTCGGAGTGGCGGGGTGCCTGTTGGCGCTGCTGGGCGGACGGCGCTGCGCCTTCGCCTCCTGCTGCTGTTGCTCGCCCGGGCGGGAGCCCCAGCCGCACCACCAGCCCCAGCCGCCGCCGCCGTCGCCGTCGCACGACCACCGCCAGTCTCCTTACCCCAAGTCGCCGAGCGGCGCAGCAGAGGAAAAAGTGCCCGTGATCCGACCCCGGAGGAGATCCAGCTGCGTGTCTTTGGGGGAGACGTCCACCAGTTACTATGGGAGCTGCAAAATGTTCAGGAGACCCTCGTTGCCTTGCATTTCCAGAGAACAGGTAAGCCTTCCTCCGGCAGGGAGGTGAAGGGTAACTTTTCTCTTACAGAAAACTTTGGCCTCAGCCAGGGACGCTGGAGAAAGAAGATCGCAGTTTGCTTGCTAGGCGCTCAGGCCACTAATTTTGATGCTTTAGGTTTATCTTAAATCCGGGGTGAAACTGAACATTCCGATTTGGTCTGTACTTAGAACTCCAGTCTCCTGGTATAAACTTCCAGAGAGGGAGCTGCTGAAGAAAGAACAACAAGAGTCTTGTATGCCCTGATATTATTGGCTTTTGAGGTGCTACATGACTATTTGTTCTGCTTCCTGATATTCTACTCCTTTTGAAAACTTGCATGCTCCATGCTCAGTTACATAGGAACATAAAAATGAAACCTTATTAGGACTTTGTAACAGGACAGCAAAAATGGTGAAGTGATGTATTTTGGGTCAGTAACTTCTACAGCAAGAAAGACTTTTCAGTTGCAAAGTTAGTATGAATTTCCAGACTGAATTTCCACGCAACCATGGAGCTTTTGGAATTAGCCAGATAGTGCCATGGAGAAGGATGGGGGAAAGTGTGAACATGCAAACAGAATTTTTTTGCCAATGAAGAGGATGTTTGTTCACAGTTTTTCGTGCAGCATTGCTTATCATTTGATCCACTGAAATCCAGCAAACTGGGCAAGCTTCACTTGCTAAAAAAACAAAGGAGCATTTTAACAGAATTTGAGAGGCAACCTGTTATGCTTTGAAAACATAGAGGACTAATAACGGTTTCATGTGGTGCCAAGAAACAAGGCTGAGGAAAGAATACTGCGAATCCTGTATCAACATTAGAGAATAGGGTTTCAGTATGTTAAGCTAGTAGCATTTGTTGTATGAAAAGCTGAAATTCAGCTCTGAAGTGAGACAAAGCATTTACTGGCTGTACTGTCATAGGAAACAACTGGCATATGTAGTGTGTATGTGTGATTGAATCAAGCCATCTTTGTCAGCAGGAATTGTGCTTGAAGGGATTTTTAGTGGGCACATTTTTTTCTATTCTTCTGTAATTTACCTTGTGCATAATACATTATCTTGCGTCAGCAAAGTGAATACCCCAAATAGAAATAGTCAGATACTGGAAAAACTTTAAGAGTTGACAGCTAGTATGGGATTTCCTCCTAACTGGAAAAATTGACTATCACACAAAAATTGGCCAGTAACAAATTAAGAAAGCATTTGAGGAGTTTCTATTGAACTGGCTCCACCTTATGTTGCATCAAGAAACTTACTATTAATGTGTATCCTAAGGCTGCAATTCTATGCACAAATACAGTAGTGGGAGTAAGCCCTATTGAAATCAGTAGGACTGGTTTCTGAGTAAACATATACAATATATGGTTGGGCAGTCTAGTTCTCAGACACCAAGCTTTTCTATACTGAGGTTTTGTGTGAAGTGAAAAAGCATATGGATATGCTGGAACTTAGAAATGTACTGTATGGCTGCTTAGTTTGTTTTATTGTAATGTGATTGTATTTTTTGATTAAAATCTTAAATTCTGTGTGTCTCCAGCAAGCTGTTCTTGAACACAGTCTAAGATTTATTGCTTAGTTTTCTAAAACTTTTTGTTCATATTTACTATGATAAAGGAAATTTACATTGCATTTTTATTTTAAATAAAGTAGAAATTAACTGAAAGTATCATCTTTGTTATAGAGCATAGGATTATTAGTAGGCCTTCAGAAATAGTTTTGTAGTCAGATATTTGAAGTAGCCTACTAATAAATATAGTAAATAATGTAATGTATACAGTATAAATAATAGTAAATGCCCTTTGTATATAGGGCTTTTTTAGCGTAAAACATTGCAAATAGAGGAACATGAATATTTTAATTTCCACACCTTTTTCTTTAGCTTTTTTCTTTAAACATTAAAAAGCCAATTCATATTGCTCAAAAGGAGTTAATAGGTGTTGTATATCAGTTAGTAACTCTTAATGTAGCCCATTACCTTAGTATTCAGATCATGGCCTTATTATGCCAAAAGTTTGTACCAAACTAATTTTATGTAGTTTTTTAAAGTACACTCCCTTCTTTCTGCAGGTAATAATGCAGGAGATTCAAGCAAGTTTAAAAAATCCATTTAATAATACAGTATATTATATTATATACATATGATCGATCTTAATGGTGCAAATATCTCTTCCTAGCTTTCTAGCCGAGACCATATAACACCGGTCCTGAGAGACCTGCATTGGCTCCGAGTACGTTTCTGAGCATAATTTAAAGTGTTGATGCTGACCTTTAAAGCCCTAAACGGCCTCGGTCCTGTATACCACTCCCATCATTCAGCCCGGACACTGAGGTCCAGCCCTGAGGGCCTTCTGTTTGTTCCCTCACTGCAAGAAGTGAGGTTACAGGGAACCAGGCATAGGGCCTTCTCAGTAGTGGTGCCTGCCCTGTGGAATGCCCTCTCATCAGATGTCAAAGGAAATAAACAACTATCTTACTTTTAAAAGAAATCTGAAGGCAGCCCTGTTTAGGGAAGTTTTTAATGTTTAATGCTGTATTGTGTTTTTAATATTTGGTTGGAAGCCACCTAGAGCGGCTGGGGAAACCCAGCCAGATGGGCAGGGTATAAATAATAAATTATTATTATTCTACTTTTTAAAGCAGTACACTGTGTGTTTAATCCTGTACGTATCTGCACAGAATAAATCACATTAAGTTCATTGGGGCTTACTGTCAAATAAATGGGCAAGGAGCTGCTGTCTAAGAGTTAATTTATTTGAGCATTTAAAGAATTTGTTTCATACGTATAGCACTTGAATTTTCACTTTCAGAAAACACAAAACAAATCAAATTCTTTCATTGAGGGAGTGTGGTGGAAATGCAAGAAAGTCAGTCTGTCCCTCAGTACAATTTTAGATCTAGAAACTTACTTTAAAATTGCACAATTGGTACATTATTATGGTGTAATTCTGTTGTGCCAGTTCCAAAGCACAGATCAAACAAGATGGAAACAAACACATATTATATACACGAATTTGGGCACGAATGTGCCCATTAAATTATTTGTAAGTTTCTTGAACACTGGAAGCTTGCACTAAAAAGTATTTGTTTGCCGTATGAGACTACAGTGGAACCTTGGTTCTCATTTGACTCCCAAAACCGTTCGAAAACCAAGGCGCATATTCCGATTGGCTGCAGGAGCTTCCTGCACTCAAGCGGAAGCCATGTCGCACGTTCGGCTTCCGAAAAACATTTGCAAACCGGAACACTTACCGTATTTTTCCATGTATAAGACGACCCTTATTTTTTTAAAACCCAAAATTAAGAAATTAGGTTGTTTAGCTTTTTGGGAGGGTGGGGGAGATCACTTCTGCCGGTCGCTCCCCGCCTGCCTGCCACTGCTGATCGCTTGCCACAGCCACTACCAATTGCACATCTGTCCGCAGCCGCCAATTGTCTGCCCGCTTGCCACCACCAACAGCAGACTCACCCACTTGTTGCAGCCGCCAATCACCTTCCCGCCTCGCCACAGCTGCCAATCACCTGCCCAGTTACCACAGCCACCAATCACCGACCCAATTGCTGCTGCCAATATCCTGCTTGCTGCTGCCATTAATCACACGTCCCCCCTCTTCATTCACTATCCATGTATAAGATGACACCCAATTTTTGCCTAATTTTTTTTTTAGCAAAAAGCATCGTCTTATACATGGAAAAATACAGGACTTCCGGGTTTGCGGCATTCAGGAGCTGATTTGTTCAACAACTAAGCTGTTCTGGAACCAAGGTACCACTGTAGATACATGATGTACTGTGGTAAGAGCAACTGTGTACATTTCCCTGATACAGAAATGGTGTAATGTTTGGAAAGGAACCTGTATGGAAGAGGTGTGCAAGTTTCAGATGAGGAAATTACTTGTTTATCTCCCCAGTGCAAGTTCCTTTTTTAATGTCACACTAATCGTGGCAAAACAGGAAGCACATCTCATTCATGAATTGTGCTTCTTCTCTCACATCAAAAGAACATGTAGCATTTGTAATTTGCTGTAATTATTCCAGTCTCCCCTTCTTGGGGAAAGTTCTTGAGTAGGTGGTCACTGACCAGATCCAGGTGCTTCTGAAAGAGAGGAGGTTTTTTTCCTTCAATCTGGTTGCCAACAGTTCGGCAGAGTCCTTTGACAAGCTGAGGTCGCGAACTAGATCATTCAACTCCTTTTGGGAAAATGGATGTGGAGCATCATCTTCAAGAACCACTTCTTCTTCTTCATGTCCTTCAACACTGGAGGCATCTTCGTCACTAATGTCAGGAAGTTCTCCAAAGATAGGCACTGGAATTTCATCACAATGAGCTACAGGACGACGTGCTGATTGAAGATCAGGATTAACTTAGTTTTGATCCCCCAACTTTATGCTTTGCCGCACCAATTTATGGAAGATTTCGAGGTTTCATGACTTCAAACTGATCCCTTTTTGACATAATCACCCAGAACTATCGTACCTGAATACTTCTTGTCATTAAAATAATCATTTCCAATCAAAACAATTATTCGACATGGCATTTTACCCCCACCAACTTCTTCTAAAATGCTCCACACAAGCGTACATGTGAACAAAAACATAAAAAATGACATGTCTCCATAGCTCAAAAACTTGACCTGATTGAGCAAAACCAATGTGATTTTTGGATTCAGCGCATCAGATTCTTCCTAAATCAACTGAAAAAACGCAGACAACAAATTTGTTGTTGACCAGTGTTATTGTTTCCAGACGGTGATGCTTGGGGAGTGCTCTTCAGCCCTGTGGAGCCTTCAGTATGGGGCTCATCAGGGCTCATTTTTATTTCCTGTGCTGTTTAATATCTACATGAAACCTCTGAGTGGGGTTATTCCGAGTTTTGGAGTATGTTGTGAGCAATACAGTGGTGCCTCGCAAGACGAAATTAATCCGTTCTGCGAGTTTCTTCGTCTTGCGGATTTTTTCGTCTTGCGAAGCACGGATGCACCCTGGTACTGTATTATAATGGGATAGCGGGCAAAGCACAAAGCGGGTCGCTCCCCAGCAGGAGGAGTTTCACAGCCTGGAGGATCTGTTCCCTGGAAGAGGCAAAGACACCCCCTCCCACCTCCCCACGAAAACAGCCCCCCTTCCTCTGTCGCCAAGCCTTGCCGCGTCTTCGCTCGGCCAAACCGCGTCCCACATCAAAGCCCCAGCCCACGCCTCTCCCTCTCTCTCCATGAGGTGCCAAAGGAAGTTCGAGCCCAGGAACCGAGGGCGGACGCACGAAGCGCCCGGCGCGGACTCTCCCTTGCTCCCCCCGTTACCTTGCGCCACGCCGCCAGGCTCCCCACAGTCTCGGCAGCTGCTCCCGGCTTCTTCCCACCCCCGCAAAGGCGCCTTCGCGGCGGCCCAAGCGCAGTGGATGCCTCCTCCTCCTCCTCCTTGGTCCCCCTCCTCCTGCCTTCGCGCAGTTAGGGCAAAATGGAGCAGCCACGTGGGGAGGGGGAGAGAGAGGCAGAGACAGAGGCGGCGGCGGCGCAGAGACCCAGCCACATCCGCTGGATCCCAGCCCACCTGCCTCCTCTGTGCCCTCTCCAGAAGAGGATCCCTCTGGAAAAGGTAGGTCGCTCCCTCGCTCGCTCCCTGCCAGCCCAGTTCCCGCTTCAAAAGGAAACAAACTCGCAAGACGTTTCGTCTTGCGAAGCAAGCCCATAGGGAAATTCATCTTACGAAGCACCTCAAAAAACGAAAAACTCTTTCGTCTTGCGAGTTTTTAGTCTTCCGAGGCATTCGTCTTGCGAGGTACCACTGTAAGCTGATGATACCCAGCTCTACTCTTTTATATCTGGAGGTGTGGCAGTGGATGTGCTGGCCATTGTTTTGCCTCAGTAATGGATTGAGTGAGAGCCAACAAACTGAAGCTCAATCCAGATAAGATTGAGGCACTATTAGTGGGTGGTTCCCTAGAGCAGAGGGTTGGGAGGAGGCCTGCTCTTGATGGGGTTACACTTCCTCTGAAGGAGCAGGTACATAGCTTGGAGGCACTTCTGGATTCTTCGCTTTCTCTTGAGGTGCAAGTGGCCTCGTTGGCAAGGAGTGCCTTCCATCAGCTTCAGCTTGGTGGGGCCTCACTGTGCTGATGTCTTGACAGGGATAGCCTAACTTCTGTCATCTATGCTCTGGTAACCTCTGGATTAGATTACTGCAATGTATTTCAGCTGGTGCAGAATTCAGTGCCAGGTTGTTCCCTGGGGCAAGACTGTTTGAGCATATTGCACCAATCCTGGCTCAACTGCACTGGTTGCCAATTAGTTTTGGAGCCCAATTCAAAGCGCTAGTTTTGACCTATAAAGCCTTAAATGGCTCAGGACCACAATACCTGAAGGACCTCCTGAACTGACCTGGACCCTGCAGTCATCACCTGAGGCCCTTCTTCGTGTGTCTCCTTGCAGTGCCTCCCTGTTTGTGGAATGCTCTCCCCAGGGAGGCTCGCCTGTGATCACTTCCATGTGATTTTCAGATGAAGGGCGCTATACAAATTTAATAAGTGATAAAATACACAATATCAACATGGTACTTGCTCATAGCAAGAACCTCTCCTGATTTCCATGAGAGATGACATAACAATAAATTGTTTCCCTTCTTCCAGTGTAACCAGGAGGGGAAAAGACTAGCAGGTCATGGGAATTTTACCAATCAGGAGCCACTGAGGGTTAATGCTGTCAAACTCCCCATGGCTGCTAAGGGGCACCTAACACTTGTCAATATGTCAATACAGAAAAGTGGGGAAAGGGAGAGGCGTGAATTTGGAGATATCTGGGCAGCACTTTTTCTTCTGAATTTATAGGCAAGGAAGGGATTGTCTGCCTTGTCAACTTCTGTACAATGGAGATGGGATCCTTTTTATGCAGACACAGTGGTTTCTTTATAAAGGGCAGGCTCTGAATATCTACATCTTATCCACAGTCTGGTTAGACATTGAGTTAAACCAATGCCACAATATTTCTGTTAAATAAACATTTATTGTAAGGAAATCAGAATAATACGATCTTTCAAGTATAAAAGGAAATAACCTGTTTCAAAAAAATGTTAACACCCGCCCCCCCCCTTGCTGGTATCTAGAATACAGAAGGGACAAGATACAAAATACTTTCTTAGTTCTAGTGTTTTTTTGAGTCTTTGTTCAAGCCTTTTTCATAACTTTCATACACCGTCAGACTCATGCTGCCTGGGCTGGCTATCCCTGGCTGGGAACAGTTTCAGCTACAGATGTAGTTCAGGTAAGCATTAGGAAGTGAGAGTATTCTAGAAGAGAGTGAATTTAATTTCCCAGGAGATTTGTGTCCCACCCTTTAATAGGAAAATCATCCATCATTTACCAAGGTGTCCACACCCCTTTAGAAATATAGCTGATCAATATTGCAGAGGCAGGGCATGTGAAAGCTAATCAGGGCTAGAAAAGATATGAAAGGCAGTTCACGCACCTAAGCTTGGGGAAACTTCCGCTTAGCAATGAAGTGCATTTCAGTTAAAGATTCTAGAGCAGGGCGGTCCAACTTTTCATACCAAGTAGGCTGCAAGTGTATTTCAGCATTGGCCTGCACACTGCCTTGTCGTGCACTGTGCGGGGGGGGGGGCAGGGGGGAGGGAGGCCAAAATTGGAATTCCCCCAAGCCCTCCTGCGATTCCCAAGCTGCACTGGTCTTTGTCATGACAGGCTCTGACAGGGTCCTAGAGCCCTCCCACCTACTTTCCAAAGCTGGGAAAGCACTAATTAGGCTTTAGGAAGGAGTTGGGAGGACTCCAGGACCCTGTCAGAGCCCTCACACCTCCTCAAAGCCCAGTGCCTAACTTTGGGAAGGCAGGCAAGGGCTGGAGGAGGCATCAAATGTTGCCAAGGGATGCCCAAAAAGGCCTCAAGGGCCACAGAAGAGTTTATATTTACTGTATTTTTCGCTCTATAGGATGCACTTTTCCCCCTCCAAAAATGAAGGGGAAATGTGTGTGCGTCCTATGGCGCGAATGCAGGCTCCTTGGCTTCAGCGATATCGACGCGAAGCCTCCAAAGTGCAGAGGGAGCGTTCCCTCCACGCTCCGGAGGCTATGCGTTGCTTTCAATGAAGCCTGGAGAGCGAGAGGGGTCGTGAGCACCGACCCCTCTCGCTCTCCAGGCTTCAGGGATAGCCGCCTGAAGCCTTTGGAGTGCAGCGGGAACTCGCGCTGCGCTCCAAAGGCTTCGCAACCTTGCCGCCGCTCCCGGACCTGTTCTGGGGTCGGGGGATTTTTTCCCCCTTGATCCCCCCCCCTAAAAACTAGGTGCGCCTTATGGTCCGGTGTGCCTCATGGAGCGAAAAATATAGTAACTCCTCTCTGAAGACTGATTAGCTTCCTTTAGTCAATGATTAGCTTCCTTTAGTCAGACAGGGACAATATACATCTGGTTGGTGGTAGCTTCACAAACTCTTTTTTGACTGGAGCCTGCATATGTAAGTATGTATTTATAAACATATACAGTGGTGCCTCGGTTTAAGAACAGTCCTGTTTACGGACGATTCGGTTTACGAACTCCGCAAAACCAGAAGTAGTGTCCCAGTTTGCAAACTTTACCTTAGTCTAAGAATGGAATCGGAATGGTGGAAGGGCACTGGTGGCGGGAGGCTTCATTAGGGAAAGCGCGCCTCAGTTTAAGAATGGATTTGATCTAAGAACTGACTTCAGGAACGGATTAAGTTCATAAACTGAGGTACTACTGTATAAATATATATATGTATGTGTTTATAAACATATATAAATATATATATATGTGCTCATGGTCACCCAGTGAGCTTCATGGCGAGTGCAGATTTGAACCCTGGTCTCCCAGGTCCTGGACCGATGCTAGTTACCACGATGTACAACAATTTGTTTAAGTATCTTGAACTTGAAATGCCAGCCTTTTGCTGTCTAAATAGAAGACACAGTTCTTGTTCGTAGCCTGTATTTATTGCTTGCTAAGAACTTGAAGTGCAATCCTAACCCTTTATTTTGCCATTGGAGGGAACGAGGATAAGGTAGAGGTAACTCTCCGTCAGAACTCCACCAGTGGGGATGGCTCTGCAGATCCCTCAGAACCTTCCCATTGCCACTGTTCTCTTCCAAAAACGCCCTGACAGGATATTACAGCACAGGGCATGTGGCTTTGGTGCTGGTGGGTTCAAACCCTTGCCGTTCCCCTGTAGCTGATACAAGTGGAGTGAGACAGTAGGGGGGGGAATAAAAGAAAATACCTCCATCTTCTGCCATGGCTGGTGCAATCAGCAGGATGTGAGACAATGTGGCTGCTCTTCTGCTTCCCTCTGCCCTCCTGCTCTGTAGCTGGGGCTTATGTTTGCTCTGCCCCCCACCCCTCAAATTCCAGAAGATGAGTGGTGTTGCTCTGTTGTCAATAAAAAGGAATTGTGGCATTGTACAAGCTAACTGGATCATCGTGAAATTAATTGAACCTTTCTAAAAGGAGTACTAGATGGAACACTGCAACAGTATTTTACATTTTAAATAGTGTGTGGATTATGGCTTGCGTAAAGCAGCATGTGCTATCCAATTTTCACAGTTTTCCTTTGAAATAATCCCATACTTTTAATCCCATACTAAACTTTTCTCACTCCATGCTGAAACAAATTAGTTTCCCACAAGCCAGAATTGTAGTACAAAAATACAGCAGTGGAGGAAGCCGCTCAGGCGCCTGGGGCGGCGTACCCAGGGGCGGGACAAGCTGCCCATAGGGGCAGGGCACACCGCGGGGCCTCCAGAGTTTGCCTGCCTCCTCCAACTCAGCCGCCCTGCAGCTGGGGGGGAGGCAGTGGGTGGACTGTTTGGGCAGTGCGGAGCCTGTGTGTGCCCAAGCCACCGCTTCTCTCCCAGGAGAGATGCGTGGCTCTGGCATGCTGCAGGCCCTGTGGTGAGTGCCGCCCGGCATTTTGTCATCCCCCTCAGCAGTGACACCCGGGGTGGACTGCACCCACCACACACCCCTTCCTCTGCCCCTGCAGAAATGTTCTCAATTAATGTTTATGTCTTTTACAGTCAGCAAGGTGAAAACAGAATGCTGCCTTCTCCAATGGCAGCATGCTAATGCTCTTTAGAAGTAGCCCCATATGGCACTAACCCAAAGATTGAAAATTATTTATTTATTTATGGCATTTTTATCCCACTCTTTTTTTAAAAAAATGTTACTAGAGTGGCTGAAAAATGTCAGTGATATGACAGTCTCTGTCCTCAGATTTATAATCTAAAAGACATAACACAAAAGGAAAAGAGTTTGTCAGGGAGGAAGAAAAAAGCAAATTGAAACACTAATTCTGAGTTACAGAATTCTTTTGATGAGCAGCTGGAATGGAAATATTCAAGGACAGAAGCCAAATGTTGTTGGTCTTTTAGTAGAGCAGATGGAGAGGCCTTGCAGTCTTAGCTCTCTCTTCTGTAGCCTGATGGAATGGCTACTGTAGATGACAGTTGAGGGAAGAGCCTGATGGAGCTTGTCTTACAAGCCTCCCATAAGCATTTGGTTGGTCACTGTGAGAACAGTATGGTGGACTAGATAGGGATTTGGTCTGAACCAACAGGACTCTTCTGTTTGAATTCTTTGCCCATTCCATAGAATAGCTAATAGTTTGGGTTTTTCTCACTCCCATTAGGGCTCATTTGAGCTAGAGAAAAAGTGGGTACGGTGCATCCTGGGATATCCCTACTTCAATATTGAATCTTGGATTGCATCCTTACTGTAGCAGCCATTGCTATAAAGGCCCATATGCACTACTGCTGTCTGAAAGAATGGTGGTCTGAAAATTGCCTATGTCATTTTGGTTTGTAGAGCTATCCTGTATAAAAAGCTATTCTTTTTCAACCCAAGGTCCACATTCCGTCATAGGGAGCCTTCCACAGCCCACATGCAAGCGATATGTAGGGGACAAGAGGCAAAAATAGGTGAATAAATGAATGTAACTCTTTCCTCCATACCGTAGACTGTATTGTAGCATTGCAACCATTATAGGTTTCTACACTGTCCCACCCATACAGTTACTTAATCCTCTATCCAGGCAAGCAAAAGACATTATTACAGTCAAGGACACCTTTCAGACAAGCAGAAGCACTCAGGGAAAGCACGGAGCAGGAGTAGGGTGGCCTGGGGCAAAAAAAGGCTAATGCTAAAAAAAATTATTTGGTTGGGCAGAAGTGGAACATTCTCAGTTTAAGAGTGGCTAATGCAAAAAAGGCCAATTCTAGGCTATTCTAGGCTGCAACTTATTATTTGTACCCAGCCACTCTGGGCGGCTTCCACAGAAACCAAAAATACATTAAAATCACACATTAAAAACTTCCCTTAAGATGTCTTCTGAATGTCAGATACTTGTTTATCGCTTTGACATCTGATGGGAGGGTGTTCCACAGGGCGGGTGCCACTACCGAGAAGGCCCTCTGCCTGGTTGATCAAGGGTCTGGAAACCAAGTATTATGAGGAGCAGTTGAAGGAGCTGGGTATGTTTAGCCTGGAAAAGAGGAGACTGAGAGGAGATATGATAGCCATTTGCAAATTTCTCAAGGGCTGCCACATGGAAGAGAGAATATATTCTCCAAGTGTACCAGGACATGTACATATGTGAAAAGCAGGTAGCAGGTTTATGCTTACTCTGATCAGTAAATTTTACAATCCTGTGAAACTGGATAGTGCTACAACTGAAATTGCTACTCTTCAGTGTCATATTGTGTATTTTTCAAGCCCCTGCTGCCTTACAACTCAGTTAGCACTCATAGATGTTTAACAAGTCTTACCTCTTGTAGATAGTGAGGTATGTATGTATGTATGGGCTTTATTTTTTAAAAAAAACTTGCTTGCTCTCCAGTACCTGTTAGTCAGCTTTGATTTGCAAAACAGAAAGAACACACTTTTGTGAATGCTTGACTTTCTGGTTACCTGGAGTCATTTCTTGCAGGCAAACTGTTTATAAATGACTTCAAATGGCATCAGCTGGGTATCACATATATATTTGATTTTTATGCTTATTTTCACTAAAATGTGACTCATTTTGTTATTTATTAAACTTAGATGTGCATGCAAGAGGTACTAGGTAAAGACTGAAAAGAGGAGGTTAAGGGTATGAGCCATTACAATGTGAGGGAAAGACCCCTCTTCTAGCAATAGCAATTATTTCCTTTAGAGGAAGTTTTATTTATAATTTAGAGCAAATTTGTAGTTATTGGTTTGTGTTAACTTTAAAATTATTTAATTTTCTTTGTCTCCCAGTAGATATTTCTTTTCCATATTTTCACACTTGTTCTTGTGGTTAGAGATGTCTTTTCAAATATATGCATAGTTTTGTTTAGTTATGTTTTGAAGAAAGGTTTTAATTTGATGTAATGAAAAAATAAATAGGAACATCAAAATACTGGTATGAAAGAATGTATGAGAACTTTTAAAATGATAGTCAGGGGTTAAATTCTGCATTTCAGTGTCTTTTGAGTAAAACAGGATGTAGTGACTTTACTGTCAGACTGCTGGTGTGAGTGCAAACAGATGAGGAAATGCTAGGGCTGGCACTCCAGTATGGGCTGTTGTCTAGGAAACTGTTTGCGTCATTCCTCCCAGCAATTAGCTTACAGTGCTTTTATTTTTGATAGTGTAGTAAGCTGAACTTGACTGTAACAAAGAAAAGGCTGGTGGTACTGTTGCAGTTCTGAAGATATAGCTTTTGTGGGAAATGGTAATAAAATAAATATTAAAAACATAATAGAATTTTATATCCATTGATAATGAAAACTAAGTTATTATTTTATTAACAAAAAGGTTTTTTCTGATCCGTTTTTAGATAAATTATTAAGACTTTTTGTTGAAACCATAAAAAAATTAAAAAGCAGTTTAAAATACTATATTGAAAATACATATTGCTACTAGTTCTAATTTGCATATAGTTTGATACATTTTTCATGTTGAAATAAATTATACATTGCTGTGGTATGAAAATGGGAAAGTCCATATTTGCATTTTTAAAATGCAAATTCATAGTCTGATGGTGCAATTACATATATCTTTATGCAAAATTAATGTCCCACTGTGTAGCGAGGTGCTTATTGCCTAGTAAATGTGTCTAGGATTGCAGTCTTGACATAAATATCTACTTATTTGAACTTATAAGGTTGTATGTAGCATAAGTTTGAATTTGTCTGAACCACCAGCTGTACTGTAGCATGTGGGCAAATGTTACAACTGAAAAACTAATCGGTTTTGCGTAGGTACAGAAGTAGTAAGTATAGAAACAGGGCTTCTTTTTCTACCAGCACATCCTATGTTCAGAATGATGGAAGAAACTAAAGATGGCCTATCTAGGAAGCACTCTGCTTACATTAATAATGGAACTGATGGATCCAGATTCAAGGTCCCTGCTATAAAATAGAATTTTGCCATAAGATGAGTCTGCTAGATCAGGCCAGTAGCCTATCTAGTCTAGCATCCTGTTCTCACAGTGACCAACCAGAAACCTGTAAGGAAACGCAAGCTGGACCTGTGCACATTACTGTGCTGACTGTGGAGACAGAGCATAGCTATCATGGCTAGTTGCCATTGATACCCTTTTCCTCCAGTCCTCTTTTAAAGCCATCCCAGTTGGTGACATCAGTACCTCCTGTGGAAGCAAGTTTCATACTTTAACTGTGTGATGTGTGAAGAAGTAGCCATAAGCCTCCACTATCTGTGGTGCACTTGTGCTACTTTGATGTATGTTTCCCAAGCTACTTAGGTTTCTTACCTTGCTGAATCAGTGTTGGGATAGGAGAGTTTCAACAGCTGATTCTCTCTGGTGTGTTCTACTGAAGCTGGCTTGGCTAATGGCTACTGGGCTGATGTAGTAGTTACTTCACTCTACAGAACCAGTCTTTCTTGGAGGAAAAGTGTGGAAGTTGTTCAGACCCATCACTATAACAAGTATTGCTGGTTTTTCAATAAATGGTAAATGAGGAGCTAAAAAAAAGGCTGGTTTTTGTTTTTTGATTTTTAAAAAAAGACTTAGAAAATGGAGACGTAGTTCTTTGTATTATTAAGATTAGAAAAGTTGCTGTGAAACATTTAAACACAGTTTAACTACTTCGGAAAAAGCTTTTAAAGTATTCATGTTTTTGTATTTTTTTAATAAAACTGACTCTTCTTTCATTTGTACAAATAGAAATTTTGCACTGAAAGTTTCTAAGAAACTGCTGGTGTCAGCTGGAGGTGTACCAGAAAGCTTGGGTGATTATCTGTGGAGACTGACTAGATCTGCTCCTGCAACTTGTCATGCTGAGTAGTGACACTTTCTACTTTTTTGGGGGGGGGGGATAATATTTGAGTATGTTTCTCTCTCAGTCTCTCATTGTTAAATGAAATAGAATTTTGGAAACAAACATTTTTTGCTAGTTCAACTTTATTTATTGATTTAAATTAAGCATTATTAAATCTCAAGAGCGCACAGTAAATACACTAAATAACTAAGTGCATGCACATTGTAAATACCTATAATATACAAAAGCTTGTATAGTCAAAACCCATAGGGTTCAATGACAAGTAGGATTGCCAAAGTCATTTTCCCCAAAACCCTGCCCCCTTTCCATCCCTGATTGATTGATTGATTGATTGATTGATTGATTGCCGTATGTGTAAAGCTGAATGCACACAAGTTAAATGTGCACGGTTGCGGGCTTACTGTACTATAAACTGACAAAGAGGAATTTGAGATACACTTTGAGTAGGCAATCAGAGACTTCCAGATCTCATCCTCCCCCTTCAAAGACATTGACCAAAAAATGTGTCTTGATCCGCTGTGGAAAAGCATTGAAAGATGTGCCAGATGCTCCTCGAAAGGGAGAACCTTCCACAACTTGGGGCCACTGCAGAGAAAGCCTTCTCCCGCATTACTGCTCTTTGATCTTTACATGGTGCTGCTGCTTTTTTGTGATGAAACCATGTTCTGTCTTTATAATGATACTGAAAAGGCCACTTCCTTTACTACAGAAACACTTCTGCAGTTGTATGGAATTTTTAAACATGCTTGTCACATTAAAAAAAAAAAGAATCTTAGACAAATACCAAAACTGTTATGAGTGAAACCAGGAAAGAAATATCATACATTATAACTTGACATCTGAAAAAACTTGCTGTCTTTCAAACATTGTCTTTCCTTGCTTTCAGTTGCGTTTTCAGTAGGCTTAGTGAGCTAATTCCAATAGGTTTTAATCATTATGAAGCCACATCATTCAGTAAATGGCTAGCTACTACAGATCTGGTTTCAGTTCATCTCTTGTTCCAGATAGCCTTTTGAAATGCGAAACTTCATTCTTTACATGGTCCTGTGATTTGTCTAGAGCTGATTAATGTCACCTGATCAAGCAAATGAGTCCGGTAAATGCTTAGACTCTGTTTTTTTTAGTAGAGCTGTTAGGGTTATGTAAAGAAATTCAGAAATCTAATTAATCTGGAAAGAGACAAAAGTATTACAAGTTTCACATTTGGCTATTGTATGACATTAGGAAAGAATGTAGTCCTTTTAAAAAAACTTATCCATTAAAAATCTTTGTAACATGAGCATTTCAGACAAAGCTTCTGTCTCGATAGATTTCTTCATCATGGAGTCATGGGACTGTATCCTAAGGATTCTAATTGTGAGCCAACCAGTATTTGACCATCATCGGCTATCTGTTGTTAAAACATGGTCTTCATTTATTAAATTGTAGCTCATCTCTGATGTCATTGTAAAAAATTTCTTCAGTAGCTTTACTTTTTTTCAACACATGACATTTCATGTTTGTTTGTTTTAAAAAATATACCAGCAGTTATAATATTTTAAATGAAATACACACTTCCTTACATTGCAATTCTGCACATATATACTCAGAAATTAGCACCTTTAAATTCAGTGGGACTTACTTCCGGGTATAGAATTGCAACCTGAGAGATTCATAGAATAGCAGCCTTAAATTTACTACTGTTTGTCATTCTATATTTTTCTGTGTTTCCCAGCTCTCTTTTCCTTTTTTCTGCCACCCTCCTACTTTCTCATGCTCTCCTATTTCTGTACCATTCCATAAATTCCCTTCTCATCACCACCAATATTGTTATTCCACATTTTTATTGGAACCAGTTATGAAATTTACAGAAGGGTCTGGTTGAAATTAAATCTTTTTCCACCCAGATTTTTTTTTACATTATTGCAAAGCAACTTCTCAGGAGGTTGGGAAAGGAAGAATTTATTTGTGCTTTATAATGTGTGTGAATCAATCTGTCTGCTGACAGTTATGTTTTCATCTGTGGGTATTTGTAATTTTACATTCAGTACCTTTTCCTTCAATGTATTGGTCAGAGAATCATAGAATTGTCCACTTTAAATATGAAAATAGTTTTCACTCTTGGTGAGATAGTGACAGAAAATTACTGTGGTTTTAAGATTGTTATTGAGAGGGCAAGCAATGGGAGAAATGCCTTCAGCACACAGCTGTGGAGACTGCTTTAAATTTTCAATTCCAGGGGAAATTAACATGTTTGATTTTTTTCTGTATTGGTGGACTACTAGTCAGTGCCACTTGGAGTAAGTGATGCAGGCTTTGACACATGGAGTAAGTGATGCAGGCTCCCAAGTGTTGTGGTTTTAACATTCAGAGCCCTATCATCCATAGATAATTTATTGGTAGCCATTAGCTGCAGTAGCTAAATGGAACCTCCAGGTTCAGAAAAATACTGCCTCTAAATATCAATTGCTGGGTGTAGAGGGAAGGGCTACTGTTTTGTGTCTTGCTTGTAGGCTTTCTGGCCCTGTTAGAAACAAGATGCTGAACTTGATAGACCTGTGGTCTGATTCAGCAGGGTTCTTGTGATGTCCCATAAAGCAAAGTGTTTAGATGAACAGCTGGAGGAGACTTTTGAGAGTCCCATGGACTGCAAGATGATCAAACCTATCCATTCTTAAGGAAATCAGCCCTGAATGCTCACTGGAAGAACAGATCCTGAAGCTGAGGCTCCAATACTTTGGCCACCTCATGAGAAGAGAAGACTCCCTGGAGAAAAGACCCTGATGTTGGGAAAGATTGAGGGCACAAGGAGAAAGGGACAACAGAGGATGGTTGGACAGTATTCTCGAAGCTACCAGCATGAGTTTGACCAAGCTGCGGGAGGCAGTGGAAGACAGGAGTGCCTGGCGTGCTCTGGTCCATAGGGTCACGAAGAGTCGGACACGACTAAACGACTAAACAACAACAAAAAATGTCTAGAAAATATATACGTTTAAGTTAATAGGTATACAAGGTATTGAATCTATGTATGACTTTGTCAAATGCATAATGCGTAAACATTGTCAAATCCAGGGCATTTTTTCTGGTAGATCTCTCCCGAATGCAGTACAGGCATCTCTGCCAAGCCACCTCTTCTTCCCTATTCTGAGGCTTACCTTAAAAAAAAGTGGGGGAAGGAAGGAACAGCATCCTGTACACTTAGGATACCATTGTTAACCAGCAAGGTGGACCTTGTGGTGGGTGCCCCAGGGAGGAGCTTTTCTAAATTGGGGGTGAAGTTCCTAAAGTAGTGTGTGCGATTGATTGATTGATTGATTGATTGAGAAAGGTATGCATGTGTGATTTGTGTAAGAGAAGGAGAGGTGTGTTTGTGGTATGTGTGTAATGGAGGGAGGGTGATATCTATATGTTGTGTCTGTGAATGTTAGAGAAAAGGAAGTATGTATGCTTTCTAAGTTTCTAATTTTATTTAATTATTTAATCAATTTTCTTGAGACTCCCCTTCAGCTGTTATTTTTATAAGTGTTATTTCTAGAAGAACAGTCTTTTTATCTGTCTCCAGTTCATTTTTGTATACAGAGTCTCTTCAGATAGTGTCATAATATCCAGATCCTGTCTGGAGCCCCAGACCTAAAATGTTTGCATAATTTGGGTATTGTTGGGAGATTTATTAATGCTTCTTTGGATATACCATTGTATATGAGCCAGACTGGCTTCTTTCCCAGACTGCACCATTGGCATCTCTTTGGCTTAGACGACCTGCTTCTGTTAAAAATTTAAAAAATCTGTAAACATAAACATTGCTACTGTTTCAGCAATGCTTTTTAAAAAGAATTTTGAATCTGCATTTCATTAATGGTAGTGACAGAATCACTTAACATACACTTAGTTACATTTAGAACCCTTTCAGGAGCTATAATCAGTCTGTATGCTTTCCTGCTTCTGAGCACTAGGAGGCAGCCGTTTCTGTTAGAAATTCCAAAATCCTTACTGAAGCAGTATCTTCTTTATTAGGCCAACCAAAATGTTACAAAATGGAATGTAAGCTTTTGAGTTCCCAGAACTCTTTATCAAGCTAGACGGTAAAATGTGCAGAGGGAAGGAAGCCATCCATCCTTGCCTACAACTGGTAGATGGAATGTGGGAGGAGTTAGCAGATGTTCAAGTGACCCTCTTTCACCTGTTTAGCAAGTTTCTGATTGCAAACAAGCCTCCAGAGAAGGAGAAAAACACAAAGGCTGAGCCTTCATTTCTGTAAATATAAAGGTTTTCCTTACAGTCCCCCCCCCCAATTTCCCTGTCTACACAATGCATGAAGGTATTTACTGTTTCTAAAATCCATCATAGACACATTTGAGCTTATTTCCTCTATCTCAGGGTAACTTTATCTGAAAACAATGCTACTTTTTTGCTATTGATTCCCATCCTTTTGTTTCTAGAACAAATGGAAGTAGTGTTCCAGTTCATAAAATACCAGTTCACCAGCCAGTCTTACTTACTTACAATAGGTCAGACAATTAAAATAATTTTAGCCAGTTTCTGGAATTGCCCAACATATAGTTTGTCTTTGCAGAAATGGCGGGACAACTGTCAGACCCAACACTGTACCTTTTTCCTTTGCAACTATGCATGGCATAAAAGCTAGAGAAGGAAATATTTCATAGTAGCTTAAAAGCTTTGTGTCTTTAAAAGGTAGAAATTCTTCATAAAATATGGGTAACAATAAAACAATCTTCTTGTTGCCTCTCTTCTTCTTCTCAAAAGAATATTGAAAAAGATTTCTGATTTCAAGTTGCTATGGTGTTAGTATCTTTGTTTAGTTAATTTTGTGCTAAGTTGCTATGGAAATATTTATTTACTGAGTTAGTGCCTAACCAGTGTCAAACAGATGCTGCTAGCAAGTACAAATCATGTTTTAATCAATAAAATACCCAAAATATTCCTAGTCTTGAAGATGGAAAAAATAATGTAGCAAAATACTTTTATTTGTGTTTTTCATAGCACATACATTTTACATTAAAATGCTAGCTTATTTGATCTGCTAATAACAATCAGGTTATTATTAGGGTTCCACATTGTTAATGTTACAAACTCATTCTTATCTTGCAGGTGTTGCCTTATTTGTGAAAAAATGTATATGATCCATCTGTTATTTTACTAGATACATTCACCATAACTTCATGTCTCTGGTTTTAGTACCTATTTTCAAACATACTTACTGTATTTTTCGCCCTATAGGACGCACTTTTTCCCCTCCAAAAATGAAGGGGAAATGTGTGTGCGTCCTATGGGGCGAATGCAGGCTTTCGCTGAAGCCTAGAGAGCGAGAGGGGTTGGTGCAACTCCTGCGGGCTCCGAAGCCTTGCGGATAGCTGCCTGCAGCCCGAAGCCTGGGGAGCGTGGCACTGTGCGTGGCTTAGGGCAGCTATCCACAAGCCTGTGGCGCCCGGAGGGAGTTGCCTTAAGCCCGGGGTGCACAGCGGGCTACAGCGCCGTGCTCCCCAGGCTTCGGATAGCAGCAAGCTCCGGGAGTGATGGCGAGGTTGAGCACAACCTCACCATCGCTCCCGGACCCCCAGCCCGGAGGCTAAAAATGAAGCCAAGACAGCTAGCGGGATCCATCCTGCTCGCTGTCATGGCTTCTTTGCTCTTTGGGGCTTGGGGGGGGGATATTTTTTTTTTCTTTATTCCCCCCCCCCAAAAGTGTGCCCTATGGGCCGGTGCGCCCTATAGGGCGAAAAATACGGTAAGTCAGCTATACCACATTTTAGATGACATTTTTACTCTAATTTAGAATGTGATTTATCTTAGTGGAGCAAATGCTGATCAAATCTTCAGTTGAGTATTTCAGATCTGAACCATTTCCAAATATTTAGTTGTATGTAGACAGCAGCCTTGAGGAATTATAGTTATTGGGTAACACATCTAAACTACATGTCACCTTTGAGTAGGGATGAACTGAGCAGCCTAATTCTGTCGCACTTCATTCTTGTAAATACTCAAGGGTTCCTTAATTGTATTGTATGCATTTTGATTGTACTGTTAACATAAAATATGCTTTCAGTGCATTAATCCAAAAATAGGCATTTTATGTGTATATTTTATGTAAAATAAAAATTTATGTGTGCACCAAAACTGTGTTAAAATCTAGAAAAGTGTTTCATCCAACTGGGAGTTGCATTCCAATCTTCAAGGAAGTTTGGGAGCATCTGATTGGGTTGTACTTTTTGTGAAAAGTGGAAAAAGCAAATTCTTCCCCCATCCCTCATTTTGAGTAACTATACATAGAACAGTTTTAAAGTTTTTGCCTCTCTTCCCTGTCACATGCCTCCTCATACATAACTACTCGTATATACTAAATCTTTTTTTAAAAGACCCTCTGTAACATTCAGAATACATATCCTACACCAGTGAAATTCAGAAGAGAATACAAATTAAATTAGGAACAAATGACTACTAATTGGTGTGCTAAGAGGTCAGGGAGAACAAAATAGGGAAATAGTTGGTGGTACACGTGTGGCGCTGTGGTCTAAACCACTGAGGCTTGCCAATCAAAGGGTCGGCAGTTCAAATCCCCGCGACCGGGTGAGCTCCCGTTACTCGGTTCCAGCTCCTGCCAACCTAGCAGTTCGAAAGCACACCAAAAAGTGCAAGTAGATTAATAGGTACCGCTCCAGCGGGAAGGTAAACAGCGTTTTTGTGCACTGCTCTGGTGTTGGTGTTCTGTTGCACCAGAAGCAGCTTAGCCATGCTAGCCACATGACTCAGGAAAACTGTCTGCGGAGCAGTGCCACAACCCCAGAGTCGTTCACGGCTGGACTTAACCGTCAGGGGTCTCTTTACCTTTACCTTGACTGCTAGAGAGAGGCATTCCAGGACCCAAGAGTGAGAAATTCATCTACCTCTTGGGCAGAGCTCCAGAGATACCATCACACCTGAGAGCTCTGCTCTCTGCCCAGCTCAGCCTCCTTTGCAGTAGCACTTAAGAAGTAGGCATTTAGACTTATTTTTTAGTTTAAAGAAGTTTATAATGTAATTGTCATTGTCCCTTTTATCTCCCAGACCATTTTATTTTCTTAAATTGTGACCCTGTTGAGTTCTGTCAGTGCAAGCCCTGTGCAAGTGTTTGCATTTGTGCAAACAGGGTGTGCCTTCCAGTGTCCCCTCCCCCCAAAAAATTGTCTGTGGGAGAGTCCCCATTATTTGTGGTTGCTGCTAGCCTTCCCCTTTCCCCAAGTAATCTAGCACACATGGAAGACCTCATCTCTGACATTTCACTGATCTAGAGTGCTACAACTTCACACTTGTACCAAGTGCCTTTGATAATGAAGTTCACTGATGTCAGAGAGATGCCTCCAGCAATGGAAGGCAAAATCACTGGTCTACATTAAGTTAAACTGGCTCTCCATAACACACTTTCTTTCCACCCTTTCTCCTTAGGGAAAAAGGTTCCAAAGTCAGCTTGATGGCTTAAAGCCTGTATTTCATTAATCTATGCATGTTTGCATTTTACTCCGCCTATTAGTATTTCAGCTCACTCAGTTAGGTCATCAGCAGCCTCAGCATCTTTTCTTTAAATGTTCTTCTGCAAGACTTTTGCAGGGCTGCCACATGAAGTGGATTGGATCTGAATGCCTCTGGTGTGGATTCCAACAAACAATAATGGTGACAAGGGACCTTGCTTTTATTTATTTATTTATTTTATTTATTAGAATTATATACCACCCTTCATCAAAATATCTCAGGGCTTTGTTCCCGTGTAATCTTCATTGGCATGGAGTCCATATTATTAGTTTGTATGAAGGAGGTAGAAGGGGCAAAAATTTTGCTGAATGGCATGCAACATCGCTGGACCTATTTGTATCTTGCTCAGTATCTATAACCAAAAAAAATAAAATGCTTTCCATACAGTCAAAGGCAGTCTCTTGGACTTGCCGATCAGAAGGTCGGTGGTTCGAATCCGCACAATGGGGTGAGCTCCTGTTGCTCTGTCCCAGCTCCTGAGAGCCAGTGTGGTGTAGTGGTTAAGAGCGGTAGACTCGTAATCTGGGGAACCGGGTTCGCGTCTCCACTCCTCCACATGCAGCTGCTGGGTGACCTTGGGCCAGTCACACTTCTTTGAAGTCTCTCAGCCCCACTCACCTCACAGAGTGTTGTGGGGGAGGAAGGGAAAGGAGAATGTTAGCCGCTTTGAGACTCCTTTGGGTAGTGATAAAGCGGGATATCAAATCCAAACTCTTCTTCTTCTCTCCTGCCTACCTAGCAGTTCGAAAGCACACCAGTGCAAGTAAATGAATAGGTACCGCTGTGGCGGGAAGGTAAACAGTGTTTCCATGTGCTCTGGTTTCCATCACAGTGTTCCATTGCGCCAGAAGTGGTTTAGTCATGCTGGCCACATGACCCGGAAAGCTGTCTGTGGACAAACGCCGGCTCCCTCAGCCTGAAGCAAGATGAGCACCGCAACCCCATGGTCGCCTTTGACTGGACTTAACCGTCTGGGGGGGTCCTTTACTAATCTTACAGTAGTGAATGATACTCAGTACTGTGCATTGAATCTGCAATTTGCCTCTGCTGCTCTGCATTAAAAAATGCTTCTCTTAAGATTTTAGATTTGAGTGCCACCTTGTGGAATGTTGTAAAATGTTAAAAGAATATTACTGAACACATCCTTGAGCCTTACTAATTGAAACTCATGCAACATAAGAGGACTAGACAGTGCTCTGCGCACCTCTCAAGATTCATCTGCTGTAACAGTGGAGTCAGGGTCCCAGGGGATGCAAGCAATTTGATCCTCAAAAAGCTTTGCAAACAACTCACAGGGAGCTACCATCTGTTCTGTCATCTCCTTCAGGCCAGACTATAAAAGGTTCCTCAATACCTGGAAAGGCTCTGTTGGACAACTCAAATGAGAATGCATTGGAGGCAGCAAAGTATGCCTTATTTGCTGCCTTCACTGCCACTAGGTAGGCATGATGATGAGCCCTCACCAGTGTTCAGTTACATTCAACTAGAGTTTTCCTTCATTTGGATTTGAGTCGTCTCTTAACTTGTCTAGGCTAAATCACAGTGGAATGACTTGTATCTTAAAGTGAGATATATTCTCTTCACCTGACTAGTGATTATTAGCACTAAACATTTTTTAAAAATCCAAGTGTACCAATGTTGATATTTTTGTCAACAATTTATACTGTAATTTTTAATATAGTTTGGAATTTTAAGTAATTAAGTATTATATGAAATCAAATAATCCATGCAGCAGAAGTTTGAAAGGATCTGTGTAGGTCGGTTTAGGTAGTTTTCCTTTATCCGGTTTGAGGAAGACATTCTGGACTGTTTCCTTCAGTATGGGCAAATAGATGAGGGAACTTTATGAGCACAGTGCTTGGATTCTCTTCCCAGGGCTGCCGGATGCAGGGGATTTCCCTCCCTCATGCAGCAGCTTCTTGGAAGTGTCCTAAGGTAACTGCCTCTTGCTAAATTGGGGCCTGTATCTTTTGATGGTTTAGAAGTATCTTAGTTATAGCTATAATTTGTATTCTAATACTTGAAAGCTTGGTTTGGCACATTAAATAGGGAAACTCACAAGAAGAGGAATAATAATAATACTGCTACTACCACATAATTAAGTTTCAATAACTGTGCTAAGCAGACTTAAGTGCATTACGTACAGTTCCTTTTTCACTTGGTTATGCTTATTGGAGTGTAACTAGAGCAACTGAATGCTATACTGTTAATCTAGTCATTTAGATAGATAGTAACAAGTGTTCTATTTGCAAAATATTTATTGTTTGTTTATAACTTCCAGTTTTGTTGTCTTACAGATGATCCTTTGGGACTGGGACTTAAAGCAGTGGTATAAACCTCATTATCAGGTCAGTATATCTAAATATAACCAGTATATGATATTGCACAATCAAGTCTGTGGGTAGCATACCTCCACCCTCCCTTCCCCCTCATGTGTTCCAATTAATAAATAACTTCCTGGCTTGAGCAAGCCATAGTTTACTGCTCCATCCAAACCAAGAAACTGGCATGGTGATTCTCTAAACAATGATTTTACACTGACTTTCAAAAGTTTCACATTGGTTCTTAGGTGTAGCTGGAGCCTCTAAACTGAACTGCTATAGTTCCTGCACTTTCTCTGGCAAGGCTGCTTGAACTGCATCTCTGAATTTGCTCTGCATTCTCATTTTATCTGCTATGTGATTTATTTATGTCAACTCTTCCAGGCACTCATCCTCATAAAACTCTCTTATCTCTTTCTTCTGTTATTCTTCTTCTAAGTACATTGACCGTTACTGTCTCTATCTCTTCCAGAATGTGCAGACATTTCTGGCAATCCAGAAAATGTGTTGGTCCTTCCCTTTTTCACCTAGGCCTAGCATCCAGCCTCAAAGATCTAAGTGGTTAGAGACTGGAAGCTGGCAGTTGCACTTGGCATCCATTAGCTATCTCTCATAGAGGTTACCAGAACATAGACAACAGAAGCAAGGCTGTTCCAGTCCAGATAATCATGCAGCTAGGTGTGCAGCTGATGGAAGGTACTCCATGCCACTGAGGCCACTCAAGCCTCAAGAGAGAATAGTGGATACCCCTAAGCTTTGTGCTTGCTCCTTCAGAGGACGTGTAAACCCATCCAGAGCAGATATTAATCTGGGATGGAAGAAGTTACAATCTCCCCTAGGATTACCAGATGCAAAAGAGAACAGGGTTCCTACATCTCTAATTGCTGCGCAGGATTTCAGCAGGTGCAGCTTTTCATGAAAGCAGCATAGATTTGCATTCAAATAAAAAGAGCAGGAGAGTTCTTTCATCATATACTTGCCCAAGCAATAAGCAGGTAAGCTACATTTTAAGGAGGTGCAGAAGATCCATGCCAAAAAGACAGTAGTTTTGACTCAGAAATCAAAGTCTCTCTTCTAACTTGGCAGTAGAGTAGAGCTTCTGCAAATTGTACTAAAGGCCCCTGACACAGGACTTGGCTGTATGTTGTAGGAAACTTGGCTATAAAATATATGTGATGGCATAAACTGATTTAGAAATGGTTATTCATATATGATATATAGCCAGATAAGTCTGGGCTTCCCAGGGCAGGTCTGGGTTTGTCCTAGCCTATTTACATTCAGTGTCTGGTGTGAGATGGTAATGCTCTCTTGCCTCTCACAACATTTGACGCAGGTGGGCTTTTCATCTGTCCAATAGAGATATTACATTTAACTCACAAGGAATTAATGTACTAGGAATAAAATACATTAAGTTATAGGAGTTACTATATTCCTCTCACCCAATAAATTGAGCCAATAAATTGTCTCCAAGCCCGTGTGTGTGTGTGTGTGTGTGTGTGTGTGTGTGTGTGTGTGTTGGGAGATCCACTCACATATATGGTGTGTCATTTTACTTTCCCCCCGCTTCGAACACAAAGATGGGAATGAATATTTTAGACCATAGGCCCAAAATAAGATAAACTTACTTGTTAATTAGTCCCTAATTACAGGGTTTGGCTGCAACCTTTGATCCTGATCAGAGACCTGAAGAACAGTTGAAATAAGAACTGTCATCCCACTCTCATAAGGCAGGGCATTAAGGTGATGTACGTAGGCCAGCTGTTTCAGAATAATAATTATGTAATGTTTAAAATGTTTAAAGAGGCAGAACTAGTACTGTACTAAGATTTAAAAGAAAAATCAGTCTGTATCTTTCGTTTTCCCCGGAAGCAAACGTCAAGGCAATCATTAGTAAGTAGTTTCAGGATCATGTAGGGATGCACATAAGCAGGCCTACAATGGGCATAATCGTACATTAGAAAAAGGGAATATTGAGTCCTATTTGCATCTTCTCCATCCAGGAGAACATAATGAACAACAAAAGGAATATAGAGAGAATATAGCCTTAGACCATAGAATATAGAGAGAATATAGGCTTAGACCAGGCTAGCAAATAACCATCTGGGAGCCTGGGGTGAATGAAAATTCCCTCTGGGCAATCAGCCAGACAACTCATTTTTGTGAACACTCACCTTCTTAGAAGGGAGAGAGAGGATCCCAATGTGCATCCTTCAGAGTAGAACTTTACTTAAAATAATTTCATCCCCCCCCCGATATAGAGCATGGGGCTGATTCTTCCTCCCTCCCTGGAATAGGAGGAAGGACAACCCAGAACAAATGTTGAAATTCCCTCTTCTTGCTCTTCTTGCATCCATCTGTCTCAAGAGTGCGCCTCTGGGGGTGAACTAAAACCTCTGAGTTAGCAGCACCAAAGTGACCTCCCTTGGGCACAAGCCTGGGCAATGTGTATGGAGGTCCTGGGCTGCTTAGACGAAAAGGCCTTGTTGATGTGGTCCAAAGGAAAGCAGAGCAAGACATTTGGAAATAGTTTGGCTGCAGGAATTGCTGGAATGGGGTGTACAACGTGCCACCCAACCGTCCTAGGGACTCTGAATTTGGGCAGGGTTTACTCCTTAGCCATTTCTTCCAAAGGTGTCCCACAAGGCAGCAGAGGTTTAGAATCAGAGTTTTCCTATTCCTAAATGGGCTTTCTTCCCAGGTTGATGGGTCTTATCTGCCCCTCTCTTCCTCTACAGCACATGCAGAAACTGCCTTTTTGACCATTGGACCCACTATTGGTCTTGTCCACTCAATCTGCCGGAGCCTGTCTTTGCATGTAGGGGAAGCCCCTATCTCACCAAAGGTTTGAGAACCATCATCTCCTCTCACCTGGTTTAGCTGCCAGTCAAAGCCATTTCCCGGGGTGTGGCTGCTTTTGCATTCTGGCAGGTTTTAGAAGCCACAGGTGAGAGCTGAGTGCAGAGTGGGGACCAAAGGTGGACAAACTATCCCAGAAGGAATAATGTGTCCCCCACCAGAGGTACTACCTCTCTCCTAACACCTGATGCACCCCAATTCCATCTTTTACACAAAAGAGGAGCCCTACCTCTTTTGGCTACCATAGCTATTTGTGGCTTTCTTCTCTTTATTCTGGAAAGGAGATGATCTCTGCTCTGCTATCTTGAAGGCTGGCTGGATTTGAGTGTGTTTTTCTGACTTTATTCTAGCCTCCTGTGGTGCGGATTAGGTTGAAGAAGAGATGAGAAAGAATGCAAATCAAGCTAGCCACTCTGTGTTTGCTATACTTTCTGTTTCCTCCCTGTATTCTGTCCCTCTAACCAACTCAGTCATAGCATTTAGAAAGGTTGAGCCTTTCCCTTCAGAAAGTGAAACCACTATGTACTCTGCCTTCTGCATAGAGCCTGGCTTTCAAATGGCTCTTTTTGAAAGGCTACGTGGTGGGGCTGCCTCTCTTCTTCCCCTTTCTTTTTCAGAAATAGGGAGGAAACACTTCTGTATTATGCACTTCTGAAAGCTGTACTCTAGGCTTGATGGACTTTCTAGAGACAGTTGTGCTTGGCTTGCCTTCTCCTGGTCTTTCTTTTTCACTCTTCCTCTGTAATGCAGTTTTGCAATTTTGCACCAGAGAGACACTATGGAACCATCAGGCTTGGGCTCTTTCTTCCTCCTAGACAGTTTGAAAAGGCGAAAGAGATACTCCAAGTAGAACTGCACAGACAGTTCAGTGCTAGAGGTAGTACCCCCTTGTCACAGACTGGTTGGCCACAGAAGAATGGTGGGAAGAACTAGCTGGGGAGCAGCCAAGGAAAGAAGGCTCAGAGTCTGGGGACTGGTGATTTCCTTTAGCACAGTACCCAAGTATCATTGTCATGGACTGGTTGGATGCAGAGAAATGATGGGAGGAGCCAGCTGGGAAACCACCCAGGGAAGAAAGCTCAGGTGTTGGGACAATGATGAGTGAGAAGAGGGAGAAGCCTGGGAAGGGGAGGTGTTGGAAGCTGAAAAGGTAATAGTGAGCAGAGGGAGTCTGTGGCAGAGAGCAGTCCAGAATCAGAGGTAGAAGCTGAAGCAGGAGAGGAGGGAGGCCAAGAAGCAGAGTGGCTGGTGAAGAGGCACAGGTGTCTCCCTGTCCTGCTGAGACAAGCTCTCCTCCCCGCTGCTCTCCCAAGAACCAGGAGAGGCATGAAGAGGGCGGAGGAGAAGTTAGCCTTACACAGGCACAGTCTCAGAGGGAGCTGCTTATTACAATGCAATTTAAAAAAGAAATAGTAAGATTTTCCCGCATGGTGAGTAGCAGTGCATATAGCTTATTGGGGTTAGGGAAGTATCATGTTTTCCCAGATATAACATATTGTACTTTGCTCAGAAAATATGGTATTATTTCAACAAAGAACAGCAGGAGATTTGTTAACTCTTTTAAGTAATAAGCCTGCATATATTGCATGGAAACTGCAAGAAATTCACCGTTTCTTCAATCTATGTGTGGAGAAAGGAATAAATGGTACAATTTGAAATTATTTTTCTGCTAAATTGTAAATAAATGACCTTACATCAAATGGTCTGTATTAATTAATTTAATATTACAGAATACCGTACTTAGATGAGCATTATTTGTGGATATCTATGTATCTAAAAATCCATTCAGTTTAATGTGCATCTTACTGAAATCCACATCTCAATTTCTTTTAATATTTTGATAAATTGACCTTACAATAACAAAAGCCTTTTGTTGTTGATAGCTAACAGCATGTTTCTCTGTTCTAGAATGCTTTCAGTGGAACCGGAGTTGATTTTTCTGTACTAAATGAGACTCGCAGCATGATGACTGACCTTCTGAATGATCCAGTCCTTCCTCCACATGTGATTTCTTCCCTCCGAAACATCAATAGCTTGATAAGTGCTTTTGCAGGTTCATGCAGGCCAAAGGCTAACATGTTTACCCCCTTTCCGGGCTTTTATCCCTGTCCAGAAATGGAAGACTCATCTGAAAGAGGGGACCGTAAACTGCATAAGGTCAATATATATATATATCAGAATACCTCTAAGTGCAATTTCCCCCATATGGTAATTTTCCTATTCTTCTAGTGTGAATTATAGTTAATTCTATCCAAACTGACAAATTTCTATTCCTTTCAGATGCTGGGTTACAAAAATAATAATTTATTGAGACACTGAACAATATTATGTATCCTTCCAGCTCAGCCAATCAGAGGCTTCACTACCAAAAAGTTCATTATACTACAGAATTATTATTATTATTGCGAACCGTTCCTTTAGGAAACATAGGGTAGCAATACAAATGGTACAAAAGAGCTAGACACTTATTCAGGATTCAGCTGTTATTTTTCTATATAGCTGTTTAAAGTTAAATCAGTTCAGCCAGTTATAATATACCGTATTTTTCGCCCCATAGGACGCACTTTTTCCCCTCCAAAAACGAAGGGGAAATGTGTGTGCGTCCTATGGGGCGAATGCAGGCTTTCGCTGAAGCCTGGAGAGCGAAAGGCATCGGTGCGCACCGACCCCTCTTGCTCTCCAGGCTTCAGGAAGCTATCCGCAAGCCTTGCAAGCCCGGCGGGAGTTCCTACAGGCTCACAAGGCTTGCGGGCAGCAGCCTGCAGCCCCGGCGAGTGTCCACAAGCCTTGCGCGCCCGGCAGGAGGTCCCACCAGGCGCGCGAGGCTTGGGGCGGCAGCCTGTCGCCCGAAGCACGCGGAGCCCTCCAGAGGGTGCCCTGTGCTTCGGGCAGGTGTGCGCAAGGCTTGGGGCGGCAGCCGCGGCGGGGGGGGAATAAATTTTTTTTATTCATTTCCCCCCAAAAAAACGAGGTGCGTCCTATGGGCCGGTGCGCCCTATAGGACGAAATCTACGGTAGCTTAATACGCTTAATTTAAACTGAGCAATACTTAGTAAAAGTGTATATTACCACGGAAGTGTGGAAGAGAGCTGTTTTATCAGAAAAATGTAAACTTTATCAACTTGTTCAACAGGGGCTAAACAGCCGAAATAGCTTACCAACACCACAGTTAAGGCGGAGTTCAGGAACTTTGGTCTCACTGCCCATGGAACCATCTTCTAGGTGGGAACGCAATAATGGCAAAAGATTGCATCATGAGTATAATTCTTCAAGGTAAATATTTTATCACTATAGAATTCACAGTATTATGAGGTATTTCTTAAGTGCTGAAATTAAAAGTTGAGTTGGGATCGGAAGGAGGACAGACAAGATGTTTTTCAGATAAAATATTTTGAATTGAATTAATTTTCCGTAAGTGCTGCAATCAAATGTTTAAAACTTATAAAGTATGCTTGTATAGCTTCGTTCATCCAGGATATTTGAAGTATGGCACTTGGATATGCAGTTAATATTTGATGACAACCACTAATTCTGAACTTAAGTTCTAAAGGAAATTACGATGAAAGATAAATTGTAACATTCTGTATAGTCACCATTTATGAGATAGTGAAAGAAGATCCAGCCATCCATCTCTCTCTTGGGCTGAAACATAGGAAAGTAATATAACAAGAGTGGCTGACAATAACACACTGCTCTACTTTTGTTTTGCTCTTGAAAGTCTTATGGTGCAGTAGGTGAACTATGTTTATTAATCATCACAGATTTATTGGTTTTCTGCTTGTTTTGTATTGTAGTTAGTAACTAGATCAGTTTTTACACTTTTTTCAACTATTACAGCAGATAATAATTTGTTCCTAACCTTGAGAACCAAATATACTGTATAGGAGAAGTTCTTTTCTTTGCACTGGCAAAGAAAGTAGGAGGTTTGGAGCACTGCAGTGCTTTATAACAGTCTTCCCGCCTCCTAAAAAGCTAAAAATTTACCACTTTTCTGAGGTATCATATAGTTAAAGATTAAAGACTGTTCCACTGACCTTGTTTGGTATCTCATCCCAGTCTCAAGACAAAGAGAACATTCAGAATCTAGACTCTTAAGTAGCTACGTTTATAATTTGTGCAGCTTGCCTGTGACTCTAGCTATGGCCAGCTGTAGCAGATAGGCTATATTCCCCAACGCTGCTGGTGGTTTGTGCAAAATGTAGCCATTTATAGTACAGTCAAACCTTGGATCCCAAACACCTCCGTTTTGGAATGTTTTGGCTCCCGAACACCGAAAACCCGGAAGTAAATGCTCCAGTTTTCGAATGTTTTTTGGAAGCCAGACGTCCGACACGGCTTCCACTTGAGTGCAGGAAGCTTCTGCAACCAATCGGAAGCCAAACCTCAGTTGTCAAACATTTTGGAAGCTGAAAGGGCTTCCGGAATGGATTTTGTTCGACAACCGAGGTTTGACTGTAGCTATACGATGGGACAACTGCTGTTTCAGAGATGTTAGTCCTGGAAGAGAGTTTGGGAAATGATGGCAGATTCCTGAACAGATTCAGGAAAGAAGAAACAAGCCTGGCTGCTGCAAGTAATTAGGCAGCAGTAAGAGATCATAACTACATGCACTCCTGCTCCATTACTCTACTCTGTTAGAAAGACAGCTGCCTGAAAGACCTTTGGTAGAAAAATGCTGTATTCCCACTGTTTTGTCCTTGGGAGAGAAGATTTTGAAATGCTGAGGGACTGTGCCATGTTTGTCCTACCAGTTAGGACAGATTTTTGACAGATCTTAGGAAGAAATGAAAGCTGTCATTTATTTCTGGTTTTTTTCTTCTCCATTGCTAGAACCCGATGTTGTCCCCAGAACATAGATGTTCTAGTCTCCAAGACCCATTTGTTCATTTTAGGACTCATGTCCTTCAGTGTCATACTCTGCATATTCTTTAGTGACAGTAATAAAAAAAATTAAATCAGTTTTAAATTTTCCAGTTACATAAGAGACAACATATGACTCATTATAAACAAGTAATGGATAGTATAAATATTTTTTATCCTAAATAAACTTAGACCATCACACTTCACGGCAAGATTTTTCACGACGTGTTACCTTTTTTATTATTTTACAGGTTGATGATCAACTAACCAGTAGATCTAGTTAACCAGTAGATCTAGTTAAGATACAGATACCGTAAAAAATATGTTGGCAGGCCTGTTCAGTGGTTTAAGTTTTTTAAAGAAGGACCAATAATTTCTATGATCATTCTGTATTATTTTTATGGTTTTTTGTTTTGTTTTTTGCACTTACAAATTTTGTTCTACACCACCCTGGTATTTTATATGAGGGATGGTCTATAAATATTTTTATAAATAAAAAAAATAAGGGAAGGAAATTGCTGTTTGAGGTTTATGCAAAATGTATTTAAAAATTGCTTTCTCCACCCAGAAAATAAAATAGCAAGCTCTGAATGCTTCCTGGATTAGACATCATGTATATTAAATATTGTGCTGTGTATGTATCTTCAAGCTTTCAAACAGCAGATGGCATGCTTTAGCAACATAAGTGTCAGTTTATAGTCAGTTATCAAAGGTGAAAAGTACTGAGCATAGAAATTAAAAGAGTATTTCCTTAATGCTATGTAGCATTACATTTGAATAAAGCACCAATAGCATTGATCAAGATCTTGTTAAATATGCAATGGAATGAGCTATTCACAAGATTTTTCAACTGAAAGAACAATTTAGACTGTAGTTCTAAACCCTGGTTGGCACTGGAGGGGCTTGATGGAGTGCTACATCCACAGCAGCACTGCCAGCATTGCCCAGAGAGGAAGGTGCAGGGTTGAAATGGGAGGGGGGGAAATAGCCTTTTACTGGATTCAGGCCTGTTGCCATCATGTAGGTAGCAGGGCTGACTCAGGATCCAGTAGATCCCGTTCCCAAAGTGTTCCATCTTGGTGGTTTCCACTGAGTACTCTCCATGACATTTCTGCTCCATCTAAACTCCTTCCAAAACAGTAGATCAGGCGTTTGGACTGTTCTGCCCATTTCTTTTCTGAAAGAGTGCTACTGCAGATTAAAAGAATCTTCTTTAGCAAGAGGAAGCTGATGCAAATACGTTAATGTCATATTTCACATTTTTCTGGGATGAACTGCTAAAAGTGGCATTAAGTTCTGGTGTTGCTCATGTTAAATCCTTTAGATAAAACTTTATTCTAGTTGGAGCATCCTGTGAGCAGAGTATCACTCCGGGTAAACTCTGGAGAGCTGGATGACAATGTCTTCAGTGTATCTGACATTTCAGGTTTATGTGATTGCCATCTTAGATACTTGGCAATCTTTCTGTTCAAAATTTTAACTATGTTTTTAAAGAAGACTTATGCAAGTTAAGATTACTAATTTTTTGAAGGCTTTCTCCTAATTTTAAGTGCTCTTTATTATAGCTGTTGATTCCGTACTTGCATCTAGAGATCCTTGTGCACAGGGTGCATTTAACTCTAATTTTGCTTTGATTGTTTACAGTTTAATTAGAAGATTAAAATATGTGTACCTACCCTTTATTGAGTATAATAATACTTTTTTCTGTTTTCAATTAGCCAAGGATCTTATCCAAATGGGCCTTTCAACATGAACCTGTTGACAATACCAAAACAAAGATCATCTTCAGTGACCCTGACTCATAATACAGGCTCCAGACGAGCTGGTAGGATAAAAGCATATTACTACTTTATAATTATATTTTAGGATAGATAATTTGTGGAAGTGTCTCTGGAGCAATATGATTTTTTAAAAATAACAGCACTATATATCTCATAAGATTATTTCATTTTGTTAAGATTTTCATAAGCATGCTATCATTAAGCATCTATCTAGTTGCTTGTTCATATATGATATTGCATGTTTTACAAATGACTTGAAGACACTGGATATCATCATCTATACTAATAGCGAACTCATAATATTATAAACCACCTTGTGATCCTCAGATGAAGAGTGGTATAGAAATTTAATAAATATCAATAGATAAAATTATCCAATTGCCCATTCTTGTGTAGCCAAAATGTCACTGCTCATGAACAAGAGGGCGGTATCAGCATGCTTGGTAAAACCCCAAGGTTTGCAGAAGTATGCAAAAAACTGTGAATGGGAAAACAGCCCCCACGACAGCAAAGTTAGGAATTAGCAGTCAACATGGAATGCTGATTGTGTTGGGAAGGTGAGAGGGCAGAACATTGGATGAGAGGAGGGAGTGGAATGGAGTACTAGAGAAAAGGGCATGGCCGATTGGCTGGAACTCTGAACAAGAAGACTTCACACTGCAACATTTTGTTGAAGGTCTCACTTGTATAATATCTGTCCTGCATATTACAAATAATGACAGTTATCCAGAAAACTATGTTACCAATTGCATACCAGGCTGGAGTAGGGTTGACCCACATTGTGTAGCAAGCAACTACAAATCAATAGAGCAGCCAAAGTTGAAATACTGCTTACCGTTCTGGTTACCACACCTCGAAAATTATATTGTAGAGCTGGAAAGGGTGCAGAAAACTGCAATCAAAATTATCAAGGAACTGGAGCAATCCATCTAAGAAAAAAGGTTGTAGTGTTTGCGCATTTTTAGTTTAGCAAAAAGGCTAGTAAGAGAAGACATGATAGAGGTGTATAAATTATGCCTGGTGTAAGTTTTCTTTCTTACTGTAAATTATGCCTGGTGTAAGTTTTCTCTCTTGAATGAATGTCGGAAGATGCAGTGCAGACTAAATACATGCTATTTTACACAGTGCACAATTCAGCTACAAACTTTGTTACTGCAAGATGTGATGGCCACCAGCTTGGACAGCTTTAAAGGTGAATTACAGTAGTCTGATTCATGGAGGATAAGGCTTTGAATACCAGTTGCTGGTGATTAGAAGCAGGAAACGTATCCTGCATTTGGGCTTCTCATAGACATCTGCTTGACCCCTATAAGAAGAGAATCTAAGTTTTTTGGTTAAACAATAGCCAACGGAGAGATTCTGCAGCATATTACTTCCAGTGTATGTGTGATTCTGTTATCTGCAAGAGCTATGAGATAAGATACATTTTTGTTTTTGTCAGTCATCTTTTATTTTCTGGAAAATTTAAGGCACTGTTCTTAAATATGCACAAGTTGCACTTTAAGATATATTTATGACTTCCAACATTTTATGCCTCTGTTTCCTTTAGGAACTTCTCCAAATCTAAGTCCTGTGGCCTCATCAAGTAATGGATTTCTGTCAAGTGTGTACCACCGGTCACCTGTAGAATTTCCTGATACTGCTGATTTCCTTACTAAGTCAAGTGTTAATATGCATAAATCTGTGGGATGCACGGTTAGTCCTTCAGATTATCAGCAACAACTTAGAACATCTTCACATTATACATGTAGTAGGTAATGCTCTCTTTTTATTTAATCAGTGATTCATGTGTCATCAGAATAAAATTTCTTATCATATACTGTCTTGGATATTTCTTTGGTAGAAGACTGAGAGGGGCCATTATTTCTTAACTGCTTCTTAAGTACTCTTTTATCTCAATACTTGAGTTGTGCTCTCACCACTCTCAATATATTGTGTTTTTGGGCTGTTTTTCCTCCTGCTTAAATAATCTTTCCACCATGAGGATCCTATAAGCAGCCAGCTGTAAGAGAAAAGATTGCATGACTGCTCTTTATGAATCTTCCTGTTTTGTAGACATTTGTACCTATATACTATCTGTGAATCTGTGTGGGACACCGACACTTGAAAAAATAATAATAGAAAAGAGTCTTGGACCTCTAAGCCTTCTTGGATACAGCTAAAATCTCATGATTGTGAACACTGTATAAAAGCTGCTTCAGTGATATTCTATCAGTGGTTTAATGGATGTTTCTGCACACAAGACTTAAGAAAAGTATTCAAAAATAGAAATTAGAAATAACTGTTTTATTTTTCTTAAGTTGTGGACGACAGATATTCAAGTCTGTTGCATCCTCATTATCTGAATCTGCTACAGAACATCAGAGTCAAAAATCAGGTGGGATTATGAATTACACCTATAATTTATAGTCTTTGTTTTATTCCTCCCCCCAAAAATGAACTTGTAATAAGAGTAAATATTCCAGATCTGTTGAAATAGAGAACTTGACTTCAATCAGATATGAAAATTGTATGCAAATATTTTTATCTATTTTGTCACAACTTTAGCCATACTTAAAAAATACAGCTATATATGTCTGAAGTAAGACAACTATTTTATGTTCTTCAAAGCATTTTTATCTTGCTCTTTAGCCAAAAGAAGTTCCCAGAGCAACTTACAAATGTCATTATTTTCACATTTCTGGAATGACAAAGTAAATGAATATATTTTTCCTTTTGATTTATTCATGGTATTACAGAGTTTTTGTTATGTTGTCCCTCTCTCATTTTCATATATCATATCCTTTCTTTTCTTTTTTATTGCACTTGTTTTCTTGTATCAGAAGCAAGGATGTTTGACGTGTAATGGTGTTTGCTATATATTGTTATGAGATATTGAGATATATATATATATATATATATATGAATGGCAATCCAAGTGCTTGTAGCATGCTTACAATCTAAAAGCATGAAACTAAAGGGAGTGGCATTGGGAAGGACGAAGAGAAAAGCAAACTTAGCTATAGAATATTTGCAATGAAAAGCTGGAATGGAAGTATTCCAAGGAGTGCAGGAGCCTAAAGTTGCTGGTCTTTCCGCAGAGCACATAGAGTGGCTCTCTCACTCTCTCCTATAGGCTAATGGAATAGCTACTATAGCTGGGAGTTCAGGGAGGAACTGATGAAGCTGGCCTGTGGTTGAGACTTAATAAGAGCAATTTTAAAAATTCATTTGATCCCATCTATGAGTTGCTTCCCATAAAAAATTCAAATAAAGCATTATGAATTTTTGTTGTTAAATTTACTTACGTTAAACTCACTGTATTGTTTACATTTCTTAAGGTGAAGATGCAAATAATTCTATTTCAAAAGACTCTGCTCACCTTATAGAGAAAAAGCAGGATGATACTGAAAATCACTGTCATCAAATGGATCAAACTAATGTAAGGTTATCATTGCAGTAATACTGTAGTGATGCAATTCATGTTTTTAATAGAGACATACTATTTTATTGCAACGTGCTGTATTTTATTTGTTTTATAACATTAGTGCTTCACATACAATATTCTGAACTAGAATTAACTTTCAAAATGTCTAGAATTAACTTTCAAAATGTGAAAACTCCGTAAAAACATGGGTTAAAAGCATGATAAATATAGGATTCAGAACATAAAGTAGCTTTTTATTTTCTATATTCCAATACCCAACATGTGGAGATATGACTTCTCCAAGTGATCACCAGGCACAACCAAAATCATGGTTGAGACCTGCTGTCTTTATTATAATTCTTGGTTTGTTTTAAACATATTTTATGCAGCAATAAAACTGCTAATCAGGGTCCAGTATGGTTTCACATTGGATGGGGGACTGCATGTTGAGATTCCTGGACTGTAAGGGGTTGGACTAGATTACCCGTGCGGTCCCTTTCAACTCTACAATTCTATGATTATGTATAGTGTTAATTCTACCAGTGTTTAATTATAATTTAATGATTGATTTTTCTATGTTTTAAGTATTCTTGTTTTCATATGTAAGCTGACTTGAGTCCCATTAGGGGGTGGGGTGGGGGTGGGGTATAAAATCTTCTTCTTCTTCTTCTTCTTCTTCTTCCTCTTCCTCTTCCTCTTCCTCTTCCTCTTCCTCTTCCTCTTCCTCTCCTCCTCCTCCTCATATCATCAATAATTTTTGTTAGATCTCTGCGCTCTTCCAAACTCTACACATATTATATCATTGATGCCCATATAGGCACTTTTCTACAGCAATAGTATATTATCTGCTTATGTTTTGTTGATGGAGCAAATACTTCTTTTTCGGCCCTTCTCCACAGTTCTGCTCCAGCAGAAACCCAGGATGGTGACAGGAAGACAGCTGTGTTCATGAGGTTCCTATTGGGCCTGCTGTGGTACAGCCCCCCCCCCTTTCTAACCTGTGCCCATTAGGGAGGATTGTGTGTAGCAAGTGAAAAGGGAAGACTTAGCTCCACATCCATCTCACCTTCCAGTTTAAGCAGAGGCGAGTGGAAATAGAGATACACTCATACCAGAAGTCAACATGATCAAGAAGTACAATTTCCTTTTAAGTATATGATAGCTATCTTCCCATAAAATAATTAAGGATGTTGTTTTACACAAATATCAGTATCTGCAAAGAAGTACTAGTTCTTGTAACATATTAGTCTTTGCCCTAGCATTGCTAACATAGGCAAAGATCACTGCTGGACAGTTAGTCCTCATTTGGCAGTGGTGTCTGCATCATGGATATGAGCATGAGGGTATAGAAAACGAAACAAGAGAGAAGCCAAATAAAAAAATAAAGTACTAGATCCACAGGTTCTTGAACAGCCAAGAGTAGATGTTAGCTGCCAAATAGTGCTCAAGAGTTACTACAGTTTTGTGCTGTGCTAAAGTCTCCTCAAAGCCCAGTTTGGCAGTCAGAATAGCTGCTTGAATGAATGGGGCAGACTAGCGAATATTTTAGGGATTCTGCTGGGAAAGTAAGACTAACAGAGTTTTATGCATTATGATAATAGAGCAATTCCTGAAATTATTTTAGATACCACAGATTTGGCTCATGTTCATTATTCTGATGTGACGTTAAATGTTTTTTTGAGCCAGAGATCTTGGGCGGTTGCTCCTGCACAGCAAGTAATCATTCTGTGGTTTTTAAAAACCCAGTGCTTCACATTACATAAATTTGTCCCAGAGTATCAGGAGGCAACCACCTTGCTGAATCTAGGCCGGTCTGGATTTGGTCAGTGCCTGGATGGTTGTTCATATGGGCACCACATGTATGCTCCCTTGGATGATGGAAGATAGGATATACATGTTGCTAAATAAATCCTATTTTGTAAACACTGTCTTACCTAGTTTGATCAAGTTTAGCAATGTCCAATCATATGCAAAGTGATTACATTAACTAGCCTCAGAAGATTGTGGACTTATTTAAATATAAAACTAAATGCATATAATAAGTTAGTACTTTTATATGTTATACTTTTCTTATACAGATGGAGACAGCTCCTTCATTAGAACTGATTCTAACAGAAGACCATGATTCATTAATGGAGAAGATGAACAACTGGAATTTCCAGATATTTGATCTTGTTGAAAAAATGGGAGACAAATCTGGAAGAATCCTTAGTCAGGTTGGTTGTTCCTAGATATATGTCATTTGTTACACATGAACACCTTCTAGGCTGTGTGTGTGCTATTATAGAATTATGCTATTTTTCTAAGCTTACATGTGGATAAATGTTAAATGTAGGAAATGTTGTTTTGCATTTAGAGAACTTTGGAATATCCCAAAGTGGGGAGGGAGGATGTGGTGCCACTCTTAGTGTGTGTGCCCCCCATCCCCACCCCAACCTGTCCTTTATTTTGCTCAACCTGTCCTGTATTTTAAAAGGTAGCGACCCTACTTTTAAGTCTTGATTAAAAAGGAACGTAGAGAGCATTCTGGAACTGTGTATAGTAAACATTCAGCTTCCTATACTTGTGAAGATTGTTTGTTTGTCACCTTTTTCAAAAAATTACATCAAAGGAACATACAAAAACAAAGATTTAAAAATAGGTGTAAAACAATAATAAAACCCCCACTAAAAATATGCAGAGAATTAAATTCCATAGGCCTGGGCAAATAAAGATGTTTTTACCTAGCAACTAAAAACAGACACTGAAGGTGTCAGGCATCCCTCTCTGGGGAAAGCATTCCAAAACTGGGGTGCCACCACTGAGAAGGCCCATTCTCATGTTGTGTCCCCGCCCCCCACTTTCCTCAGAGATGGAACCTCGGAGGGCCTTGGGTGAAGAATGCAGGGTGTGGGTTGGTTCACCTGGAGTCAGACAATCTCCAGGTAGTGCCAGAATTGGTGCTATTTGTTCAGACCATCTTACTCCAGTCAGCAAAATTCTGCACCACCAGCAGTTTTCCAAGCTGTCTTCAAAGGCAGCTGCACCTATAATGCATTGTACTACTCTAATCTAGAGGTTACAGAGCATAGATAACAGATGTTAGGCTAGCCCATCCAGATAGGGGCATAGCTAGGCCCCCAGCCCAAGCTGATCAAAAGCACTCTGCATCTCTGAAACTTTTACCAACGATGTAGTGGATGCAGAATGACACAAGGGGATGGCAGAACAAACAGATTAATCTCTGCTGTTCTCCCCTCCTCATATACTTACTAGTCACAGTTCTGGTCAGCAGTGAACATTATTAATGTTCATGTAGATGTTGTGCCATACTGTAGTCAGGAACTTAGAAAATGGAGTGGGAGTTGCCAGAGGAGATTCAACGCAATGTTTAAAATATAAATAGTTGCATGTAAGCCTAATAAATAACACACATTCTTGTGAATTATACACAGAATTCTTTTAGAGAGCAGTAATTAGATGGTTTTTACCAATTAATAACTAAACCTCTTTGGTTAGGAAACCTCAATAATTGGTTAGTAGTAAAATTGCATTAGGTTTTAACTTAAGAAATCCATAGCTTGATCTGCTTGTGTAAGGTGAACCACTGATCTTTTCCCTATACCACATCCCATATTGTAGAGAGGCTCTTCACCCTCAGGAGCAGTTTTTGGAGGACAGAGGGGTTTGCTATGTTGAGGAGTAAGTGAGAAAGCCTGTTCTGCTAGTGCTTCTGCTTTTTGGATGCAGACCTAACAGCTTTATCCACTTCATTGTTTATTTATATGTGCCATCCTAACATTCTTAGTATTCTATATATTTGATCCTAATATTTAATTATTATTTTTAAAAAATCTAGTTTTCTTTTAAAAGACAAAATGTAAAACCTAAAAAAAGGAAGCATAAATAATTGTATATTAACTTTCCTTACAATAAAAATAATTATATTCTGTGTTCAGGTTGCATTCACATTGTTTCAAGACACTGGTTTATTTGAAATATTCAAAATTCCAACTCGGCAATTCATGAACTACTTTCAGGCACTAGAAAATGGTTATCGGGACATTCCCTGTAAGTAATACCTTACAACATTAGGATTATTATTTTTTTCCTTTAAGCCACACTGCGTAGTTTATCATGTTAGTCCTATTTTCAAATATCTGATGCTGCAATGTAATGCTATGATAATGATGGCTGGGTTTCTTTTATTAATATTTTTCATACGTTTTGGAAGAATAACAATAAATAGATTTAAATTGCTAATAATGTGATAACAAAAATGGATAAAATGAACTGTATGCATGTAAATCATTTGCTAGCTTCGTAAATACAAGGATATATTAATCAGTCTTGTAGAAAGTTTAATGCTGAAACTTTTAAATAACTTGGACTGTCTTTTAATTTTTATTCTTTATTCTTTCTCACATACACCATCAGTATTCAAACCCATCTAAATAAACTCCCCACTCCCACAGTGTTAGAAACCAAGATATGACAGCTAGGAGCTAAATGGCACCTTATGGGCGCAACCGCGCTATTTTATAACAAGAATACAAAGCTGAAAATGAATGAACTGCAGCTAAAATATTATGTTCATTTTTCACATGTTCTAGACTTTCCCCTGCCCACCCCCTTAATATTCTTAAGAGGGTCTCTTCTCCAGTCTTCAGAGAGTAGCTGGAAGTGGGGAGGCAGAAAAAATGTCCTTCTATTCTTCCACTCTGCAGTTTTAATCTGAAATCTTAGGCACAGTACTGTGCCCAGAGCTCAAAAACTGCTCACCCCAATTAAATTCTCTGTCACAAATGTGCCTAGAACAATGGGAGTTTCAAACATTGTCCTCCGATTCAAGGAATTTTAGCAATTTTAGTTTTCTTGGTGGTATAATGCCAGGGGATTTCTGACAGAATTATCAACAGCCACCTTAAATATTCACATATCTATTTCTCTTATTGCAGACAAACTTTAATTTTGAAACAACTCCTACCTGCTTCTTTAACTCTTCCTTCACTCTACCATGCCATTATGCTTGTCTGCAACATTGTTGAAATATTCTTGAAAAACTTGTGTGGAAGATACTTTGAGAAATAGCTCAAATAGCTTATTTGTAGCAGCTAATACACCCCATGCTGAGCTTTTTTTGGCACATAATTGTGGGGTTTGAGTACCTTTAGAATGTTGACACATTTGTCACTCACCCGCCCCCCTGTACTGTCATTAGAGGATGGGGGACCTTTCTGGCCAGTAGGCCAGATCCTTATCTCCCCTGGAGGAGGGTGCATGGGGCCATTAATCTGTCAATCATCTGGTGATTTGGAGCCCCAGTTGCCTCAAATGGGGGGTGAGGTGGGGAGGATGTCTGAAAGCCCTATGTAAAAGGAAGAAGTCCTGTGTGCAGGCAATGCTGTCAAAGCGCCAGATTTTTTACCCCACCAGTAAGGAAGTGTATGAACTTTCAGAGAACAGCTGGCTGTGAATTACAAGAAAACTAAAGTCATAGTGTTTTCAGGAAACTATAGGGCCCATAGACGCTATATGGATAATCAGTTGATTAAACAAGTTAAAAGTCTTTAAATACCTTGGCCTTATTTTTCAGTCAACAGGGTCATGGGGAGCACATCAGAAATATGCAAAGGAAAAAGCATTTCAGAGTGCCAAGATTCTGACATGCTTTTTCCATACGAAAGGTGGCAATCACATACCATCAGCACTTAAAATATTTAAAGCTAAACCCCCCTAGCACAGTTATTATATGGGGCTCAAATTTGCATAGGCGATCGCCTTTAATCTACAGAAGCTGTTCAGTCTAAATTTCTAAGTGCTTCACTGCTAGCAGGTTACAGATGGTATGTTTAGTTTATATTATGATAACATTTGGATTTAATTAAAAAAACTTATTTTAGATCACAATCGAATACATGCAACAGATGTTCTTCATGCTGTTTGGTATCTTACAACAAGACCAATTCCTGGATTTCAGCAACTATATAGTGATTCTATAACTGGAGCAGACATTGGTATGTGACTTCGTTTGGTCTTCCACAGAGACACCCCCCCCCCCAATAATATAAAATGAATATATTTGAAGTGGAGGAAATGTCTCCTATTTTTTTCTCGTATTACTTGTAGATTTCATGGTTGAAAGATAGAACTAACAGTCTATGTCATTTACAAGCACTGTGTGTCTGGTTTTAGGATAATTGATTGAATAATTGCTGACATGCTTTGCTTCCTAGCCAAGGAAACTGTTTCACTTAGATCTCTTATCCAGAATGAGACCTATATCTTCCTGCAGTGGTCAGCATGTTTCTAGCAACTAAAATACATTAGGCTAATATTTCTTTATTTAATTAAGAAATGAAACGTCTCAGACTAAAAATACCTAAGGCTAAACTATTTAACTTAATTAGAGCTTTTCCTAATTATTCCAATGTAAAAATGAAATAGTCCTGAACATTCAAGGTCTTACTTTAATTAATATATACTCATCTTAAAATGTTCAGTTAAGTTTAACCCAGTATGACTTAAAGGAAATTGTTTAGCCTTAGTTTTACACAATAGAAATAGTAATAGTAAGGCAATATTTTTTAAAATTATGTGTTCTTTATATAATAAAAGCATCATAATATCTTTGGGCGGGGGACTTGAATCGCATGTGTGTCTTAGAAGGAAGTATTTATTTCTGATGCATCGCAATTACACGGGATCATTCAGATACAAGAAATACAGCTTTTTTAAATTTAATTTTTAAAATTTAAACTCAACACAGTGAAATCTGTTCATTGATGGGTTTAACATAAATATTTATGAAGATGCTATCGCTGAATATTCTTAAAATGTAAGTTCATGTCTGTTATTTCCCCAGATACAGAAGATGATATTTCAGCTGACCGAGTTGCCTTTATTTCCTCCAGGAGTTGTGCTATGGTTGATGAAAATTATGGATGCTTAGCCTCAAATATTCCAGCCTTAGAATTAATGGCTCTTTATATTGCAGCAGCTATGCATGATTATGATCATCCTGGCCGTACAAATGCTTTTCTGGTAGCTACAAATGCTCCTCAGGTAGGATGTTTGGTCTTCTGGAAAGTTTCTGGTATTCAATTCGATTCCTGAAATTTAGCAGACACATGCATTAATATTTGCTGACTTTTAAATGTGTTTGATAGATGGGTACTGTGCTAAAGGAAATCATGCAAAATCATATATTCCCAAACACATCAGAACAAACAAGATTAATAGTAATACACATATACCTCATCAGTGTTCCAATTATATAGTCTTACTGCACTTTTATAACAGGATTTTAAAACATAGCTGAATGTAATAGCAAAAAAGATAAACATTGTAATAGGAAATTCCATTCTGAATAGCCAAGCAGGCTTCATAAATGAAAATTGCATTCAAACATAAGAAAAGTTATAAATGCAATACATAACATAAATAAAACTGATAAACCTTACAATATAGTTTTGCTCAAGAAAGCTTTTGATTGCCTGGAATGGGATTTTCCCCAGTTGGCACCAGGACACTACGAAGTGCGTAATATTGTTCCTCCTGTTGCTTGAGGCAGGAAACCTCATCATATCAGCTTTTGAAAATACCCGGCTAGGATTTGATTTTGTAATACTGGATTAAATATACCGGTAACTGATTTATAGGGCCATCCTTTGGTTAATTGCTTTGACTGTTTTGAAGGGGGAAGGAATGGGTTTCTGTGCAGTCAGTTTGAAACTGACCCAAAATCCCCATTTTTCCTTCTCCAAGGGAGCATTTCTAAAATGCTCTAATAAGGCTACAGTTTAAATATTTTGAAAACATTTGGAGGAAATATCACAACCACAGTTCTTCCCAATATTTTCAGGTACAACAAACTGCCAGCAGATTAATTGTAAAACATGGACCTGCTTATACATTAATTTTGCTCTGAATTATCTCTGGAGTCAGAAATTTTATTTGGTCTATACATTTTTGTGAAATGTCAATCTTTAAAGGATGTGTATTAATTTTGCAGGCTGTGCTGTACAACGACAGATCAGTTCTAGAAAATCATCATGCTGCCTCTGCATGGAGCCTCTTCTTATCTCTGCCAGAATATAACTTTTTGCCTAATCTTGATCATGTACAATTCAAGCGATTGCGATTTTTAGTGATTGAAGCAATTCTTGCTACAGATCTTAAGAAACATTTCGATTTTCTTGCTGAATTTAATGCCAAGGTTTGTAGCCCAAGTTTATGCCTGCATGCAGGCTATATACCATAATGATTAAAACTTAGCTTTACATATTTAGTTACCGTATTTTTTTCGTGTATAGGGTTCCCCCCCCCAAAAAAAATAGGTTTAAAATTGGGGCTCTTCTTATACACGGGTAGTGCTGGGGGGATGTTTTCTTAATTTGGAGTCCCCCAAAATAGGGACCATCTTATACATGGAAAAATGTGGTAAGTTTTTTTAACCACTGAGTCAAAAAAATCTTTTAAAGTGATGTACAGAATTATAATAATTATCCACAATATGCAGATAAGCTTAACAGAATTTACATTTGCATGCATTTGCTGAAATAATTTTTTTTAGCAAGCATGCAGTACTATAACAATAGTATTCGTAGGCCAGAAATTTCAAAGCATGGATGCCATACTGAAATATTAATTCCTCATAGATGTGGAACAAACATTATATGGCACTGAACTGCAGATCAAGCAAGCAGTCAGGTAGGTACATGAGGGAAGATTATTCTCCCAGGCCAGTGTGTCTACAACAGCAGCCTAAAGCTGCTATTTTCCATACACTTACTAGAGAGGGAGACCCATTGAACTGGGAGTCATGAATAGTATTGATTGTTTTGCACAATGTATAAAATAAATAATGCTCTTCCTTATATGATGAATGGCAAGTCCACTGAATCTAAGTCTGAAAGAAATAGACTGTGGACATTAGTAAACCAAAATACTAAAAACTGTTTTTTCTTCCAAACAGGCTAATGATGTAAACAGTCATGGTATAGAATGGAGTAATGAGAGTGACCGTTTATTAGTGTGTCAGATATGCATCAAGCTTGCAGATATCAATGGTCCAGCAAAAGTTAGAGATCTGCACTTGAAATGGACAGAGGGCATTGTCAATGAATTTTATGAGCAGGTAGGCCTGGGAAATCAGAATTTTTGAAAGATTTGTACAGTTTAAAGAATTCTATTCATATGTTTTAGTTATAAACTCCCATTGTTTTAGGCACATTTTGCAACGGAATTTCATTAGGGAGAGCAGTTTTGAGCTCTGGGCTCACCGGGGTTTTAAAATGCTGGGGTGGGTGGGAAGAAAGCCCTTGTCCCCCCCAGCCTTCAGAAGAGGTCGGGGGACAGACTGTCCCCGGACCTGGTCTGAAGTCGGTTTCCCTAGGAACGCATTAATTGATTTTCAATGCATTCCTATGGGAAACCGTGCATCGCAAGACGAAAAACTCGCAAGAAGAAAAAACTTGCGGAACGAATTAATTTCGTCTTGCGAGGCACCACTGTACTGCACCTAAGATTTCAGATTAAAACTGCAGAATGGAAGGAACAGAGGACCTTTTTCTGCCTCCGCACTTCCAGCTACTCTTTGAAAACTGGAGACTCTCTTAAGATTATTAGGGGGGTGGGCAGGGGAAGGACTAAACCATGTGGAAAATGAACATAATATTTTAGCTGCTGTTCATTCATTTTCAGCTTTATATTGTTATAAAACAGCATGCCTAGACTTTCCATTGTTGCGCCCATAACCAAGGTTTAAGGTGCCATTTAGCTCCTAGCTTTCATATCTTAGCTTCTAACACTGGCTATTGGCATAACTATAGCTTAGTAGGAAAAGTGCAACTGTATCCAGTTGTATCATGATGCAAAAGTCTGTTTTCATGACCAATGATTACTGGCTATCAGCATATGGCAGCTGTAGATTTAGACTGTAGCTGTAGACTTATTTAAATATTGTATTTACATGCTGGGTGTGGCACAAATCAGCTTTATATATTCCATGACTGCTGCTTAGAAAGTGTGATTACAGTGTAGTTTCATAAGGAAATATCTGCTGATAATATGTTCTTTGTGATGCTCTATAAGACTAGAACAAATGTAACACAACTCCTTATTGAAATATTGGCTGTTTGTTTTTGTTTTATGTGCTCCAGTTACCAAACTTTGCACTGATACCCAATCTTTTCTAAGTGTTTGTATTTATGAATTTACAGGGAGATGAAGAGGCAAGTCTGGGATTACCCATTAGCCCTTTTATGGATAGACGTTCTCCTCAACTTGCAAAACTTCAAGAATCTTTTATTACTCATATTGTTGGTCCTCTCTGTAACTCTTACGATGCAGCTGGCTTGCTTCCAGGCCAGTGGATTGATCAAAAAGATGATGATATGGAAAGCTCTGAAGATTATGATGAAGAAGAGTTGGACAGTGAAGACGATGAGATGGAAGATTTAAGCACAAGTAAGTCTAAATACTTAAACTACATACAGAATTTTAAATGGATTTGGATCTAGTTAACTTTTTACATTTGTTGAAAGCTGCCCAGAGTAGCAGATGGGAGGCATATAAATCCAGATCCAGATATCATAGTAAAATATCACCATTACAAGTATCTATAAAGGGTAACATTCAAAGCTGCTTGAGTGAACTTTCCCCATCTTCTCTTCCTCCCTGAACACCAGCAATCTGTTTGATAGAGTCCCCTGACCCTCTGGAACATATCTTGGGGGTGCATGTGAGGCTGCAGGTGAGAGGGAAAGCCCCATTTCACCAGCAGAATTCCCTTGGATCTGTGCTGCTCATTCAAACATTGCACCAAATTCCTTCATATTTCCATTTCCAGTTAAAAGGTTCCATTACTCCCCAGGTCCTTTCTTCCTGCCATCTCACAAAGCTCGTCTTTCATCATCATTCTGAGCACACAGACCATTCTCCTTTAACCTTTAAGCGCATCCTGCTCCCTGTTTAATCAGCTTGAATGCCTGACAAAGGTGTATTCATAGCCATTCAGGTTGGTTCAGTATCACCACTTTCCTAAGCATAAGGTAAGTGTTTCATACTTGTTTAGCCCTCTTTTGAAAAATGGCATTTCCCTCTTTTGCAGAACTACAGAGAAGAAAAAGCAGGCAGCGAATATTTTGTCAGCTGATACACCATTTGAATGAAAATCATAAAGTATGGAAGAAAGTAGTTGAAGAAGAAGAACTAAATAAATCAGAAGAGAGTAAACAGTCAGAGAATACATCCTTATGTCAAGCAGATGAAATTCAGGTTATTGAAGAAGCAGATGAAGAAGAGGAACGACATCAAGGAGCAGAAAAAACATTTTAAGAAGCCTTCAGAATGATGTACAGTACTGCTCCAGAAATAATGTATTATTTCACATAATGCTGACTTTAGACTGACACGGTGAACATAACTGTAAGAGAGATTTGAATACTGTGAAAGGACATATTTTCTCTTAACAGTATCCCACTCCTATGCACTTTTACCACATGGAATTTGAAAACTTTATTCAAAGGTTGAATATTGCATTCCATGATGCAAAGATCTTATGCCCAAGGTGGTGTTCAAATACCTTGTTTTGCTGTCTTGCTGAAAACAGCTTCTTAATATTAAAGTAGTATATACCATTTTTGAGAAAAAAATTTTAGCTGCCTTATTTTACAAAGTCACCAGAAGTATTTTGTTTATAGGACCTACCGGTAATTGGGCTGAATACCAATACATGTTTTGGAATTTGTATTTTATTTTTAATGTGGATTCAAAAATCACTGTTTCTTATTTGTCAGTATGAATATTACAGTTTACACCTGTTTGATTTGCAATTGTTTTATTAATGAAGTTTTCTTGGATTGATTTAACCATTAGATGACTGCAAGCAGAATAGATAAATTCTGGATTTTGTGGTTAAAATTTTATCCCATGTGCATCAATTTGATGCTTTTTACTGTGGTGCACAACCTGCCATTTTATTTTTTGGGGGGAAATGTTCAGGTTTGCAGTGAATATCCAGGCTAGTTTGCTAAATATACACCTGTTGCCTTGTTTTCATTGTTCTGTAATAGAACACAAAAGCTATCTCACTTTTGATAATGAAGGGACTGTATTATTTTAGTCAATAATATTATAAATATGTTCCACTCTTACTCAGGATTCATGTTTAGAAACATGACACAACAGATTTTATATTTACAATATTGTGCTAATGCTAGGTGTTCGTTTAAAAAAGAGAGAGTCTACTTTTTCTTTGTATGTAAACCTTTGAAGAATTAAAAGATGGTTTTCTATAAACAATTGTTGTTCTTCACTTTGCAAAATAAGAAGCACACGGTAAATATTCCTGCTTGCGGTAACCACATATTAGATTTAAAAAATAATGAAAATACAATAGTAATTGAAGTCCAGTCACATGCCCAGGTTATCTGTTGTCTGCTCATTTTAGTTTCACTTTACATACAGCCCATATTGCATTGGGCAGTAAGTCCCTGAACTGTGTGCCTGATTAAAGCCCACTTAGCTCTCTTTTTGGAAGAAACATTAACACTCTTCTGAAATGATGGGGAGGGACAGTAGCTCAGCCATAAAGCACATTCTTTTGTATACAAATGGTTCTAGCTTTGGCACTTTCACATAAAAAGGAGCAGGCGAAGCGGAGAGAAGTCTACCTGAGAACCAGGAGAGCTTCTGTCAGCCAGAGTACACAATACGAGATTTGATGTTCCTTTGCCTGCTGTGTGTCTAGAAACAAACCATATGATATCTATCTCAAAATACTTGGTTTTGCTTACAAGCAAATCTATGCAGAGTCAATTACTCAATTAAAACTCATATGTTTAGGTCGCAATCCTTGCTGCCTGGATTGGAACAACCACCAGTGGGTGGGTGGGCAGATTACAGGTCACTAAAAGCCTGGAGTTGGTACAGTGCTCAAGCCCAGATTGGGCCTGGGTTCTGGGGCAGCTCAGCCTCTTCCCGCCATCAGGGAAAAAAACCATTTTGTGGCTTTTTGCTGGTGGCAAGCCTGCCACTACCACATCTACCCCACCTGTTCAGCAGTTGGAAGTGGAATCCACATATCGGAGTGATGACAGCACTATGCGGGCAATGGCCAGAAGGGCTGCTCTGTCCAATCCAGCCCCACCCCCTGCAGCCCAGGGCAAGAGGGCAGGGCTTGCATTACTCTGCCAATCAACTAACTTCACTGTTGGCTGGGCAATAGGCCTATTTGAAATCTTAAATTTCATATCCAAACAAGATTCTGTGAACCACCCTGAGATCTAATGATGAAGGGCAGTATATAAATCTAATAAATAACAACAATTATGTTTACTAAAATTCTGCATCTATTAAAAGTCACTAGCAAAACGCTCTAACGTTAGTGGCCCTGCAGATCCTGCCTTAATTCTGTTAATCAGTTTCAAAATCAGGGCAAGACCCATTGCATTCCGCCCCGCCCCCCAAAGTGTGAATATGTTTCTCTGCCTTCTCTGAGGGCAAGACCAACCTTGTAATAATAATACCTTAACACCAACATAAACTTTCAGGTCTTTAATATTGGAAGACAAAAATTGTCAGAACACTTAAGTGTAAGTGATAACTGAATTGCACTCTAGATAGATTTTGCTCAGCCTTTCCAAACTATTGAAATATATTGCCAGCTCACCCTCTAATAACAATTAATATAGCTCAACCTGCATTTATAATCATTTCTGTTTTTCAGAGCTGAGCTCAGTCGGAATGAAAGTCAGCTTTAATGAATTCCTAGAGCACTGTGCTGGAAAAGGGCAGGTTTTAAAACAGTGCAAACTCCTCCAATAAAACAGAGATTAATGATCAAAAACTTTTTCTGTAATCCTATATAAAGTGTATGATATAAATAAAAAGGACATTTGGACTTGCTATCTAGGAGTATGGCAAGAGGGCTGTATCTATCATTAGGATTTTTATCCTTTTCTTAAAAAGCAAAAAATGAAAGAATCAGGAGGGTTAAAAAATATCAAGGGTGTGTGCTTGGAAAAAGAAATTGGAGGCTTTCATTAGTGTGTGAAAAAGCCAGCCTGCATCCCACCTCTGGAGCTACAGAGGTGGGCAGACATGCCCTGGCACTTGTGTGACAATCCCTGCCACCACCCCAGCTCCAAAGGTGGATGGAAGATTGGGGATTGATAGCTGCATGGGCAAAGCCCTGGATGAGCCTTGTGCATTCAGAGCCAAACTGGGAGCAGCCTTTCCTTGAAAATGCTCAGGGTGGTCTCAAGCATCCAGAAAACACAGGGTCCCTTTCAAGCAGCTGCACCCAACCTGGCACGCTTCCCACTGGCCCTTTCTTCTGTTAACATAGTGGGATATGCTTCTGAGACTGAATAGGTTTGTGCCGCACAAATAAAAAAGCTTTTGATAAATTAGAATGTTAGATGTTACAGCTGTGAACTGGATCTGTCTGAGTCTTGGACATCAAACCACATTTGGTTCAATCTGGGAGTCAGTCAGATCAGGTTGCGGCAGCCCCAGGGTGGGTCCACCCAGAGTGATCTGGGACTGTCGCAAGGGCAGTGTTGGTCTGGCAATGAGGAAAGAGGAAGAGACCAGCATCTCCTGCCACTGACCATTTCTAATTAGGGTTTAAACCCCTGATTAAACAGCTGGCGGGGAGGAGAAGGACTCATGATTGTGCAGGCCTCAAATAGGTTTGAAGTGTGAATCTGGGTCAGGTTGGCTCTGGATCACCTTGGATCAGATCAGAGCAACTCTGAGCACTGGATCAGGTGCCACTCAGGAAGATGGACAATTATTAAACACCATTAGACATGTTTAATAACATATTTATCAAAAACAGAAACGTTATAAACTACCAGGTTCAGATGGTGACCTCACAGTATTTAGCAAGACACTTTCAGATTTTAGTCACTTTTCATCCCACAGATACCTTTCTTTAATAAATGCTGATGGCCTTTTTAACTTTACGATTCACTGAATGATGCTAACATTACTTTGATATATAAGACTACTTTGTGCTGACTGATCTCTCTTCTGAAGCAGGTTTCTAATATCATTGCTGCCTCACTTGCTAAAAGATTAATTAGAATAATAACCAAATATGTACACCATACTCAAGCAGATTTTATATCTGGACATTTGTTATAAGGAGGGCTTTTAATATAATCAATACATGTAGTCAAAATGCGGGTGACACCTCTGGATGTTCCTTAGTGCTGAAAAGCTTCTGAACATTGCAGATGGAAAATTTTATTTTATTTATTATTTTATTACTTTATTTCATACCATGGTTCCTCCTGAGCCCTAGGAGTGTGTTGGCAGTGAGAAGAGGGTGACATATGTAGCACAACAGACCTGCACTGCTCCCAGTGGGTCTTACTCTCCTGTAGTTGCTGCTGAGGCACATTAACACAATAACTTATTAAAAGCGGCCCAGCTCTCCTCCGTTCAACCTGCACCTTTGTGGTTTAGTAGCAGCAGCCCACACTTTCTCAGACCTCAGAAGAGTACGCTGGTTACTCACAGCTCCAATCCTAAACTCCCAGTAGCCCAAATGCCAACCATTTTGGCACATGGGGATTCTAAAACCCTGAGGCTGGCAAACAGCCAAATTATTCAGAATAAAGGTAGGAGAGAAGCTGGCAAAGGTCCAAACAGAATACAAAAATAAAACCGAACCCTGTAGCTCTAAAACTGAACTTACCGTAGCCTATTCTCTACACTCCTTCTTCACATTTCCTCACAAAGAATCGGCAAGGCTGGGCAACTTCACAGAAGATCCCATCTTGGAACACGGGCTGGAAAAGGAACTGGATCCCCTGCTCTTGGAAGGGGAACAAGTTGCAAGAAGCTTGCTGTTTTTGGCACCTGTCAGCTCAGCTTTTTAAAGGCTCTTTCCCTGCTTATTATGAGAGGTGGGGAGTGTGGCGTTTGCCCTCCTAGGTGGGTCATAAGGAAAGGGTTAAATGAGTGTGAAGTGATTGGCCAGTGGGAACCCAAGGGGAGGAGTTAGAGTTGGAGTTGTTGGGAAGTCAGCTGGGAGTTGGAGAAGGAAGAGGGAGGATAAGTCTGTGGGTTGGTCTAGATTTGATGTGAGAGAAACTGTTAGGAGGAGTCAGATAGACAGTTGGGAGAATCAGTTAGAAGTTATTAGGAAGGTATAGGCCGGTAAAGAAACTAAGATTAAGAAACTGACAAGAAAAATTATATGAAACCATAACCTTGTTAATGCTTATAAAATAAACTTGCTTATTTGATTTAATGTTAACAACCGTCTGGACTCTGTGTGTACCCGAGAGAAACGGGTTGGTGGCAGCGGGGAAGCAATCACAGTGGTGGCACAGGGGTCAATAGACCATCAAACATCTGGGGACCCTGTGTGATCGCCACAGGGAGCCTTGGTTCTTTTTCATCACATTCCTCAGGTAGGCCCTTTAAGTGACCTCTTTGCAGAAGCAGCTTGGCAGGTGGCAGGTGCCAGGTTGACCTGGGGAAATGGCGGGCTGCCAGAGGGCACCAGAAGATGGGAATGAGGACTCTGAAGGGGAGGAGGAGGCTAGGCATAAGAGGCTGCTTGAGGAAGTCCCCTTCCTTTCCCCCAGATGTGCCCAGACTCGATGAGGCAGGAAACCCTTCTCAGACAGTGGAGGATGAGGAAGAATTAGAGGCCAAGCCCTCTTGTGAAGACCTCTGAGGAGAAGGTGCATCCATCAATCTCTTCCATGGAGACGCAAGGTATCAAGAGAAGGGAGATTTGTTTCCTTTGAAGAAGGACCTGCCTCAGGCTATGAATGATCACAGGGCTAGTGATAGAGAATCTCCTACACTACTTCCATGCCTCTGAATACCCATTGTTTAAAGAACAACAGTACCGTTGTCTTCAAGTCCTGCTTGCAGGTTTCCCATAGGCCCATTGCCAGAAACAGAATACTGCACTAGACAGGCCTTCAGTCTGATCCAGCAGGGGTCTCCTTATGTTCTTCAGATTTCGTTTTATTTTGAAAGTCATTTTCTTTTAAATCTGTATTGAAGTTATTTGTTTGCTTATTAAAAACAACAACAACCATGAATGAGTTAACGATTAGAAGCCCCCCAAAACACATAGAACCTGTCCCAATTCTGGTCGTATCTTGTGAAAAGATCATTTCTAAAATATGCCACTGTGTATGCAAGGTTTAGGAGTACCATTGAAGCAGGCATTGGGTTTTGTTATTGCAGAGTAAGTACCACAGTGCACAAGGGCATCAATTGAATCTCACGTGATTACATATTTAGATAATTTGCTTTTGAAAATGACATTGAAATTTATATTGTTTTGAACTTCAAGTTTTGGAATTTCATTGTCTTTTCCAAAAATTTATTTCTGCTGTAGCTACGGATATGTTAGCAAGATGTTCACAAAACGGTGGTATGTAGATAGAAGAGCGCTTGCAGAATGAGCAGTGTTTTTGAAGCTCACCATCGAAAATGTGTGCTCCTAACTTCCTCAGCGCAATGATGCCACTCAATTGTGCTTTGAGACAGTAGTAATGTTGGCTGCTGCTCACTGCTGTACACCCACATTCATTTCTAAGTGTTCGCTTCCAGACCTGTTTAAATATGGTAGCATCGTTGAAGGATGTGCTGGTTGCTACATGTGCAACCATTTCTGATGATCTGCTAGCAAAATAAGGTGTTTGTTCCTGGACTTTCCCCCCCTACCATCTAGAAAAATTACAGGGCATAAAAAATGAAAAATGAAAATGAGAGTCATTTCCCCTATTACTGTGCTTTGTTAATAGAGCACATAAGAAATAATATTTCAAATTCAGGTATTTCTCAGGCAAGGTTTTACTCTGCCTAATCTTTCTCAAGGAAAAAAAACCACCATGAGGGAAGAATCTTTAACTTATGCAGGAATAAATACAAGAACCATTGAGCCGAATAAGCTTTAAAAAACAAAAACAAAAAACCACCAGTTCCACAGCCCAGTATATAATGTTTTAGACAGTCCCCCTACCACTCACCTTGTGATTTCCCTGTGTTCTAGGGATTCAGCCAAGAGACAGAATGACTCAGACATTTGACTCATCCCCGCTGATCAGCGCTATCCTCAGAATCACTTGCTGTGCTAGATGAGATCAGGAAGAACATTTACTTTGCTTCATTATCATAAAAAACAAGGTGGATCCCAAGGTATGTCTTGCAGTTGATGAATCTGCGTGCATTGTACCAAAATCTCAAACTAGAATCACCAGGCTGATTTGCCTTTTATTTTGTGGGCTGGAGAAGCATGTGCTTCAGTTTGAAGGAAACAGAACTTCGTCCATTGAGCGATCAACCCAGTTTCCCCAGATTGCTCCAAACTTAAAAGAAAAGTGATGATGTGCACATAGATGGCTATTTAAGGGATAATCAAGTAACTGGAAACACACAATACTCGCTCTTTTAATTTACATGGATAGCACTCGAATATGCACCCCCCTAAAACTTCCCATTCTCACCAGTGATCTTTTTTCACACACCCTGTTCCAAATACCTACTCAATTGTTTTGAAGTATTATTTCATTTCTTATCTCTTACATCATTTTTGTTTTTTATTTTGATTTGCAATTTTGTATTTTTAGATTGTAAACTGCCCTGCGATCTTCAGATGAAGGGCGGTATAGAAATAAAATAAAATAATAATAATAATAATAATAATAATAATAATAATAATAATATGGCTATTGAAGATATAAAAAGCCACTTAGCATAGCCATCTAAATAAGAAAACCCAGGTAAAGAAGAAAAATAAAGATGAACAGCAAAAGCTAAAATACAAAAACAATAAAAAGAGCATCCAAATCATTCAGCATTCTATATTTAAAATACAAACTTTGTTTTCATCAGTCTAGCAGGAAAGGATCTCAGTGAGCTTTTCTGGACAGGAAATACCACAACAAGAGTGCTGCCATTGAAAAGGCCCTGCTTCTCTGGCCATTCTTCAGTGGCTCAAGGTACCAAGAGCACCGCCTGGTATTACTCCTAAGAACACTTGAAGTTCCAATGTAGAAATCCAGGGGGGAAAGCCTTGGATTTAATCAGAAGCTGTGTTATAAAGGATGCTATAAAGGGCCTTTTCACCCTGTGGAACACCCTCCCATCAGATGTCAAGGAAATAAACAACTATCCGACTTTTAGGAAACATATGAAGGCAGCCCTGTTTAGGGACGTTTTTCATGTTTGATATCACAGTGTTTTAATTTGTTGGAAGCCAGTCAGATGGGCGACATATAAATTTATTAATACTATTATTATTATAGATTACTTCTTGTCAGGTAGGATCTGCTTATTTCATACGCTAAGATCCTGTAGTAATGTCATAATGCTAGTTTCGGAGTAGAGCATTTTTAACATCAACAGAGCCTGGTTTCTCAAAACCCTTTACTTGATGTCAGGAGGAAAATTTGGCTGTGAAAGAGAAAAATGGCATCCATGTTCAGACTTCAGTTCTTTTAGTGAACATAACATCTTGGGGGATAGCTCAGTTGGAAGAGCATGAGACTCTTAATCTCAGGGTTGAGTTTTTGAGCCCCACATTGGGTTAAAGATTCCTGCGTTGCAGAGGGTTGAACTAGATGACCCTCATGGTCCCTTCCAACTCTACAATTCTATGGTTCTATATGTATCATGGGTAATCAAAGCCAACCAAGAGAAGCTGGACTAGTTACTGGAGTTGGGGCTTAAATAAAAACCCTTTGTTTTTGCTTGGGAAAAATATTGATGCCGATGGTTTTCCCAATTTTCATCGCCGTTTGTTATATGGATCGCCACTCTTGTCACTTTTTGTAGCCACTTTACAGTTCTACAGATTCTGGCAATGCCATCCCGTTTGTTTGTAAATCTTCTTTACTCTAGTTTGAATAGGTTGCTGATCTGAAATATTGATAGTATGAAATAAAAATTACCTTGCTCTCTTATGACTCATTGTTAGGTACAGGGTAGGTAAATGACTAGCGTGACTCACACCAAAGTACTGCAGAGGCATAATCCGTCTTGCTGAAGTGAATAAAGCTTGCACAGCTTTGAGCATAAGCAATTCAGTGCAAAATCTCATTATGCATCCCTGTTGGTGGCACAACTGCTATGTTCTTTGTAACTCTTCTCGGGGTGGAGAGAGGACACAGAATCATACTGTTAGAAGGGGCCTCAAAGGTCATCTGGTCCTACCAGCTGCCAATGCAGAAAATATGACCTTGAGAGGTGGCCATCCAGCCAGGTCCTCAGGCTGACAATACCAATGAACAAAACAAGGCACCAAAAACACAGGGAGACACAATTTTATTTTTAATTTCACAAAAATAATGTCGGCTTTTCTAGCTGAGTGTGTCACATTTTGGTCTGAAGTTGTAAGTTGTAAAGCTTATCAAATGCCAAAAAATTAGCAAGTGTCTAAATTTGAGCCCTCCTTCGAGCTTGAGGTCCTGAACCAAATGACTGTCCTGACACAAACACACCACCCAATTGGCCCTGCTTAAAAACCTCTAATGGAGGAGACCCCACCACTGTGTGAAGCAGTCTATTTGACTTTAGAATAGCTTGGCCCATCAGGCAATCATAATGTAAGAAGACCTTTCTTTTTTAATGTCAATATTATTGTAGGTGCATTTTTAACCACAATTATTATTGTACGTGGCATGGCAAGTGGGACGGATGGGGAGGGTGACATCTCTTGGATGCAATGAACAGTTAATTGTGTTACATACACATGGTCAATTCTTCAGTCCTACTTTTAAGGAGTCAACATTTCTTTCTGGTAGAAAGCCAGCAGTCAGCTATTATATATTGTCCTTACTGAGTCATGTGGGGATAAATATTTAACTTTATTTATAGCAACATGTGAAATTGTGAACATGGTGACTTGCTTTCCATTAGCTTTCATAAATGATCGTGTCGAGTGTGTGAAGGGGGGCAGTTATATCTAAGAGGCTCTTTGCGTTGATCATGAGAATAGTTATCTGAACATTAATGTTTGTTCTATTAATGTGATCCATTATTTTAATGGGTCCAACTTGCTCAGGGAAAAGTGCTGGCACAGTAAAGCTATTTGCATGGAAGCTAGCCAAAATGTTTCTTCTTGTCACAAGGCCTGCCTTCTAAAAGCTGAGTCTGTGCTACAGAAATCCAGAAGCCACTGCTTCTGAAATTCTGCTTACAAAACCAAGGGAAAGGATAGCATAATGCCCCCCTGCCACCAGATTCTTCATAGGAATTAATGGACTCATCGGTTGTTTCCTCTCACAGTGCTTAGGTAGCTGAGCAGCTCAACCTGTTCTAGCCCCCAGTCCATTTCACCTTTTTGTAGAGGGCTCTTGTTTATCCAGGACAGGAGCCTGGTTTTTTCAAATCCCGACTGTCACAATGAACATAATAAAAAGCTTTCATTTTGTGTTTTGGAAGAAATAGTGAAGTAAAGAACATTCCAAGTTCTCATGCCCTCTCTCTGCTATGGCTGCCTTCCAAGAAGCTGTTAAGTTGGACATATGGCATCTTTCAGATATGTTTAATAGTTATTGTTCTGAATGAACTAGACCTGGAGGCTTTTGCGGAAGCAAGGACATTTTGCAGATTAATAGAGATGTATACATAAAAATGTCTGCAGCTTCTGTTCTTTCTCTTCTCAGTGAGGGGGTGTAGGGTGGGGTGGGGTTACGTATGAACATGTACTCTGTTTAACAGTGGAATCTCTCTCCGTTTCCCTCTCCTTGGAGGCTCTGCAGGCTGAAAGTGACTTTCTTTTAAAAAATAAAAAATAAATCCTCTGTCTGTGCTACCCAGCTGCTTAAAATAACAAATATAATAAGCAAAGCAAAAAGTTACCATACTGACTAATGGCCAGGCCAATCTACAAATAAATATTTATTTAGAATATACGGTACTTTAAAAAACCTTTTAAAAAGACACTTAAGGAGGTCTAAGCTGTGTACAATAAGATTGTAACTCACAGCTAAAATCCACAGTATAATTTTTAAAAAATGCCACAAAACCATTGAGAGATAAAATACGTAAAAAAACACACCCATATAAAAACATAGGTAATTGAATAATAATTGAATTGCTGTGTTGTTTTGCCAAAACAAAGCTTTCAGCGGGCCTCTAAAAACACAAGTGCTGCCACACTAACTGAACAGCTCCCCACAACTGAGGAAAGGACCTCAGGTAGCATTTGAAGAAGTGCAAATAAGCATGTATGTGGCAAGACACCCTTAAGTAAATTGAACCTGCAAAGTATTTACAAGTTTTTTAAAAAGAAGAGGAAAGAATCCTATTATAAGTGTGGACAACTTGATACAGTAGTTCAAACGGCATCGTTTTAGGGTGTACCAACAGCATCTGTAATCACATATAATATCTTAATAAACTGTACAACTACGAAAGTAGGTCAGCATTATTTTCTTCACGGCTGTAGGAACAAGCTTCCTGTTAGTTTACTCTCTCAGCCATGACTACACCACACCCGCTCTCAATTAAAGCACTTATATAATACAACACTTCATTTCTATTGCCTTAGTAATCTTTTCAACAGCCATGTGAAAGGCAGAGCTAGCATTATTTGCCCTATATCGGAGGGTGAAATACAAATAAAAGTGTAGCAGATAGGGTAGTGGTTCATTTAGGGCTAAACTAGTTACCTGCATGTTGACTAAATGGATGTTCACCTGTTAAGATGGGTTACACCTAAAAGGGCATGTGGGAAATGCAGTGAATCTCCACTTCCTCATCTCGCATTCTGTTGCTTTGGTGTGCGTTTTTCCCTTCTGTCCTGTGTCTCCTACTAAAAGGCTGCCTTCAGAGGTCTTCTCCCCTGCATGCCTTTAGTGCAGTGGTGTCCAAACTTTTTTCAAAGAGGGCCAGATTTGATGAAGTGAAGGGCCATGGGGGCCGACCAAAGAGCCAGCCAAAGTTGTTGACCTTTTTAGGATTGAAGTTCTTGCGCTTTTTAAAGGATTTTACCCCAAAGAAACTGAGGGTTTCTTAGGATTTTACCCTAGGAAATAAACTGCCACAGGGGCCAGATTAAACCCACCGGGGGGCTGGATTAGGCCCCCGAAACAGACTTTGGACATGTCTGCCTTAGTATAATTAAACTCCACCCTTCATTGCCAAACCAGTGTGTTTTAAATAAAAAGTGATGCAACTGTTTCAGCACTAAAGGAATTGCTGAAAGGATACCTGAACCAGAAATTATCCAGCTTATAGCTAGAGATTTACAATCTGTAATGCATCAGTGCTCTAGGCGCCACTAGGTTGCGTAGGCAAAGTCACCTTAAGGCTTTTGCCAGAGCTTCAGAATGGAGTGCCTCACACAGGTTGCATTTTCATAGGGTTTTGTGTACACGCATCTTCCCCACCATCCTCCTTTGAGCCAACGAGAATCCCAGACTCATGGAATATTCTGTGCTATGGACGACTGTTGTGCAGCCTTATGTACAAGTTGGAGGGCAAGTACTAATGAAATGGTGGAGTGAAAAAGTGGCTTGAAAGCCTTTTTTTTAAAAAAAAAAATGGGTGAGCTTGACGTACAGAAAAGTTTTTGCTAGGCTATAACTTCTAAAGGTAAAGGTAAAGGGACCCCTGACCATTAGGTCCAGTCGTGACCGACTCTGGGGTTGCGGCACTCGTCTCGCTCTATAGACCGAGGGAGCCGGTGTACAGCTTCCAGGTCACGTGGCCAGCATGACTAAGCCGCTTCTGGCGAACCAGAGCAGCGCACAGAAACACCATTTACCTTCCCGCTGGAGCGGTACCGATTTATCTACTTGCACTTTGATGTGCTTTCAAACTGCTAGGTTGGCAGGAGCAGGGACCAAGCAATGGGAGCTCACCCCGTTGCGGGGATTCGAACCGTCAACCTTCTGATCGGCAAGTCCTAGGCTCTGTGGTTTAACCCACAGCACCACCCGCATCCCATGCTGTAACTGCTACACAGAGGGAAAATTATAGTTTTTCTCCCTCTCTCGTAACACTAGAACTTGTGGACACCCAATGAAGATAACTGTTGGAAGATTTAAGACAGAATAGTCAAACTATGGAACTTGCTCCTTCCAGAGGCAGTGATGACCATCAACTTGGATGGCGTCAAAAGAGGATTGACGAATTCATGGAGGAGGGAGCTCTCAATGGCTGCTGCCTCTGCAGTTGGAGGCAGCAATGCTTCTGAACATCAGTTACTGGAAGCCATGGGAGAGGAGACGGCTCTTGCGTCTTCTCCCTGGTTTCCCACAGGCATCTGGTTGGCCACTGTGTGAACAGGAGGCCGGACTAGATGAGCCATTGGCCTGATCCAGCAGGCCATTCTTACACTTGTATCCCATTCACCACACATTAGAATACGGTGGAGCACCTTCTACTCATTCTCCATCACTTGCCCTCAAAAACCATCTCTCTCAATGTCCTTACACACCATTGAAGGATTTTTAAGATGGACAACAGGCATTTAAAAAAACAACAACACAGGGAACGATTTGGGCATCTGAGTCAGGAAAGCATGGAACAAAAACATTACTTCTCATGATATTTCCATGCCTCTGGCCCCAAGGCCTCACACTTCGAACTGTTGGCACTAGGCGTGTCTTCAGTAGCGCCTTTCTGCACAAATAAGGTATGGATGGGGTTGCAGAGTCATGCCTAATTTTGGCTTAAGGTTGGGAGTCCAACCACTAGGAAAATGCAGATGAAATTGTTGAAGTAATGAGGTGAAAAATAAAAACATTTCCATTCTGGCCAACTGTTCGCCTAAACAGTGCCTTCGCCCTGAAGGGAAAAAAGAAAGAAAGAAAAATAGTATTTTAAAAGAGCTAAGGGTTTTTTGTCGTTTATCAAAAAGTACAGGTGCCATTATGATAATAAAGTACTGCATCTCTTAAAAATCAAATCCTATTCTGGTAAGGCATTAATTAATCTATGTTGTTAAAGGGTTAGGCACCATTCTAAAATTAAGGCAGCGAAAGAGGGACAATTTGGAATATGGAAAAACATGGTTATCAAATTACTTTACTACCAATCTGGTAAAAACCTGATTGCATCATTTAATTCTTTTGAACATATGATTTTCATAAACCAGTTCTGCATAAACTACATATAAGCCCAAGTATGAGAAAACCAATGGCTGATGTCCAAACATTCCAGAGAGAAGTTCTTTCCTGTAAAGAACACACTGTCCTACCAGCACAGTGCAAGATCCACATGTTATTTCCCCCTCAGATAAGCAGGATAGTGAAATCTTTAGAGCCTGATAAGGCTGCTGTTGCCAAGATTCCACTAGCCTATACCATTTTAAAAAATCTTTCTAAACTGGAAGTGGGTTGTTTCATGCACAGTAATCAGACAAGAACTGTTACGACACTCAGTTCAGCCTGAGTCTAAGCTCACGATTTCACTGCCTTGGTTTCATTACAACCTTTGTATTAAAACAGTTGATTTAGTTGATGAACAACTGAAGTTTAAAATGAATTAGTTTATGAAGTCAAAGCCTTTGGAATATTTGGTTGGTAGATATAGCATGCTAACCATTTTGGCTCTAGTCACAAATTTGTTGCTTCTAGATTTTTGGTGAAGTACGTACACTTACCTAGTGAAAATGGAATGAATGCTTCTTTCTTGACAAATTGTCCAGAGCTGTCCAAAAACCTCTCAGGACAAAACATTTCAGGGTTACTCCAGTACTTTTCATCAAAGTGTACAGAGTAGAGATTTGTAATGACTGTAGTGCCTTGAGGGATAGAATAGCCACGTACAACTGTATCCTTAGAAGTCGCATGGAAAATACCTAGTGGAGCTACGTTACAGAATCTTAAAATTTCATGTAGTACTGCCTCAGTGTATGGCATTTTACACTTTTCTTCAAGGCAAGGTGTTTTGTTCGGCCCAATAATTAAATCGATTTCTTTATGAACTTGCCCTGTTGGAGAAAAAGCTTTTAGTTTATTGAGTAACGGTTTGGCAAAAATAAGTAGAAACGTTCATTCTACATTTAACTATGAAACCTTTAAATATACTTGTAGCGTCACTGATTTTGTGTACATTAGCCACATCCACTAGTCATGGAGAATCCTGGAAATTGTAGTTTGTTAAGGGTGCTGTGAACTGTAGGTCTGTGAGGGGTAACTACAATTTTCAGGATTCTTTGGGGGAAATCATGACTGTTGAAGTGGTATAAGAATACTTTATAGTGTCAGATGTGACCTTTGAACCAAATACAGTCGTACCTTGGATCGTGAATGCCCTGGAACTCGGATGTTTTGGCTCCCGAACATCACAAACCCTGAGGTGATTCTTCCAGTTTTTGAATGTTCTTTTGGAACCTGGATGTCCGACAGGGCTTCCGTGGCTTCTGATTGGCTTTGGTTTTTGAACGTTTTAGAAGTCGAACAGATTTCTGGAACGGATTCCGTTCGACTTCCAAGGTACAACTGTACTCCAATCCAGTCAGCTGAATAGATGATGCAGTTTCCCTCCCCTACTTTCCCTGTTAAAATCTACTCTGGAGTCTTGCGGAATACTCTAGAACAGCATGGAGTCAGTAAGTGGGAAGGGTAAGTTGGGAAATAGGCCCCTTTTCCACCAGCAGACACATCCTGAACAAACTCTGCTCAAAGGATACAACTTCAAGTGGGACCAAACTCTAGTTTCAACCTAATGTATTCAGATTGGGTAAAGATTTAACAAGTGCTGTTAATACCCTGCTTGGAATGCACATTCTTAATCAAAAAGCAAAACACATCACGGCATATGGCATAACTTACCTTGAATATTAGGATAAAGAGCCATGAACAACACTGCCCATCTTAGAACATTTGTTGTAGTTTCTGTTCCAGCAATTATTATTTCTCCAGCAGAGAAAATTAAGTTTTCTGTTGTAAATGTAGACTCGGGGTCATTTTTATTTTTGTCCATCTCATCAAAATATGCATCTATAAAATGCCTTGGTGACTGAGGTTTCCTATTTTGTGAGAAACGCTCAATAAGGTGGAGTAGAAAAGTATAGACTTCAGATGCATTTTTAAAGAGTTGCTGATGCTTTCCAAAGGGCAAGGCACCGATCCATGGAAAAGCATTGTACAAAAATGCAGAAGAACTAGCTGCCAGTTCAATGTTTTCACTAAATATGTCCATCATATGCTGAAATTCAGTGTCTTCATATGTAAACCGTTCTCCAAAAAGAATCAAGTTAGTAATATTTGAAACTGCATTTGTTATCAAGTATTTCAGATCAAAAGGCTTGCCCTTATAGGTATCAATGGCCTCAAGGAAAATGACTGATTCTTCTGATATTTTGCTTTCGAAGGACTTTTGACCATATCCAAAAATACGGAAGCATGTTACAGCCAGCTTGCGATGCTCTGTCCAACCTCTGCCATAACTTGAGTTCAATAAACCTGAAATATATGAGCGTCAATATGCTTAACCCAGGATCTTACTTCCTCTTTCATACATATGATCTTTCTATGATCTGCAGCTACACACATAGTTACACACACGTACAAACAAAAACGGTATCCTCAATTTATCATAGTGAATTAGTTTTACTGTTATCTTTCTAGAGTTAAAGACTTCTGAATTATGTCCCATGTTTTTAAGTGCATGCAACATTATACCTACTCAAAATGCAACCTGTTTATAGCACTTTGGGAACTGCATGCGTAAAAATGTTAATTTTAATGCCAATTTGCCTTTTCCACTTCTCTGAAGTTTCAAGGTAGCCTTTGGCTAAGCCAGTTTTCTTGTAAAGTGTATACTGGTGATTTATGTAATAGATGCTTATTTACAAATACAAAAGGACAAGCAGGGGGGAAAGGCTTTTTTACAGATGTTTATTTACAAATACAAAAAGTCAAGCGGGGGGTGGGGAGGCAGGCACTAAGACAGGTAGTGCTAGGCAAAGATATAAAGATCAACCAACTATTTCTGTACATCCAAGATTTTGTGTGTGTGTGTGGGAGGAGAGTGTTTCTTAACAGCAAACCAGTATACCTTCTCACCTATCCCACAAGGTAAACAGCTTTTGAAACAGAGTGTGACGTAGAAAAGCAGCTTGAGTTAGAGTGACAAAACTTGTTTAAAGACATTTTTAATTTAGATTACGCTTGAGGAACTGAATTGCTGTAAAATTACAGAAGACAGATAAATAGATTTACATGCAATTTTAAAATCTTCCGAAAACTTTTTTTAAAAAAATCTTTTAATTTATATATATTTTTTATTAATAAAGTTGGCTAAAACTTATGTATCCCTTAGGGTGCAGTTAGTATCTTTGAGAACTTGATGCAGGACTAGTGACTAAGTTGCCTGCTAGCTGGATAGCTCAGTTGGTTAGAGTGCGGTGCTAACAATGGCAAGGTTGTAGGTTCGATCCCCATAAGAGACAGCTGCATATCCCTGCATTGCAGGGGGTTGGAGTAGATGATCCTCAGGGTCCCTTCCAACTCTGATTGTAAATAAGGTTTTACAAGGACACGTTAATTCTCCAATGCTCTCATGCCCAGAAGAAACTAAACTCAATCTCTGGAGCTTTCATCACCTTGAAGCGTTTCAAGCACTTAGTAATTTGGGGTGCTTTTCATTTTAGTGTCCAAGATATATTTCATTTTTGCTTTTTAAAGGGTATGTTTTCAGCTCTTAACACTGTCTACAGCACTGAACATGTACAAGCAATGATTTTCAAACACAACTGCCGTAACTGCATGCTACCACATGAAGGTGCTTCTTTGTCATGAGAGTACAGTGGTACCTCTAGTTGCAGACTTAATCCATTTCAGGGTGCCGTTTGTACCCCGAAAAGTCTGCAACTAGAGCACCTCTTCCGTGCATGTGCTATCGAGTGCTTCTGCGCATGTGCGAAGCGTGCAGATCGCTTCTGTGCATGCGGCGAACCCGGAAGTAAACACATCCGGGTTTGCCACGTTCGTAAGCTGAAAGTCCATAACAAGAGTGGAACGCAGCTAGAGGTACCAATGTATTACTTAGCTATGTATCTTGGTCTCCCAATCTAGTTTGCAGAGTACACTAAGCATTACATGCAAATACATGTAAACAGAGTATCATAAGCTAATAAGAAGTCTTAGGAAGATACAATTCTAAGTGGAGGAGTGTCATGGAAGAGAACACTTCCCATTGGTTTTTCTGCTCAATGTCACCTCTGTTTTCCCACATGGGGTTCTGGATGCCAATTTACTAGGGTGCCACACAAATTTGAGCCCACCCATTTTGATATTACTAGCTTAAGTCAACTGCAAATCACTGTTGCATAAACATTAGAGAATTGGTTTGTTTTTAATAAATGAAAGGCATTTATAAAAGGTATTAAATGCAATTCAGCAATATCTTTTAAGGAACATTTAAGGAATGTACAAATGAAAAATGAAAGAAAAAAAACAACCCATGAGATTATCAATGCGCTCCAAATCTGCAAGCAGTGAGTAGGGGCAGAGAGGGACAAGTCTAGGGCACAAGTTAAGCACTTTTATAAAGTCCAGTCAATTTAAATGAAACAGTTTAGCATATTCTTACATTTTGTCCATGTTTTCTACTAGATTGTGGCAGATTTAGCTTTCTGTTATACTGCTGCAAGGCCCCCCCACGTCTTTGTTCTGTGAACTGCCCTGAGATCTCCGGGTATAGGGCAGTATTCAGTAAATATTAATAATAAAAACAGGTGCTGAACCACTGTAGTAAAGGTTCCTAAACAATGGCAACCTGCTAGTTCTACAATGGATTTCTCACAATGATAAAAGCAAAGGTAGCAAAGCTACAGTTAAAAAAGAATTGTGTATTAAACATACCTTCGTGAAATACACAAATACCAAAATGTTGCAGTGCTTCCTATGTGTGCATTAACCTTGGCACACGAATGAATGGGCGTTACTCAAGTGCCTCAGGCCACCCCCTTCACTCTTCCAGTTGTTCCTCCCCACATTTGATTGTCAGAAGTAGTACTGTGTAAGAGAAAGGGATTGCAGGAGGGTTATTGTTGCTGCCTCCACTGCGCTCTTGCTGTAATGTTTACTGAAATGAGCCTATGAGGTGGGTAGAGTTGGGGGTGGGGGGCAGACTTCAAGGGATGGAATGATTAGAAATATAGCCTGCCTAAGTATGAAGCCGTCTTATTCTTCCTGGCTAAAGGACAACATTTCCAACAGTGCACATCAACAGCCAGCTTCAAGTTTGATTTCCCAACATTGCCCTTTGGAACAGAGCTTGAGGAATTTTGCAGACCAAGTCAGAAAGCACACACAAATGAAAAATGCTCTCAGGATTGTTTCTTTAAAGTTAGTAAGAAGACAGAATTGCAGGCACCTTTTTAAAAAGCATATACCCAATACACTAATAAGACTCTATTAAAACAACAACAACAACACATACCTCCCATTTTTGTCAGCTTCTTGAACAAAGGAAGAGATGGCCTGTCTGCAAAAATCTCACTCTGCTGAACAAGGCATTCTTTTACTGCATCATAGCCATTCAGGACAATAGTTGATATTCCTCCAAGATCAAGGCTAAATACCTTTTAAAAAAAAGATTACATGTCACTTTCAAGAATTGGGGTGGGGGGTGGGCAGATGGAGAAATACTAGTTTCTTTTTCTTTAGAAATGTTCATGTTTGGTCCATGGGCAGCACAACAGGTATGCTTCTAACACCACATGATGCTCATAAATATGCTACATGTGCTATGTAGAAAGATTACAGTTGCATAACAATATCGCAGTTTGCTTTCATTCATAGATGGTTATACAGTGGTACTCAGGTTAAGTACTTAATTCATTCTGGAGGTCCGTTCTTAACCTGAAGCACCACTTTAGCTAATGGAGCCTCCTGCTGCCGCCGCGCCACCAGAGCACGATTTCTGTTCTCATCCTGAAGCCAAGTTCTTAACCCGAGGTACTATTTCCGGGTTAGCAGAGTCTGTAACCTGAAGCGTATGTAACCTGAAGAGTATGTAAGCCGAGGTTCAACTGTATGTCAAAATACAACATCAATAATATCTCTTTCCAGTCCAAAATGTTGGCTAGGCTTACTGTCAGACACATGAGCTTCCTACTTATTGCTTCACTTTGCAGGAGGAACATTGTCTGCATCATTCTTAAAGTGAATGCATTACCTGTCACAAGAGATAAACATAAATTGGCAGTATGTTTCTGTGGCAGCAGGAATGACACGTCATGAACAAAGTGTCCCTGAGCAGAAGATGATAAACTCTGCAGTAAGAGGCATGCTTCTGACTGTTAAGATTAAGCAACAGGTGCCTCACTATCTTTAGAAGACATCCAAACTAGAAAACAGTTGTTTAATTTAAGCTATACAGTGGTACCTCCGCTTACAAACTTAATTCGTTCTGGAGATCTGTTCTTAAGCTGAAACTGCTCGTAACATGAGGCACGCTTTTGCTAATGGCGCTTCCCGCAGTCGCCACGCGACTTCCGCTCACATCCCAGGGCAAAGTTCGCAACAAGGGACATCTACTTCCGGGTTAGCGGAGCTCGTAACCAGCAGCGTTCGCAAGGAGGACAGTACGTAACACAAGGTTCCACTGTAGTGAGCAAGCAAGGGTCTGAAACCACATTTTTATCCAAACTTGCTTTCACTAACCAGAGTTTAAAGCAGTTTTGTAAATAAGTTTAGAAATTGCTAGCATGCACACCTAGTCCACGTTTCCATACTAGCTACTTTTAAAAAAATTCTTCTACAAGCAGGGAGGACAGGTTGATCCTTGCTCCTTCCTCCGTTGCTAGCAGTAGACCAGGCATAGGCAAACTCGGCCCTCCAGATGTTTTGGGACTACAACTCCCACAATCCCTAACAGGACCAGTGGTCAGGGATGATGGGAATTGTAGTCCCAAAACATCTGGAGGGCTGAGTTTGCCTATTGTAGACTACAGTAGACTATTGGAGGAGGCATGGAGCAATCTGTCCTGCCTCTGCCAGACTTAGAATCATAAAATCACAGATCTAGAGTAAGAAGGGACCACAAGGGTCATCTAGTCCAACCCACTGCAGTGCAGGAATCTTTTGTCCAACGTGAGGCTCAAACCCACAACCCTGAGATTAAGAGTGAGCCAAACCTCTTGCTTGCTTGGAATTCCTGCTCACTTAAGGTTACCAGGCAAGTTGTTAAATACTTGGCTGGTCCAGACAAGCCACATTTAAGACGCCACAGGGAACTGTGGTTAGTTCGTTGGTATGTGAAGGAGGCGGCTTATGCAGGCTTATTCACATAGTGGGATACCATGGTTTAATTGTATACCATACAAGAAAGTATATTTTATCATTTTTCTGTACTGATCAAATAGCTGAATATGGAATCATTATTTTTGCAATTAATAAAAAATTGCATAAAGCTTAAAATTCTGATTTTGGTTTCCAGTTTCTGTCAGCAAATGTTCCTTTTCATAAGCTAAAGGAAAGTGTTTCTATTTGTGACTCATTATGATTGATATGATCACTAAACAAACAAACAAACAAACAAACAAACAAACAAACAATTAAAGGGAAACTTTTAAGGAGAAAAGTCCTAGTGGTCACTCCTTTTCCTGTTCCTATAAGTAATGATATTTTTTCACAAGAAACTCAAGGCACTGTGACTGTCCTCTTTGCATCCCTGCAGTAGAAAACATCCTGTATACAGCAATTGGCAACGAGCCTGTAGGATAGTAAACTGTCAACATTCCAACCGAGTTTATGCTTCTAGCAGCTGTTGATACATTTTAATTTGTTGTAAATGTTTTTTATCAAGATTTTCTAGCTGTCCTGGAGATAATTTTTAAAGACAAAAAGGTGGGAGATTATTGGTTGTCTCCAAAGCAGCATCAGTGGAGTTTTCCAACCTCTGAAGCTGATTTTGAGGGCATGCAGGGTGTTGCCAGGAAAAGGAGGAGAAAGTTCCATTCATGGAGCAGCAGCGTTGGATGCTATTCTGTATACAGACCAGCATGTCATCACTATGCAGCAGCAGACAACTAAAGTAACAACTTCGTCATTTCTTGGGAAAGTATATTTAACTCTGAGTTGTGGCTGTGCGGTGCTCCGCTCAATAAATATGAAAGGCAAACAGGCTTAAATCCCCTACCATCAGGAACATATGTTAAGAGTCTTCATTGGCTGCAGCTTCATGGTGTATGTTGGTGATTAGTAATCTGGATGGCATGCAGGACGATGCTTAAATTGAGAGTGCCCCAAGTTCAGTGTTACCCGCAAAGGGAAGACATGCTCATTTCACTGATGACTTCCTTCCCCTGTTCTATAACAGTTTTTAAAAACTTGCCACATTCTCTTAGAAATTTAAGTAAGAAAGCCCTCTAACTCACATCTCAAACCTAAGCAGTTTTGAGGTTGAGTTAGTTTGGTACTGTAGTCCAACATGTAAAATAGAAACAAAGATTCCTGTGGCATCTTAAATATCTAGCAGAGTTGAGACACAAAGCCCAGCCCACTTTGACAAGCGTCACAGGGTTTATGTAAAGCCAGTTGTTTTTTTTAAATGTTGAACTTGGAGCTGTATTAACAGACAGTATTAGCAACATACTGCACTGGTATGCTTGGTTGACAAGTTAGGCAGCTTTCTGAAAAAAGCAGGTGCACACCTTTACAAAATAGTATTTAATAATAACTATGATGCAACCAAGTCTCATGATTGTACTGCAAACTTTATATATATTAAGAATTCTGTGCCAAACACAACAAGACTCAATACAAAATGGCAAATAATAAACCACATCCTGTTACTGCAGTTCAAATATGCAACAGCCCAAACATAAAGTGAGTTTAAAATAAAGTCCCGTTGATTTCAGCGATACTTAATCCCAAGTACCGTAACTAAGCTTAGAATAGCCTCCTAAACCTTCCTGACATAAAAGCTGGTCAATGTAACGAAGCCTTTATGACTTCCTCACTTGCAAGGTGAGTCTTATATAATTCTTTTGTTTGTAAAGTGCCTCCAACAACAACTCTTGCAAGTTGGCCACTAGGCTAACAGTGAAATCCTATACACATCTACTCAGCTTTAGCCTTAACAGGATTTACTCCTAGGTTAAGTGGGTGTAGAACTGCATTCTCATTTAACTGAATGGGGCTCAACTTCTTCTAGCAATAGAACAACTAGTACATTTGCAAAGCTAAGCAGGGTCCGGTATGGTTTCAAATGAGATGGGACCGGGGTTGAGATTACTTGCTGGGGATTGGACTAGATGACCCTCCAGGTCTCAGCCATGAGATTACATGCCCCTTCCAACTCTAGAGTAGACACTGATCCGGTTGTCTTGCAAGGGCAGGAAAGCACAGCCTTGGGCAGAGAGGAAGCGAAACTTGAACCCAGATCTGAAAGTGAAGCTGTGGAAAGAGTTCAGATCCAGGCTTATTCACGTGAATCGCAAAAGCCTCGTCTTACAACTTAACGGAGGGGTCTGGAAGTGGCAAATGTGTAAGAATTAGACCGAGGGGGGCTTGGTCTCCCCAGGGACAGCTTCTCCTCGGGACCACCCCCCCGCCCCCGCGGCTGCAGTACCTGCCCGTAGAGCTGGCTCTGCCTCTTCATGTAGACGTGCGGCTGCTCCGAGGCCAACGAGTGGATGTTGCCGATGAGAGGCAGCCCCGGCGGGCCGGGCGGGAAGCCCACCGGCCGCCTCTGCTTCAGCAGCTGCCTCACCACTAGCGGCAGCAACAGCAGCACGAGGACGCCGGCGCCCACAGCCGCCGCGGCGGCCGAGCCCACCCCTGGGACCCCGGACCACATTTCCCGCTCCTGCCGGCCCCAGCCAGCCAGTCGCCGGCTCTGCTCTCGCGCTCCCTTTCTCCTCTTTCTCCAAACACGCAGAAACAACAACATCCCCCGGCCCGCTTGCCGCGTCTTCTTATAGGACGCCGGCGGCGCTCGTCAGGCGAAGCCGAGCCTGATTGGTGGAGCCGCCTCGCGCTCTTTCCCCCCCGCCCCCTCCTCTCGCGCCGCGCTTGTTCTGGAGTTGCGCCTGGGGACAGTTCGCGAGTGGGATGCTGGGGGGTTGGGAGTTCCCACGCGAGCAGCTGCAACTCCCGCCGCGGCTTCCCCACCCACCCCGCCAAGACTCGCGTTTAACTCCCCACACAAGCTTGCTTCATCATAAGCAGCGGTTCTTCCTTGCATAACAGGCAGCAATTGCTGCAAACTGATTTGAATAGGGGCGGGGAAGGCTCACCTGATAGCAAATTCAGGTCAGCGGGCGGGGGGGGGGGGCATTCGGAAAGAGGCAGGGATTTCCCCGTTTCTGAAAGCCTGAGAATTCCCGGCAAAAGTCCGTCCTTTCAGCGCTAAGCTCTTTCCGCTGGCTGCCCCATCCTCACAGCAAAGGTTAAAAGAACAACTCATTTCTATGCTCTTTTTTAAAAAAAATTATTTTGTAGCATTTCCAGTTGTCAAACCTGAAACTCCTTGTTCTTGCAGTTTTCAGTGTGTGTGTACTTGATGCCACAACAAAGCAGTGACTGTCACTTGGAGAGCATTTTAACTTACTTCATGGAAGCTGTTCCTGAAGGAAGAACTGTGAGGGGGGAGACTCCATCAGCCAAGGCCTCCTTCTATCTGCCTTGCTCCACCTTCTAGTCTCTGCTTCTCAATTTGTATTGTATTATTTTATGTACTGTGGCTTGCCGTTATTTTATTGATTATAGTTTAGAAATTATTGATTATATCTGCTGAGTAGATTTCTGTTTAACTTTTATATGTTATTATTATTTAATACTATTCTAATGATTGTTGAATGTTACTTTTTTGATATAGGTTACCTATTTTAAAGTTATGTTTTATTATCACATTTTTGTATTGCATTAGATTGTTGTAAGATGTATAGTTTTTGTTTCTTCAGCTTGTAAACCACCTTCAGTATTGTAAGATAGAAAGACGGTATACAAATTAAAAATGATGATGATGGGTGATAAGCAGTTCCCAGTATGTGGTGAGTTATTTGCAAGTAGTGGCTCACCACATGACTCATGGTTGCTACTTCCTGGTGGTAGAATTGACACCAAGACCAGTTGGTATGAAAAGGGCTGTTTCACATATAAATGTACTTCTTCAGTTTACTGTAGGCTTGATCATAAACAACAGAATGTGTGAACAGACCCCAACAAAGAACAGTGGCTTGGATCCTAAGATAAATTAAGGTTCCTCTGCCTGATTTTGAGCGATCCTCTGATCCCCTTCAGCTTCCTGTGGCCAACAGAAGGCTGTCTAGCATCTGACTGAATGTTTGCAGATAGAGAGAGCCCTTCCATTGTACAACTGCTCTTCCTGTCAACAAGCATCTCCTTAGGCTGACTCATCAATCTACTCTCCTGTAACTTAAGCTCATTAGATCTAGTCCTGCCCTCTATAACTGTACAATAATTGAACATATTTCATATATAAAGTTTTCATATTTTGTTATAAAATAAATTTATCACAAGGGATGATTGTAACTAATCTTAACTGTTTATAATGTTTTTAATAATTACATGTGGTTAATTTTGATTTTCGGATAACTAAATGTGAAAATCATCTTTGAATTTGTGAGATTTCATGCTATAATAATGATTTTAAGCTACATTCTATAGGCAGTGGTGAATCTCCTCCCACCCATCTTGCACTTGGTGTTCAGACATCACTTGCACCACCCTAGTTACACTACTGTTGTGAACTGCCCTGAGGATCAGAGATTATGTCTTTCGCCTAAGTGACAGCTCTTCAGGTCTTTGAGGAGTGCTGTCATGTTCTTCCCTCCAGTCTTCTCTAACCTAAACACACACAGTTCCTACAACCTCCTCATAGGAATTATGATCCATATCTCCAATTATCTTTGGTGTCTTTTGAACTCATTCCAATTTGTCTACCCAGAATTGGAGATTGTACTGATGACGTCTGACTAGTGCAACATAAAGTGGAACTATTGTTTCCTCCAGCTTGGAAGCCTTTATTGTTACAACCTAAAATAATATCTTCTTCCTCTTCCTCACAGCCACATCACACTTCTTTGGCTCATGTTCGGCTTGCTTTTGTTTTGTTTTCACGTGTACTATTGCCAAGCCAGGGCCGGCCTGCTCATGAGGCAAAGTGAGGCAACCGCCTTAGGTAGCAGACTCTGGAGAACTGTGATGGGTGGCATGTCTGTGCCTGCCACCCCCCACTGTGTGCTGCTGCAAGAGAGAGGTGGGTGATGGAAAAGGCGCTCAAGGGAATTGGTTCACAGCCAGCACGTTTTTCTCTCTCAGGGAGAGGGACATTCAGAGACAAGAGAGGAGTGAAGATCAGGATCAGAAACAAGCAAGGAGTGAAGATCAGCATTGAGGGGAAATAAGGGGAGAGAAAAGATCGGCATTGGGATGCCCCAGCTGTACTTTTAAAAGCACCCTTCACAAGCTACAGTTGGGAGAATGCCCATTTTTTATTTGCCTCAGGTGCCAATATCTAGGGCCGGCCCTCCATCCTATACCTATGCATTTTATTTTTAGTCCTAAATGCAGAACTTTGGCGTTTCTGCTGAATTTATTTTATTGGCAGCCCAGTTTCCCACGCTCTTCAGGTAATTTTGAATACAATTCCTGTCTTCTAAGGCATTTACTATCCCTCCCAGTTTTGCATCTTCAACAAATTTGATAAGGATTCCTTCCACCCCTTCATCAAAGTTATTGATACAAAAGGTTGAAGAGTACTGGTCCTTGGACAGAGCCTTGCAGCATCTCACTCCTTACCTTGTTCCAGTTTGATGTGCACTCTTTGTGTACAGTTTTCTAACCATTTATGAATCCACCAGGTGATATCATCATTAGCATGCACTTAACCAGTTTGCTAATCAAAATATTTTGGAAAAGTTTGTCAAAAGCTTTGCTGACTTCAAGATAAATTCCTCCAGAGCATTCCTACCATCACCACTGCCCAGGTTTGTTTTTGTTTTTTTTATAAATCAATTAAGTACAAAACTAAAGGAATAATGAAAAAAAATCTCAAGTGCCTTGAAAATGAGGCAAAATCAATCAATCAATTAAAATGCCTCTTTTATAGTGAAAGAAAATGTTCAGGAAACTGGAGGACAGCTTTCAGCACAGTACTAGTTAGTTTAGAACAGCCATATCAAAATATTACATAAATCTGCAATTAAAAAAAATAAACTTTAGAGAAACTTCTTTCCCTTTTCCTCTTTAAGGAAAAACATGTTGAATAAGCATGCTAATTTTTCATTTGGAGTATGAGACTCTGTTTCATAAGACTTTCCGTAGATGAGGTGCCAAGAAGATTTTATCTGGAAGATTAATCATAAGTCATGTTGATACAATCAGAAATACTTACTATTATCTTAATTAAAATGTTTTGGTGGCAAGAACTTTTTGCTGCAACATGGCAATCCTCTTGGAAATTTCTGAACGGTACATGCAAAAATCTTGGAATCAGTTTTTGTCATACTTTCTTTTTATTACTTTTTAACATTTTTGTTATTATTATTTATGTATATTATTTTTGAGACCTGTGCTTTTTAACTTGTTCATAACTGATCTGGAGTTAGGGGTGGGCAGTGAGGTCCCAAGTTTCCTGATGGGACCAATTTTTTCAGGGTCATTAAAAAAAAGGACCTCTCCAAATGGGTAGTAAATGAATGGGTAGTAAAATGGGAAATGCAATTCAATGCAAGCAAATGTAAAGTAATGTATATTGGAGCAAAATTTCCCCATATACAAATACACACACACACACACACACAGAGAGAGAGAGAGAGAGAGAGAGATGCATGCTATCTTCCATAGCACAGCCTTTTCCAGCTGGTGTACAAAAGATATGGGGATCTAAATCTATCTCATGATAATTGAGCCTCATGTTCAAAGCAGGAACATTGTGCTTCCAAATCATTTATAGTGCAGTCCACTTACAATGCTTCCACTCCAGATTCTGTAATTTGAAGGACTATGTAATTTGAACAGCTTTCATGTATGGTTTAGACTGGCTTGACCGTCTGTTCACCAAATCATGTCACATCTGCATGACAGGCAGGATATTCTACTGAATTTAAGGACAGCCTCCATTTAACATCCTATTAAATTTGTGTGCCCACACAAACCTACAAACACGAGTTCCTTTTATATGCTTTGAAAATAACTGATGGGAAAATATTTCCATGGTAGTGTGAAGCAATTGAGATGGTTCAAACGAGGGAAGATCCTCTTCCATCTGCAAATAAATCTAAATGAGAAATTATGAAGGCATCTATGAATTCATGGGTGTATCATGAGATGCTTATCTAAATTTATGTTAGGAAAGTTAGTACATTTTCAGTGAGGTCATAAATTTCTACTGAAGAAATACAGACATGGTGTTCTATACAGGAACAACCAGTGCCAGGGAACTGATTGTGGTGCTGGATCCATCACCTCCTTCTACCATTTTAAAAAAGTAAAGGGACCCCTGACCGTTAGGTCCAGTCATGACTGACTCTGGGGTTGCTGTGTTCATCTCGCTTTATTGGCTGAGGGAGCCGGCATACAGCTTCTGGGTCATGTGGCCAGCATGACTAAGCCACTTCTGGCAAACCAGAGCAGCGCACGGAAACGCCGTTTACCTTCCTGTTTATCTACTTGCACTTTGACGGGCTTTCAAACTGCTAGGTGGGCAGGAGCAGGGACCAAGCAACAGGAGCTCACCCCGTTGCGGGGATTCGAACCACCGACCTTCTGATCGGCAAGTCCTAGGCTCTGGTTTAACCAACAGTGCCATCCCTACCATTTTACATAGCAGCATAAAAGAAGAAACATTGTTGGACCTTCTTGGCCTTTCCCCCCACCATGGGTCAACTTTGATGGGTGGTGGGACAATTCACTTGTCAGTCACCTGGTGTCAGCATGACATTAGATCAGGCATCCCCAATCTTGACCCTCCAGCTGTTTTGGGACTACAGTTCCCATAATCCCTGACCACTGGTCCTGTTAGCTAGGGATGATGGGAGTTGTAGTCCCAAAACAGCTGGAGGGCTGAGTTTGGGGGTGCCTGCATTAGATGGTTGACAGGTTGTCTCACCCCCCTGTTGGAGTCCATTGCATAGATCTTCCCAATGCACTGATTGGCTAGAGTCTTGTGCTGTCATGAGCCCACCCCCTTCCAGGGGAGCAATTTTTTCAAATCCTTTAAAACTGTGTGACTTTTATATTAAGTAAACAAAGAGCCAAATGTACATTAAATGAGATAATCTTTCAAGGAGGGTTTACTTTTTGAACAGAACAATTCTATACTCGACCTTCTACCAGTGGGGAGGTACTTCAACACAACACCAGGAGAATGGCTACTGTTTCCTATATGTGCTCAGGTCAAGGGGGGAGAAATAGAAAAAAAACACCTCATTAAAATGACAGAAAGACCAGAAGCACAGCCTGTGGCAATCAGTCAGGGACTGTGTTGACAACACTGTCCACATGCCCATGGAGGAAATGTTGGGCAAAGTGAAGAATAAAAATGTAGGAAATTAAATAGCTGTTGGTAGGTTTAAGGCATTTATGGCACAGTGACAGCTTAGGCAACATTGTACAAGCAGCAGGAGAAGTTCCAGTTTGGTGTAGTGGTTGGATGGTAGTCTAGGAGCCTAGGAGGGTTCAAATCCCCAGTCAGCCATGAAAGTCACTTGGTCATCCTGGGCCATTCATAGTCTTTCAGCCTTACTTACCTCACAGGGTTGTTGTGAGTATAAAATAGGGAGGGGAGAACTATGTATACAAACCTGAGCTGCTTGGAGGAAATGCAGGATAGAACTGTAATAATAAATAAAGGGACAACTAGATAACTGGGCCATATCTCAGCTGATTTCAGGGTGATTTAGGTGAGGCAGATAGAACACAACTTTAGGGGTTGTTGTTTTTTGTATTGTAACAGATACACTATCTATAGCCACAGTGATAGAGGAGGGAAAGAGGATTCAACAAATATTGCTCACCAAAATTTCTCATCTTCAGTTTCTCAACTACTAAAGGGAAAACAACCACCCCTTTTCAAGCAAAACGAAAAAAGAAAGGGAAATGATCCTGTAAGCTGAGTCAGTTCAGCCAACCATGTTGCTTAATTTTACTGTGTCGTAATAAGTCATTATTATATTTATAATTACATTTTCCAGACTGAAGAAGATTCTGGGGAAGCTTGCTCACTACTTCGTGACAGTGTTCTGGTCCTAATAAAATGCACTTTGCTTTTTTTACTGTTGGATTTATTCTTATGGACAAGCATGCCTACCTGTATTTATCTACATTTATGGCTAAATTACTGTGTTTACAGTTACTGTGCTTAGAGACAGAATAATTCATTGCTTATAATGATATATAATATAGTCAACACATTTTTTCCAGAAATGCATTTTTTTTTATTCTTGTAAACATAAATCCACCTGGCACTTCCACCCGCTCTGGTGAAGTCAGGAAACAAAGATGGATACAGAAAAGGAGGTGGGTGGCGGGAGCTCCAGGTGAGCCCAACAGAATAGCAGAAGGGATCATGGTGACTGAGGGGGAGGAGACAGAACAAACTTCTCACTTCTCCCATCTGAATTCTCTGGCTTGTTACCTTGATGATACTCCTAGATCAGAAATAACTCTCCTCTCCTTACCGGGACTTTTGTGGGTAGATTATCACTCTAACTCATTGTCAACAAATCATAACTTGGAGCAAAAAGTTGTCACATTAGTGATGAGATGGGTCAAACTGTACACCTGAATATGTCTAGGAACCCTAAGGCTTTTGGGTCAGAGGCACCCCTTGAGATGTAGTCCATATGTAAACTCTTCAATCAGGTCAACCTATGGTCCTCTAGATGCTGTTGGAACTCAAATTCCCATCCACGCCAGCCAGCATGGCCAATGGAAAGGAATAATGGGAGTTTTAATCCAGCAATTTGTGGGTTGCTAATCTCAATAGACTAAGGGCAGATCTGTAGGGGTCAGATGGGATTACCATGAGGAATTATAAAATATACATCAAGCCATCGTGTCCACGATGAAGACATTGTGTTGACTGGGTTTGATATATTGATGATAATTTCTGATTAAATCCCATAAGATTCTACATTCATGCCCTTTTCATGCCCTTTTGCCTCTGCTGCCCATTTCTCCTTGCTCTTCACGAATCACGTACACACTTAGACAGGCAGGCGTCCTGTGTCCTCAAAGACTGGGCAGTTTCGTCTTTGTAGTTTTCTGATATTAATCTTAGGATGTTAATCTTAGGGCTAGGAAACAGATCTCACATGAAGGTGGTAGTGATCTGGTCTTTCTGGCCATCCTTCTTATCATGTTTATTTTTCAGCTCTGGGGTTGCCAGATGCACCCCTTTGTAGTTCTCAACTTATTTACCACCCCTTTGTAGTTCTCAAGTTATTTACTACCCGTTTGTAGTTCTCAACATATTTACCCCCAAATATATACATGCTAATTAGTGTTGTAGTGTTACTTTTTCCCCACGTGGGGTTTGATGAGATGCTCAGAGGAAATATGATTGGTTCTTACGAGCACTGTGTAAAAGATTCTTTTGCTAATAAAATGGCCTGGTGAGGGGTGTGGTTTACGCACTTTTCTCCGAGATCCTTGCTGGTCAAAGCCTCGTGTCTTGATTTTTAATCAGGGTCCAATCCTTCCTTTACTTTGCGAACGCAACACAGATCCACACCATACATTTAAAGCACATGACCCCCCACCCCAAGGATCTTGGGAACTGTAGTTTCCAACTCACATAACTACAGTTCACAGAGCCCTTAACAAACTACAGTTACCAGGTTTATTTGGGATAAGGCACACGCTTTAAATATGCATTAGATACGCTTTAAATTTGTGAAGTAGATCTGCCCTAACTGATGTCATCAGAGTTGGCCCAAAACATTTGTTGGCTGCGGCTGAGCAGGAAATTGGGATTAACCCAGAGCATTCGCATGCTCCTTGACTCATTTTGATTGCAAAGCAGCCAGTTGCTATAAAAGACAGCTGGCTTCTTTAACTCTTTCAGTTTTTAGGGGAAAAAAGTCTTGGCTGAAGGAACAGTTCACTTGTCCCAGAGGTATTAAGCTAGAATGAGCCCACAGTGACACTAATTTTCTTAATGGCTGTGAATCATGGGGGAATTCATTTTTTGGTGAGACATTCTGAACCAAGTTTTGAAATACTCCAAACCCTGTTTATTTCAATATATTTTATAAGTCTTGCCTAAATTTGTTTTTGTAGTTCAGCAACATCTGGAGGAGGGCCACATACATGTCCAGTTGGCCATGTCTTCCCTGCAAGTTTAAAAGAAAAGGGGGAAAGGAAAGATGCTGTGGTGAGCAGGGCCTCTTTGCAGCTGCTTCCATCATATCCCACTGTCTGGGTGGTCCCTTGGGCTGTGAGGCCCTAGACCTCAGCCCCCAGGTCCATCACTTGCTGAACAACTAGCTACAGTACCAGGGCATCTGTAACATCCCCATCCCATCAAACCACTAGGCATTGTTGCTCCTTTCTGAGGACTGGTCACCCTCGCAAGGACCCAGCAGTTCTCAACCCTTGCGGCTCAAGAGCATCTTGGGTTCAGGAGTATACCACAGAGTCTTTCAATAGCAAGCACACAATTTGTTCTTTCCCCAATTTCCCCACCCTCCTTCCTTAAAGTGTGTGTGTGTGTGTCAAAATTCCTGCATTGCAGGGGGTTGGACTAGATGACCCTGGGGAATTCCTTCCAGTTCTATGGTTCTGTGAAAAGGGCAACTAACTCTTCCTACGAGATTGCTTTAACGTTTCTTTCAGACCCAGCAATCCTGTGTCCCCCCAAGACAACTGCAACTCCTTACTACTGCTTTGACCCAATCCCTGTGCACGTCAGAGATTTAGGGGGTTGTCTCTGGACCCCTTCACCTCCCAACCACTCCCTGAGATCAAATTTGACGCTCCTTTGGACATTTTATGTGGGATACTAAACAGTAGCTTTACCCACGTCCAGGCTGTCGACCCGGTGCCTGAAAATCAAATACTAACATTATAGGAAATCAGGCAGGTCCTGGATTGGTCAGCACCCGACTACATTCTGCTTGCTCTGAGCTTCGTCCGGGGATATCGAATCCCGTGTCTAAACAGAGGGTGTTTGTTGATTCAGACGAAACGGATGAATGAATGGAAGAAGAAATAAATCCCCTTTAAGAGAGGAAATGGATATATGTGAGTTAAAGTTTCCTGTGATTCTGCTGTGCCTGCAGCCCCCAGACCTTCAACGGGGGAACTGCCAGACGATTGCACACAGCAGCACAACGGTCCATTCAGCACAGTTTTCTCTACACGGACAAGCAGCAGCGTTTCAGGCGAGGAGTGTCTCCTCGCTGCCGCTGTGGGCTGAACCTGGGACCTTCTGCATGCCAATCAGATGCTATGCCACTGAGCTGCGATCCTTCACCATATTTACTTTGCCAGTTTAGGCTGTAGTCCTAGCCCCACACGCCTGGGGGGTAATCCCGCACTGGATTCAATAGGACACGCTTCTGAGTAAACAGGGCTAGGGTTGCGCTGTGACGTAAGAGATCAAAGGACCGATTTCCTTTGGCCAGAAACAGCCAGGGAAGTTTGCATATTGAAGCTGAGCACATGAAATGGTATTAACCTGCTGGGTTTCTGTTTGTCAATCAAGTTTTAAAGGCACCGGAGCCCCCGAAAGGGTAAGGGGAAACTGGGGGCTCTCATACAGAGCTTTTAAAATATTCTCTGTTTACATTTTGCCAACTGGAGACTTCTGTTTTATTAGTCTTTCCAGGCTGACCACACAGGTGCCAAATGTTTGTTTCCTTCCTATTTCCAAATCCAATGAATTGGGAAACGCGCGTGTTTGCTCAGAGGTAGACCTCACTGCTCAATGAGACTTCTCTCAAAAAAGCGTGCCTCAAGTGGTCGCCTACATAATGGGCAGCGCGATCCTATGTGCATTTGTTCAGAAGTTGCTAATACTGCACAGTAATCGGTTCAGCAGGACTCCCAAGAAATTGTACTCGCAGCCTTCGACGATCATAACCCATCTATCCAATGTGACTACTCAGGAGTAAATACGGAGCGCGCTCTTCTTTATTCTAACGGCTGGACATCTAGCAATTCCGCTAGAAACGCCAAACCACTTCACTAATTCATTCCCAAGCAGCGGACTGAGCGCCTACTCGGTGCCATACATTGCAGAGAAGAAAATGCTCAGGACCATAACGTTACAGGTGTGATGTTTCATCCTTCCCACCCCCAATCTGATCTTGCTCTAAACCTAAAAGCATTCTTTTCTTTTAAAATAAAAATATATCCATTGGAATTTCTCTTTGCTTTTTCACGGGTGGTTTCGTATCGACCGCCGGTGAGAAAATTAGCAGGAGAAAAGGATCCGCTCTCCTGTTAGAATGGCACTCGCTTTGGAAACACGTCTGAATAGCGGCAGAGCGGGGAACGGGCGCTCAACCCTTCCTTTAACCAGGAGGAGGGCATTTCCACATCCTCCTTGGCAGGGCTGTGGCAGCCACAGATTTTTTCGCCGTCGCCATTTGCCTTTCCCCATCCATCCCTTGGCCCCCAGGAGGGGAGAGCGCTCTGGGGTCCGGCACACGAGTTTCCCACGGGCATCCAGCTTGACCACTGGGAGACCAGGATGCAGTGGGTCGCTGGCCGGATCCAGCATTACTCTTTGAATGTCCTTCTGGTCATCACCCTCTGGAAAAGAAATTACCCGGCTGGGTCTGGACTGGGAGGAGAGAAATAGCGTGGCAGGAGGCCGGGGTGGTGTGGAGAAAGTTTCTCCCCCCCCCGCCCCACCCACCCTATTTTAGAATGATGCTCCGGGACGATCCTTGCCCCACACCTTAGCTATCTGCTGCTGCCCAGCCTGTATCGGCTCCCCCAGCCACAAATGAGAACGCAAAACGTTGAAAGGCAGGGAAAGGTTTCTAGAGCTCAGGAATCTCCCCGGTGGGGACTAACTAGACACCGGGCTGTTTGAGCACCAGCCGCCTCCCTGGCGCCTCTAAAGCCGCCTGCGTGTCCCCTTTCCCCGATCCCAGGTTCACCTGCACGTGGGATCATCCTGGCGCCAAGCAGAGAGAGACCCGCGCTGGCCCCGAGGACACCGGGGAGCCCCAGCTAAGCTTTTAAGAAAGACGAGGGAGAGAGAAATCGGACGTGCTCTGGACTTTAGCTATTGCAAACAAGCTACCCAACAACCTCTCCTCCCCCGCCCTCTTTTGGCCCGCTCCCACGTGCCCGTAGCAAATTCGAGACGGAGCCGGGACTTCTCTTGTTGCCAAAGGAAGATTGATAAACCAGGAATTCTCTTAATCCTACAGGGGGCGGGGGTGGGGGGAGGAAACGCAGTTTGATTCTCCAGTGAAGCTGCCACGCAAGCTTTGCTGTGTAGGCGCAAAGAGGAGACGAGGCGATCTGTAACTATCCGGCTTCCGATGAGAGACGGATCTCCCGCGGATTACGAGATTTCCCTCTCGAGAAAAAAAGGACACCCCTCGAAGGGGGAAAAGTACACACACCCTCCCCCTCCGGCTTCCTTGCGAAGGTGGCTTGTTATTGTTATGTCTAGCGCCTCCCGGGAACCCAAACATCCTGCCGGGAGGAGCAGGTGTCCCCGCGCCAGGCACGACTCGGCGGCAGCCAGGCCATGACTAAGAGTCCCCTGGAGAGTGATGGATTCGCCCCTTGTCGCTCCTCGCCCCCCGCCGCTCCTCCTCCACCTCCGCTGCGGACGCGGCGCTTGGCGCTCCAAGTGCCGGCGGTTCCGCCGAGCAGCTGGAGCCCTGCCGGGCGGAACGTGACCACTTCAAGCCGGGAACAGGCACACACCCCGGCGGGCGGGAGGAGGGGGGTTGGCGTGCGTGTGGTCCGACGGCCTGTCCGCTGCCACCTCCTGCAGCAAGAGGCGCGGGGAGCTGCGTCCCCCCCCCGCGATGCCACGCCGGGGGCTCTTTCTTGGCACCAGGGTTGCATTGGGCAGAGAGAGCAGGCGAGCGCGGTCGGTCCTCTCCGGCAGACTCCGGGCTGACTGGCTCGGGACGCCCTGAGCCCGTCCCTGCGCGGGGCAGCGCTGCCCTCGGGGGCGCCAAGGCAGTAGCGCGCCTCCCGTCCGCACTGCACCCCCCTCTCTAGGGGGACCTGCTGCAGCGAGCAAGGCAAACGCGCTCGAAGTGCTGGCGGCGGATCTCCACAATGCAGAGATCTTAAATATACAGTGGTACCTCGGGTTACATACGCTTCAGGTTACATACGCTTCAGGTTACAGACTCCGCTAACCCAGAAATAGTACCTCGGTTAAGAACTTTGCTTCAGAATGAGAACAGAAATCGTGCGGCGGCAGCGCAGCAGCAGCAGCAGGAGGCCCCATTAGCTAAAGTGGTGCTTCAGGTTAAGAACAGTTTCAGGTTAAGAACAGACCTCCGGAACGAATTAAGTACTTAACCCGAGGTACCTCTGTATAACTCAATACATACACTTATCACGATCTTTATTCAGAAATACGGAGAATAGCCCCTATCTTCCCCCTGAGAAACAGGTAAAGGGTCTGCTTTTGCACCAGGGCACCCCCTCCCCCATTGATTCAATCCCCATTTATTCAATGGTTGGAGTGGGGTTATGGAACACCAGGCTGCCTCTGGTTTTCTGCCTAGTGTGATTTAGATACCGGGGGCAGGGTGTTCAAAGGTTTCAGCACCTCAGCTTTCTTTGATGCTTGTGCAAAAATTAACCTGAAGGTAACACGAGTGACTCCCCTGACTTGGTGTTTGAATGGAGTTTCGTTGATCCCTCCCATCGACCCGCAGGCTTCTTCGTTAGGGCCCCCCGCCCTTGCCAAAGTGACCAGATCTTAAACATTTTACACAGGAAACGCAGCTTTGTTAAATTCGGTGTCTCGGGGAAATATACAGGGGCAGCAGGATTCTACCGATGCTTCCTCAGAAGTAAGTCACCACTGAGGTCTTACTCTTAAGTAGCTTCACATGGGATGTCAACCTTTATAAAGGGTTTATAAAGGCTCTCTAGGGTATTCTGCGAAGCAGGTTAAGCGATATGTCACTGTCACGTTCACAGGTATAGGAACGGTGTGGCCTTTATGTGTAATCCTAAATATCCCCTCCCTGTGCTTCGGATCGCAATTGCAAATAAGGTTTGCAATCCCATGTACATTTAGCTGGGGGTGAGATCCGTTGAGCACTGAGAGACTTACTTCCGAGTAAACATGCATAGGATTGAGATGCACATTGTTTAATGTGTGGGATAAAAAAGGACTGTGCATTGTAAAAGTGTTCCCCAGAGAAATGCTCGCTGGGTTTTGGTGAAGAGAGAGCCTTGCGCTTATTCAGGAATGGATGCCAACTCCGTAATAAACGTCAAGAGCCGAATTCTCTACACATCCACTAGCACCACTATGGCCATTGTAATATACAAAGAAGTTTTTAAAAAGGAAAGCTGCCAACTTCCATTTTCTGCAATGCAGCATTTTTTGCAGTAGATGTCGCCTCTAATAAGTAAAGAACCTGCCCTTTGGGTTTGTTCATTAAAAAGATACGGTAGATTTTGTAGGGATGAGAGTATGGGGTGGCCTGGATATTATTAATGACTCGAGACGATTTCCCTTACATTTCATTAATCGTCTGATATGTCCCGCTCCCCCCTCCCCGCGTCCCCCCCTTTCTCTCTCTCTCTTCGTCCGATGACCTCAATGCAAATAAACCTATCAGATGTGCCTAAATGACTGGCAATTTTTTTTGTGAATGGAATACTCAGTGACTGGAGGATGACGTAATTCGGGAGCTGGGGTTTCGTGGTCAAGCGTGGATTGGTTTTATAGTTGACAACCGAGGTGCTGATTGGCTGGCGGGCAGCTCGTCGAACGCCTACACACTTTTGCCCTGGCGGTAGATATAAAAGGGGGTCGTTGGGCACGGAAGACCATCACGACTGGGAAACGCACACCGAGGCCGCCACCTGCACTACGCTTTCCTCAACAAGCTTTGCATCTGAAGGTAAGTGCGTTCTCCTTTTATTGACTTTCCAGTCCAGGGAGTGCTGAAAAGGCTTCTCAGTGGCGGAGAACTTGCAACTCCTCAAGTTCGGAGGATGTTAGGCTGATGCTGGGTCTTGTGGCGTCTCGTGCTTCTCTCCTTGGATTCTTGAGCAGAACGGCTTTTCCCCCAGATATGCTTTGACAGGTATTATTTATTAGTCACTTGCTTCGGAAAAGGCGTGAGCGCAGAGAAACGCCTAGGTTGCAGAACGGCAGTTTAAAACCATTTCCCTTTCTGCAAGGTGAAAATCCCCCTTTCGTTCGTGTAGACTAGAGGCTGCCCGTTTAATCCTGAGTATTTTATCAATAAGAGTCGTGCAAAAATGGCACGTGGGAGATGCCTTCAAGAAACCTAATTTCGTGTAATTGGGAATGCTCCTCTGGGTATGACCGCCCCCGAGAGTAACTCTGCTGCAGCAAATAAGAATCTCGTGGCACCTTCAAACTATTTTATTGCAGTCTGAGCAATAAAAGGGAACTGCCTGCTTCCATCAGGTGCAGGAAGGTGTTGGACCCAGAGGCGTGGCAGGGAGGGGGAGAGGAACCGTTTTACAAAATGAGTAGGGCTGCATCTCTATACCCATTTACTAGGAAGATGTCTCCATTGAATTCAAAGGGAGTAGCTATATATAGGATTTCACCGTAATGAACTCATCTTGACACTACAGACACAACTCCTGGCATAATATAGTACTTTCCTTTAAGATGCCACAGAGCTCTTTAAACAAAAGTATTGCGTATGCAAATGTATTATATTCCTTACAATTCCTGGATTTTGTTTTTCAGAAACAATTTTAAAATCCTCATTTCCGTAACAGGGCTATTTATTTAAATGAGGACACCCCCCCCCCGATTTTTCAAGTAATCATTTATTTCAGCGCAAAGGATTATGCCTCCCCACCCTTCTTTTCAATTTAAAACAAAATACACAAAATTTCTACATGCAGTTATAAATGCAGATCTGGCCGCATTTTATTCGTTTTCCTTTGATCTTTCGCGCTCGACCCGATTCCCAGCATGGCGTGAATATTATCAACGATTTCATAGTATTGGTCCCCATCTGTTGATGAAGTTGACATGGTTGCCTTCTGTCCTCCAGCTATATATCAACTCTGCGAAATTTCCCAATTTTCTTCCTACCTGAGCATTGGCGACATAGACATTCTTTGAAGATAACACTTCCAAAATAAAACACACACAAATCCTACCAAATTGCGGCGTGGGGACCTCGATGCAAATAGCAGATGATCCCATGACACCCCCCCCTTTTAAAAACCTAGGAAATTAAAGCATCCTTAGAACCTCGATCCTATTACGCATGCTAACGCAGAGCTGGCCGTAATCCAGTGGGGGGCTTCTTCCCAAGTGAGTTTGCGCAGGATTCCAGCGTTAGGATGGGATCATAGCTGTCAACGTTTCCCCCTTTTTAAGGGAAATTCCCTTATTCCGAATAGGATTCCTCTCAAGAAAAGGGAAAAGTTGACAGCTATGGAGCGGATCCGGAAAGATGCAAAGCGTGGGAAATGGCCCCTCTTTGAACGCAGTCCTGTTGATTTTGCAGAGACAACGCTATGGCCATGATGAAGATGTGCTCCTTCCTGGCAGTCTATGCTTTGGTGGTGTGCCTGATGGACAGCTCCCGCGCAGTCCCGCTAAGGTAAGAGGCAGCAGACGGGAGGACAAGGGTCTGCATGCAGAAACTTCTCTTGAACGCCTCTTTGGCTTGGCGATCGCCAGAAAAGCGACTGGGGTGGCCGGTTCTGCAGAGGGGGCGGGCAACGGAAGGCTTGGCGCCGAGGGACGCGAGTGCACGCGATTGCCCGCTTGGGCAAGATTCCTTGACACGGATTAGCCTAGTGGAGTGGGTGGGGGTGATGCAGGGAAGGAAAAAGGCTTCCCCCACCTCCCACGCCTTTCAGCGCGTGGTGAAACAGGGACACTCGTCTGTGTTCGTTAAGGAAGAAAACGGGAGGGCAATCTACGCCCAGTGAACAAGCTCAGCGAGCGTGGTCTCGTGAATATGGACGAGTTACACGTGTGCGGTGCTGTGATCCCTCCCCCCCCCAAGCAGATCGATGAGTTGGGTTGGAAAAAGGACCCTCCCGCTCCCGCCCCCTTGAGCACCCCTCCCTTTGAGAGAGCGCCGCTGGCCTTGAGCTCTCCCCCCTCGCTCCCTCCCCACAGACCTGGCTTGGAGCCTGTCACAGACCGAGGGAGCATGGGCGACTACGAAGCCCGGCGGTTGTTAAGCGCGCTGGTGAAGGAATACCTGGGGGAAGAGCTGGAGCGGGCGAGCGAAGGGAACAGGTAAGGAGAGCCACAGGTAGGAGGGCGGGGAGGTAGGAAGGGGAGGGTGGTCGCAGCGGGGATCGGGGCGGGGGGGGACTCTCCTCTCTGGGAGTGCGGGCTCTTTCCGGGCAGATCAGCTGATGGGACCTCTTCTCCTCCCTGGGATGTGCAGACCCAGCTCCTGCGAGACGGGTCCTGCCATCCTGATGTTCCCACTCTGATAGCCATGAACTGGGGTCTCAGATTGGTCTTTTCTTAACTTGCTCTCTTTTGGGTTACTTCCTCTTGAGTTACTTTTTCTTCTCGTAAAAAAAGAGAGAGAGGCCTTGCAAGTTGAAAGAGAGGGGGTTAGAGTAAAGTGGGGCAGCAAGAGGTACGTCTTGGTTTTATTCCACCCCCCCCGTGAGAAATGCACAGAGTTCTTCTCATCACAACTCAAGCTTCTGCGCGCGCCCGAGTCAGTGCATGCCGTCGGGAAGAGGCGAGGCGGCCTTCCAAGTGCACGCAGCGCCCCCTTCCCTCTCCAGGCCGAGTCTTGCAATTGCACCTGCACTTCCCTAATGAGCTCCGGTTGCAAAGCATGCTGATGAATGAGACTCACCATGCATGCCGGATGATCTTGAACTGTCCCTCCTCGCGTCCCGCCGGGATCGCTAACTGTCAGCATCCCAAGCAAGCGAGCGATTGATCACTTGCCATTTACTACAGCCCGATCCTCCTTCCGACAGAGCCCTTTTGCATGGACCTTGTTGCACCGGCACTGCGTCGAGATTGTCTTGTTGTTTTTTAAATGCCTATTTGTTGGTCGTTTGGTCTCCTGCTGTGGTTTTCGTTGAGTCTGGGCTAGGGGTGGGAATGGGATATAACAAGGCATGATGACTGCGCATGGTTTTCTGTTACTTTGTTCGGCATGTTTTTCCCCCCTGCAGCTTGGATAGACCTATTTCCAAACGCTGTGCCAACCTGAGCACTTGTGTGTTGGGCAAACTGTCTCAAGAATTGCACAAATTGCAAACTTACCCTCGTACTGACGTCGGGGCTGGAACTCCTGGCAAGAAAAGGAATGTGCTGAATGACCTGGAAAACGAACGCTATGCAAACTATGAGGAAGCCCTCGGAAACAACTAGATTGGCTCTCATCTCCTCTTCCTCTTATATTTTTTCCTCCTCTTTTTTGATGCATGTGGATCTAACCTTGATTGCTAATTTTGCTATGTTCTTTTGAATCTATTTTTGAGTGAGAATGTGGAGTGAAACAACTTCAAGTTAGGAAATTCAGGCTGCAATCCTACACACACACACACACACACACACACACACACACACACACCTGTGAGTAAATTCCATTTAGTCAAATAGGACTGACTTCTGAGTAGACATCTTTAGGGTTGCAGCTGTTAAGAATATAACACATATATTGGGGGGGGAGGGACGGGACTTGGCTGAAACTGGGGAATAGAACATGCCAAATTAAAATGAGTAAGGACTAGCATTGCCTCGAATTTTCAACTGATTTTCTTAGATGTTTATTTTACAAATAATAATCCTTTGATTTCTGGCTACGCATTGTAAAATAAATAAATAAATGTTTCTTTCATGCCTGACCATGCAACTGTTCAATAAACCTATTTTTCTATAAGGATTAGGTCTATTTTATGAATGGTGCAAATCAGTTAAAAATAAAAATAAAAAGATGGCTTTTCTGGGCATGGTTTTAATGGTGTTCAGCTCAGGGTGACTGCTTTGGATTCATGCTTAAATAAGTCTTTTAAAAATGCAAGATATTTGCTCAGTGCAGGATGAATACGCAGGGTGACAATTTTTCTCCAGTGAAGTCAGTGGGAAACTTCACACTGACTATAGATATATATATATATAATCAGTCACCCATTATACTCTTTGTAGCAGTACAATACGTAGTTTGCAAATATTAGAAATGTTAGCCAGTTACCAAAGTTATATTCTGATTGAAATCATCCAGGTAAGAATTTTAATACTTTATTTCTATTTCATTGTTCATTGATTTTGCATGAAGCTATGTAAGGTACAGGAGTAATTTATATTGGCTAGCAACATGTGGAGAATGGGGCCTTCTTCAGTATCCCTTGTGTTTACATTGTACAGTCTGCCTTGATTTACAAGGTGTGTCTGCTTGTAATTTAAACATCCCAATTATTATTTTTTATACTGAGTGTAATCCAGACAAAGTTAAGCCCTGGCAGTACTTATTTTTCCACTGAAATCAGCGGAACTTAAAAGTGATTGGTTTTGCAAGGTTGAGAACATGAGAACAGCCCATCTAGTTTAGCATCCTGTTTCCTGTTGTGGCCAATCAGATGTCTCTGGGAAGCCCACAAACAGGAAGTGAAGGCATCTTTCTCACACCCTTACTCTCCCAACAGATGGCATTTGCGCCATTGTGCCAGGATGCTATGATTTGCCTTTTGGCTGAATTCCAGTGCACCAAGGCAGCAAGCTTATACTCATTTGCTTGGGAGTAAGACCCACTGTAGTCAGAGGGGCCTCCTTCTGAACAGATGGGCATAGGATTCCATTATAAGGATTGCAAGGCTAGCCATACTTGCTTCCTGGTTAGCACTGAGATAATGTGCTTCACTTCTGATTAAGCAGGTCTAACTGCATTTTCAGGGGCAGTCATCTGCCCACTGCATTGCCTGACTACAGACAACATCTGTTGAATCCAAAAACATTACTTCTGAGCGATCAGGCTGAGGATTACAATCTCTGATGGTTAGAAATATCTGGGAAGCCATAGAGCAAATGTCAAGGTCTCTTTGAAATGCAGTCTGTCATTATAGCACTGCAGAAGTCCATTACTTCAAGCCTGAGCAAACCAAATATAGAAATCTTTTAAATATGGATATAAAGTACCAGCACAATTTTATCTTCTCAGGCATTTTCCAGGATTTTGCTAATAAAACGTGGTGTTGTTGAAAGATGTGCTCTGTTTCTCAGATCTGAATTCTTTCTTTCGGAAAACAGCGTGACAACTCAGAAGAGGGCATGCAACACAGCCACCTGTGTGACCCATCGTTTGGCAGACTTCCTGAGTAGGTCAGGAGGAGTGGGCAAGAACAACTTTGTACCCACCAACGTTGGATCAAAAGGTTTTGGCAGGCGAAGAAGAAATGTCCAGATGTAATCTGCTGAATGACCCCTGGAATATGGTAAGTGCATTACAGACATATTTCAGCAATATCAATGTCTTACTGATTTATATAAATTTCAGTGCTTGGCTGGATGTCATATGAATTCTGGACCTCATTGAGCATGAAAAGCAAAATCTCAAATCAAGAGCAGGATTTCACCTTCGGATAGGAAGCCTGTGTCCCTCTAAATTTTGTCGGTCTCCAGCTCCTGTAACTCCTTGACTATTGGCCATGCTAGCTGGGGATGATCAAAGCTGTAGTTTAACAACTTCTGAAAGACTACAGGTTCTTCATCTTGGCTTGAAAAAAACCATCCCCTCTCATCAATAAATTACTTGTGGGTTTTTGTTTTTTTTTAACAAATTCAGGAGGATATTTGGGAGAAAGTATGTAGATGGTCATTTTTCCACCTTAATATTTAGTTGGAATAAACATAGCAGAATTAGATCTTCATAGTTGCATTTGATATTAATATGCATTCCTATTCAAAAGTAAGCCTCACTGTATACAGTGGGGGTTAGGATTGGAGCTGAAATGGTTTAGCTACAAGAACTGAAATTTATTGGCCAAGTAATGGATGTTTCATGGAAGCCAAAATTACCAATCATAAAACAGAATGAATTATTTGTTTATTGACATGTACATCTTATCATGCAATGTAGGCATTCTGGGGTTGCGTTTAGAATCCTTGTGTTACTTGCCATGCATTTAGTCTGCCCAACTACTGCCATTTAACGATTAGTGAATGAAATGTGTGAAATGTCATGGGAGCGGTAGGATTTTCTTTTAGAGGTGAAGATGGTGGTGAGACTCCATACTCTTGTCTCACTTCCCTGTACTCTAGTTTTTCCACATACCTCTGGAGTTAGAGTTAGGTTTGGGAGAAAGCTTCAGGCTCCCACCACTTTCCCCTTATTTTATTTTATTTATTTAACAAAAAGTGCATACCACTTGTTTGTTAAAACAATCTGTAAGCAGTTTAAAAAATATAAATATGGAACATTAAAATTCTTGCTTAAAAACAGTTAAAAACAAGTCTATAAAAGCATTCAAAATAGGAATTAAAATCAGCAATAGCTAAGAAAAGAGAGAAAGCACCTGTTACTTCTGTATGTCTAGATTTGCTTTCCTAAGCTAGTGTTTAAGGTGCTGCCTCCTTGTGCTGTTACCACAGCATTGTATATTTCTGCATGGAGATTTCTCCACTGGGTTGAAATGGATGTTGAACTGGCACTGCCTGCTAGCTGTGTTTCTCCTGGAATGCTTCCAGATTTTCCTTCCAAGTTGAAGGGTGAGGAATGGGCACTCTAGATCCCTGGCCTTGACTTAAGATTCTCCTCTAGCATAATAGCATGGGGTGAGTTGGCATCAGTGCAGAAAAGTAGTAAGAATACGGTGTTGCTCTCAGGCCACCCAAACAATTTCTGAGTTCTTCTTCTTCTTCCTGTCCTTTGACTCACTTTTGTCAAGACTGGTCCTGAGATGGCTCAGATATTGTAGAAGTGGATCACCTTGTTTTCTCCATCATTTAGGTTGCCTGAGGTTCTAATACCTCACCAATCTGAATAGATGACTTGTGAGATAGTACATTTTTAATGAATTTTTTTTTCTAATTTAAATGCTGAAAAATGAATCTGGTCATCCTTAGGCATATCATAACTGCCCTAATATCCTTCCAGCAAAGGCTTCCTAAAGCAAACCCCTTTGATGGTTTTGTATGAGGCGCGGCAATCAGTTACCCAGTCTCCTAATTACTCAGTGGGTCATTTCTGGGACATATGGATAAGCTTGTCCTGTCTTCCATATAATGCTCAGGTAACTGAAAATATTTTTTTGGGTGGATGCAGTCCAATGCTCCCTGAGAAGAGGGCCAAGATGCCATGGACTTCCCTGGAATTCCCAGCACTGCCAGAGGTCTACCTGATGCAGTGGAAAAAAGTGCCACCACCAATGTTTCTGTACTGGCATTGGGGCCTGGCACAGGGTGTTTGGCGTGTGTGCCAAGAAAGGCTTTCACCTTGAAGCCCCTCATTCTCCCCTCCCCCCAAGAAATAGCAGGAAAAGAAAAGCTACATGGTAGGGCATAGGTAGCTCCATCAAAGATTACCCTCCACGGGATTGCTCTATCAAATATGTGTAACATCTAATTTGATTTCTTTCAGATTGCCATGAAACTGAGCAGCAAACGCCTTTTAATTTCTCTTGAAAGCAACTTTCTTCCATAAATCAAGATGGCCGAATAAAAGACTCATTTTTGCATCCTTCTAATATTGAAGAAATGTTTTTGTTTTGAAATTAAATTGAAGCACTTCTGTTATATATATAAGAGATATATATATCTCAAGATAATTATTCAAATTAAATTATTGTATATTCTTTTTATATGCAGTTCTATTTCAAATAAAATGTGACAGCATCTATTTATTTACTTATTTATCTTCTAGCATATCTGTGAAATATGACCCATGCTATTTATCTTGGCAACACTGCCAAATCTCGGGGATTACACTAAATTGCTGCCTATCAAGGTATATCTGTAAGATATGGTGTGCTGTGCCTTGATGTAAAACAGTTAACTGACATGATTGTACAGTATGTTTAAAAAAATACACTTACAATATTGTATCATTTGTGAATTTATGCAAGATTAAAAAAAGTATTTTAGATACACATGGATTGAGAAACTGATCTTTCATTTAAGCATTTTCTTTATTGCTAATTTACTGTGCAGATAGTTGAAACTCTTGGCAGTGGTCACTGTTGGATATCAGATTCAACAGAGCTTTGCTAAATTTCAGCACGGCACATGGATGTTCTGTCTAATGTCTGATGCTATAGAATATTAACAGAAAGCAACAATTTGAATGTTCAAAACCAATAAATCCCTTTTTGCAGACACCCTCATATGTAAAGCCAATTTTTCTTGGTTCCGTGTCTGCTCCCAGCACAATGGAACCCTAGTCATGGCTATGACCATTATGTGCTACAGCAAGTCAGAGTGTACCTTCTTATGGATAAGATGGAGAAATTAATGGTTTTCTCCCCATGCAGTATTTCCCTTTGTTACTGAGTGTGAGGATGTACATCAGCTGCTTTCTAGATGTTTTGGACTACAGTCCTCATCAGTCTCCATGCTGTAGCCTGTAGTCCAAAACTTGGGGGTGGTGGCATCAGGTTCACAAAGGCTGATTGATGTAGATGGAGAACCTGCCGACTTATCAAGGATTGCAGAAAACATACATTCCTAGCTGTTGGGTAGTTTTAGGCTACAATTCTAGGCATGTTTACCAGGATGCAAATCCACTCAGTTCAGCGAATTCCATGTAGACGTGTATAGGACTGAGCTCTAAGTATATTTAAACTTCAATCCTTAGCACACAGTGAACTTGGCAAAAGAGATTTGTGAGTAAACATGCTGCGAGGGTATCATAAGGAAGCACAAAACAGAAGACATCCATCTGCTCAGGGCTGGCTTCCAAGGCAAACCCCAAAATGATGCCTCCCAGCCAGGGAAGAAAGAATGAATGAAGATCTAAATCAGGAACAAAGGGGTGGGGGATAAAGATCTACACTGGGAGTGAGGGTGGGAGGAAGCCAGCAACACCTCCTATTTGCAGAGAGGCTGCTGAAGAGGTGGCATCCAGGGGAGGTGCTGAGGAGGCAGCTGGTCTGGCCTCAACCATTGGTGCCAGTATGGCAACAGCAGTGGGTAACACATTCCTTGTAGGCCAGATTCCACTGCCCCTTTGGATCCTGCTGCCAGAGGCAGCAACCTCACCTTGCCCCATAGGTGGGCCAGCTCTGCATCTGCTGTAACAAAGATGCTGAATACACAGAGAAGCCATTTCAGACTGTAAGGCTCTGAAATACGAGTCGCCTTTGAAATCAATTTGACCGAGCTGTCACTTTGAGTCTTTTCCTGGAAAGAGGTTTTCTGGTTAGGAGTGGGAAACTGGGATAATGATCACCAGAAAACTTGGCTAAAGCTATATTTAAAACAAAGTGTTTTATAGAAAGAAAATGAACCCCCTGCTTTTAAAAATACTGAATGTCAGATTAATGCTGTGTAGTTCACTGCAATTGAAAGCTGATTCTAAAGCCAGCTCCGTCAACTCAGGGCAGACCATTACGGAATCATAGAATCATATAACTGTAGAGTTGGAAGGGGCCTCAATGATCATTGAGTGACTCTAGTCCAACCCCCTACAATGCAGGAGTCTCAGCTAAAGCATCCATGACAGATGGCCATCCAACCTCTGCTTAAAACCTCCAATTGGATGAGGATCCTCTCAGTTCCTTAATTCAAGTTGTTTATAAAAACATTGAACAAAATAACAGGCCCAGGACAGAATCCTCCTGCGCTCCACTTGTCATTTCCCCCCATGATAGTCAGGCACCATTAGTGAGCACTCCTTGGGTTTGGTCAGTCAACCAGCTACAAATGCACCAAACAGTTACCTCGTCCAGCCAACATTTTACCAGCTTCTCTGCAAGAATATAATGGGGGACTTCGTCAAATGCCTACTGAAATCAAGATACACTATGTCCACAGCATGAGACTCTTCTTTGTTTTTTGAGAAACACATGCTGGGTCTTAGTAAAGCATCATTTTGTTAGTGCTCATAGACCAGCCATTTAATTATCTGTTCTAGGACCTTCCCTGGTATAGATGTCAAGCCCACCAGTCGGTAATTACCCGGGTCTTCCTTTTTCCCCTTTTTGAAGATGGGGACAACATTTACCCACCTCCGAGTCTGTAGAGACTTCACCTGTTCTCCAAAAATTCTCAAAGATAATAGACAAAGGCTCTGAAATTACACCCACGAGCTCCTTTAGAACCCTTGGATGCAGCTCATCAGGCCCTGGAGATTTGAATTCATTTAAAGTAGCTGGGTGTTCCCTTACCATCTCTTTTCCTATCTTGGGCTGTAGCTCTCTCTTTACATCATTTATTCTGTTATCACCAGGTTGGGCACTGCTTTCCTTTTGGGTGAAGACAGAGGCAAAGTAGGTGTTGAGCAGTTCTGCCTTCTCTCTTTCACCCAATAGCATTTCTCAGTCTTCTCCACTCAGAGGCCCTACTACTTATTTGTTCGTCCTCTTGCTTTGAACATAGCTGAAGAAACCTTTATTATTATTTGTAACCTCTTTTGTAAGTCTGAGCTCATTCTGAGCTTTGGCCCACCTGACCTTCTCCCTGCAGCTGCTGGCTACTTGTGTATCCCCTCCATTGTGATTTGCCCTTTCTTCCATTTCTTATACATGCCCTTCCTAAACCTCCACTCATCTGTAAGCAACTTATGCAGCCACACTTTGCCTCCTACTTTTCTTTCTTTTTGGAATCGCCTGCATTTGTACCTTTTCACCTTTCAGAAACTCCTATCCATCTTGGACTCACTTATCATTGAGTATTTCTGACCATGGGATCTCACCCACAGTCCTTAAGTTTTTTTGAAATCAGCCTTCTTAAAGACCAGAGTGCATGTCCAACTGCACTCAGCTTTCCCTTGCCTCTCTATCATGAAACCCAGGAAGACATGAAAACTTCCTTTCAAGGTTCCCAGTTCTCCCACTTCATCAGTCAGTTCCTCCCTGTTGGTGAGGTCCAGATCCAAGATAGATGACCCCCTTATTCCCGCCCCCCCACTCCACCTTCTGAGAAATAAAATTGTCAGTGAGGCAATTGAGGAATTTCTTGAACTTTACATTCTTGTTCCAACAGATATTGGGGAAGTTGAAGATTTCCATGACTACTATATCTTTCTTTTCTTTTGAATGTTTGCTAATCTGCTCTAGGAAGGCATCATCCAAGTCTTCCGTCTGGCTTGGAGGCCTATGGCAGACACCCACAGTAAGGTCACTGTGGTTTTCCTCTCCTACAATTTTTACCCCTATACTCTCAACCTGCCTTCCATGCGCCAGACCATGGGCCTCTTCACAAGTGCGCACATAGTAGACCTTCACACAACAGAAGAAAAGCTTGCCGGATCTGACCAGCAGCCCATCTAGTCCAGCATATCCTGTCCCAGCATCCTTAACTATTGGCCATGCTGGCTGGGGCTGATGGGAGTTGCAGTCCCTCAACATATTTTAGGGCACCAGGTTGAGGAAGGCTGTTCTAGGTGATTCTAATATGCAGCACCCAAACAACCCTCATTATATAGGACAACTGATGTAAATTAAAGCATGTTTTGACTCACAGAATCACACCAGATGGTCTTAGTGTAGCGCTCTGATGGTAAAGCAGATGTGGGAGAGAAGCTAGCATCTGTTATGCAATATGATGCTGCTCACATAATTAACTCAAGGACCCACCTTCATCCACTTTGTCCGGTAATTCTCATTATTTGCGTCTCTTTGCTTATCTCTCATTGGATGAATTGAACTTATCTTTGTGAAAGCCTTCCTAGCTTTCTATGCAAGAACTAAGCAGGGCTAATGCTATTGTTTCTGTCACAGAACCTTGCCAAAAGCAAAATTTAGCAGACAGCAGTAAATTCTGGTTTTAGCGATCACATCCAACACGGTCATGTATAATTAGCAGATGGAATGTCTGCATGTGGAGTGGGTAATTTTTATATTTTTTTTTAAAGAATCTATTTAGATAATGTAAGGCTATGTATACTTTTTATTCTTTCCTGCATGAACATAGATAATTACCATGGCCACAAGGTGAAAATTGCAGCTCTCTGAAATCCATGGATGTTTTGCCGTTGCCTTAATGGGGTCAGGGTTTCACTTGCAGGGTGGCAGATTTTGCTGAGAATATATTACTGACCTGGATTTCAGAAAGGCAGCTCTCCAGTAGCTCACATTTATTTTTGTTTGAGCTGTAAATATTAGTAGCACTTCTGCAAAACCAGGCCCAGATCGAGGGAGGGGGTAAGGGGAGGGCATGTGCCCCGACTGGTGTGTTAGGAGGGCATTAACACAGCATCCTGCCCTGATGGCAATACAATGTGGGAGAGAGAGTAGGGAGGTGTGCTGTGGCCATAGCACATTGCTCCGTGACTCCTTAAGTTCCATCCGGATTCTGCTTATTAGAAGACATGGCTCGACCAGCAGGAATGCAAAGTAGGATAGCTCAGTTGGTTAGAGTGTGGTGTCGATAACACCAAGACTGCAGGTTGATCCCCATATTGGACAGCTGCATAGTCTTACATTGCTGGGGGATGGACTAGGTGACCCACAGGGTCCCTTCAAACTCTACAGTTCTATGGTTCTGCGAAGGAGTCATGCCCTGACATGCCCAGCTGTGGCCCATCCACCTCTTCACTAAGTGAAGGAAGCCTGTTGTCCTGGCTCTCACTGGAGAATAAAGAACTCAAATGTGGAGTACAGTTTCTGCCAAAATCATCATCATCATCATCATCATCATCATCAACAACAACAAGTTTATTTTCTGTACCCCACTACCTGGCTGGGTTGCCCCAGTCATTCTGGGTGGCTTCTAACAGAATATACAAAAACACAACAGAACATCACACATTAAAAGCTTCCCGATACAGGGCTACCATCAGATTTCTATAGAAGGTCATATAATTATTTATCTCTTTGGCATCTGATGGAAGGGCATTATAC